CAATTCAGCACATTTACATTTTTAATACATACGTTGTAGGGTTGGGAATCAATATATGAATAGCTTTATCCTGTTTAGCAATATGCAGGTATACTGGGCTACCTTCATTTGCTAGTAAATTTGCAGGTGGAGCAAGTACCAGATTTTTTAACTAATTGCCCTGATTTTAACTAATTGCCCTGCCAGACCCCATGCTGGCGCATGGGGTCTGAGGCGCTTCTAGCCCAGACGAGTAGGCGACACCACTGGAACGGTCACGCCCATCCACTTTGCCAGTTGTCAGACCTCCTCTACGGCTTCACCTTGAGGGGGCATTAATGATGCATTCGGTCACAAGAGGGCGCTGTAAAAAGGTGCAAGCCTCCGGGGAACCACCTTCCTCGTTCCCTACATCGGTTTCAATCTGCTGCTGCCGGTCAACTGTGGTCATCAACCATTTGCTGCTGTGAAAGAGAGCATCAAGAGAGTGGGCAGTGGTGTCATTGCTGATTACACTGTACAAGGGTATTTGTCTCCCCTTGTTGCCTTGCTGCCAGCGAATCCCACTGGGCTTGGAGCCCCATCACACTGCGCTTGATTGGGCCTTGATCCGCCCAAAAGTGAGGCGGACCTCTTCCACTGGATGACATCATCTCCAAGGCACCGTCATTTCCCGGACGGCGTGGGTCTCGAGTCTCTGCGGTTAATGGTTATGTTCCTGTCAATCTTGCTACTCGTCAGGGCTAGAAGCGCCCAGTCTGACCCCGTGCTACGCAATGGGTCTGTGAGGCGTTTCTAGCCCAGACGAGTAACGCCCTTACAGCTTGACAGCTTTCTCAGTCATCATCTCCTTTTTGAGATCTTCTCGGGTAATTCAAAAATGCTTGGATTTCTGCTGACAAAGAACTCATTATCTACGAGACAACTTTGACAACTCACACACACCTCCTCGGTCTCGTCTCTTGTTTCTGGTTCCGCGCGGTATCCTCGGAAAGAGGAAGCTTGGGCTCCAAGCTGCCCACCCTCTCACCCCGTATTTGATATTGTACGTACATACGTCAAAGGTCAAATTTCACTTGCCGGCATTCAACGACGACCGACGACTTACACGTCAAGTGGCCTGTGCGTCATTCAGTCAAACGAGCCAGTCGAGTCAGTCCTCTGTCGTCACCTCCCCTGCAGGGCACATCTCGAACCTGCCATCCGATGGCCATGCTGGCAACGGATAGCCTCACCTCACATCTCTTGCCCAGCCAGGCATGCTATGCTATGCTGTGCTTCTACTATCTGCTCGACATGACACTTTCCCCTGATTACTCGCATCAGATGCTCCATCTTCCCCGTTGACCATCTTTGGACCCTGGGCGCCAGGCACGCCAGCGGTGCCCATTCATTGCTGGTCAGAATCTCAGATGTTAGATGGCCTCCTCCACCATTCTGCACTTCATTCGCCCTTCTCGAACCTCTCCTGCCTCGTTCCCCTTGCTTTAGACTGCCGAGCTGCAAGAAGCAAGGGGAACTGGGGAAGCAGGGCCATTGGAATCGATTGATGGAACGTTCCTCTGAGGCTTCCAGGGCTCCGTATGTAGGGTCGAACTGTTTGGGCAATGGCTTCGCTTAGACTTCGCAAGGGGCACGGGCACATTTGCCTGCTTTCCTGAGGATACTATGAGGCATCGAGGCATCGAGGCAGTGAGGTTGGTGTTTTTTTTAATCAAAAAGAGATGACTGGTTAAGGAGAGAGGAAGCATAAGTCTATGCACCGAAATGTTCACCGAGGAAGCGAGTTGTCTTCACCCATTGGCAGGATATCGAAACTCTGTTACCGCATCTCCTTCAATTTCCTCATGCCGTCATTCCGGTTCCCTCAAAAATGTTGCCTCTGTCTTTACTCACGAGAGGCATTCCCCCTTCCAGGTAAAAGAACCAAACAAACAGTGGATGTCGTCCAAGACGCAAGCGAGAACTCCCCTCCGGTTCCGGGCTCCACTCCACCTCCCAGGCTCCACGAGTTCGGGGATCCATCAGGACCCATCGGACCCGTAAATCCCGGACCCGTTGTTCGTTGGAAACCCTGCCTGTGTGTGCCTGTGCCCGCTTTCCGCCATCCGCATCCGCACATCCCGTCGTACCTTACCGGTTTTACCGCTATGACCAATCTCGTGAAATCGGCCCCACAGACTGGGCTCGGCTTGGTTGCGTCTTGGCATACGGGGGCCCAATACGGAGGGAGCTCCGTGGTGACACCCACGCCCGCGACCGGGGGACCGGCGGGGTTGAGCTGAGCGAAACGAAACATCAACCCCCCACATGCAATCAAAGATGTCAAATTAGCATTTGTGCCCGGGCTCTCCTGGTGGTTACCTACAATATGGGGTCAAACTCCTGAATCTGACTCCCCCGGAGATGTTGAGACGCTTTGCTATCCAATCTTAGCATCGCCCAGAGATCACTCTGTGCAAGTGTCGATTTAGTTCATTCGTTCCTTTCTAGGCACGCGATGCCTCTCACACGGTCACACCTCCAGGACCTCAAACCCCAGAATCCTACCTCTACCCACTGTGTATCTACGCAGTATTGCTCATTATCGTCGTTCAAACTGAATGGTCAAAATTCCAAACTACTCAGCCAATAAACCACCAAAACAGCTTCTTCACTCGCTGAGTGGTCCAGTTTAGCTACCGCACTAAATACTAGCATCACTTAACGATTCGCTGCTGATAATCATCCGGCTTGTCGTTGGAGGGAAGCTGTGGGAAGCTTGCCTTCGGTTTGAACGGGAACGGAACTTCATGAGATGCGAAATCTCGGGCCTAGAACATATTGAAGTGGATTTTGACCAACTGACGGCGAGGTTCAATATGGCGACGGCAGAGGAAGACGGCATGGTCAGCGAGCACTAGGATCCGCTAGGGGTCGAGAATAAAAGGGCCAGAGTGATATTAGCCAAAGAGATCACCAAACCGGCACTGCGTCCGGAGTACGTACGGGTGCGGACTCGGAGTGCGACGCTGCAAGGCAGTTCAGTTCTGTCCCCGCGTTGAGTAGAAAGCGGAGCGGGAAGCTCACTATGCTAACCAATGTCGTGAAGTTATTCGAACGGGGTCTGCCGTCGTCGTCGCTGCTGCCATTCTTGCTGCCGCCCGTTACTTGTCAATGGCCCGTCTCAACGGCTCTGCCGCTTTTGATATGGCGAAGGGGGTAATATCAGGCCATTACCCACAGAATAGCATGCCGCGGTCTCGCAATTGGTAAAAGGAAAGCAAGTTAACCGTGAAGTTGCTGTCTGTCAGGTGAAGGTAGTTCCACTACATGAGTGATCTTCAGGACTTGTAGACGTAGATGGGAGGTCTTATGAGAGATAGTGCGTAAATGCGGGTGTTTTAGTATGCTGTGCTACCACTTTAGGACTTGATTTCTCATGATAATGACGAGCTTGAACCCTTGCTACCTCTACCTAGGTAGAATTTGGAAAACCGAAATGGTGGTCAAGTTGGGGGTTGCAGATGGAATTTGTTTCGATTTTGATGCCACCAAATCAAGATCATCATGAATCAAATAGATGGCATAAAACGTCGATGACCACGAAGTATAGATAGTACAAGAAAGGAAAATAGCAGAAGGTTACACCTTCCATGTGAAAGAGTGTTATAAATCGTTGACATTAACATCATCATGCATCGACTTTGTCCTCTTTGTGAACAATCACCTGTTTAGGATCAAAGCACGGTTTAGACGCAGGCGTAGGTAACATATCCCGCAAAAGGCTCAGAACGTAAACGGCATAACCAGAGAATGGGAAATTCGCACACGAAAAGGAACTCAGGGACGTTGTTGTACAATATTTATGGGAGACATCATCGTGCGTTATGACTGAGAGCAGTCAAAGACAGTGAAATCGAGCATGGAAAGCTTTCTGTCCAGAACTGCAACCTTGAAAAGCAGTATATTGGTTGAATATTGAAGATGTTCAAGTTGACAACCGGTCGCACAAGATCGAGGTTTAACATCATCGTGCTTCCCATATGGCTACCTCTTTCCGTTGGCTAACAATGGAAGCGGGCGAGGCAAGAAGCTTTGATACTGTTTATTCCGTCTATCTGCCCCCAGATTCAGTTCCCTGTTGTTTAGCACCGGATCTTGCACATCCAGATTGAGCTGACATCAAAAGCATCTGACCATTAGTGAGCTCCCGCCCACCACCATCACTGGTGATGATTTTCCTGGGGTTAATGATGTTCACTGCAAAGCAATGCGGCCACCCGTTATCACCTTGCGATTTGGAAGCTTGTTGAAAAAGCAAGATGTTCCAGATGTGACTTGCGCGAGATGTCTCGGATAGCGACAGTAGGGTTTAAAGGATTGCATTGGATCACATTCTTGACCAATCATGAGAGGAGAGATGGAGGGAGGTGGGAGATGTTGGTGGGATGATTATCGACATCAACATCAACATCATCACCTTGACTGAGAAATCATTCCGTAACGAAGAGTTTCGTGAAGCCAAAACACAGCTGTGAACTGAGACATGGGAGAACTATGGGGTGATGTGGCTTGGTGTTTTTTTTTTGCTTCTTGTAACGAACGTGTGGTGTGGACAGTTAGTCATGGAGGATGCCCGAACACCTACCTCGAACCGGGCGGGGGGGAAGTCAACGATCTCGATACCTCCTAGATGGGTAGACATGGATAGGGGTTGAAGATACCTCGGAGTCACAGAAATGTCGTCGGACCTGGGGCATTTCTAAAAAATGTGGGGAAAAGCGAGGGCCTCTTCCGTCCCGAGACATATTAGCGAAGGTGCGGATCGAGATCGCGGATGGTTCAGCTGAGGTCGGGACGAGACGAGCCATGGACTGGACGACCGGTGAGATGGGGGGAATCGGGCTGAACGGGCTCCCCGGTCGTTATGGGCATTGGTATTTGGTGCCGGGATCCGGCGGGGTTTGGGGAAGGTCCTGCTCGGAAGGGGTTTTTTGGAGGAAGCTGATGGTCTCGATCGTGATCAACAATAGGATGAAGTTATTCGCAAGTTGACATGGGAAGGAAGAGCATAGGTGAGAAGCTGCGGTGGTCATGTTACGTTGTTGCGAATTGATGCTGCCCTAACACCCCGCAGCCACTTCAACGTGTAGGGCTGTTAGTCAATCCCTCCCCACTAACACTAACAGGCCCCATAACATGACATAATGGCGGCAGGCGAGATGATTCGGCAGCAACGATAAGGACACCTTATCAAAGACGCGAGCTGGCGGCATTGGCGTTTGGGAGCGACCGACGATGCGACGGCGGCGGGAAGCTTCCTTCAATCTTGCAACGGCAACCACCTAGCCCAAACATCCTAAGGATTCGGATGTCCGAATTCCTGACATCTTCTCTCAACTAATTGTACATGTGAGGGCACATTCATCACCAGCGGCATCATGCGCCGTCCAAGTCTAGCTCTCCTAGCTCTGAGCTCGCTGCCGTTTGGCAGTGCTCGACAGCCCAGCAGCTTCAGCATCCACCAAGATCTGCTGGCACATCCCCAGGTGCGTCTTGGCTTTGCGTGTGAACCAGCCTCCTTCAAATAAATGATGCTGACGTCAATCACCATCTGCCCAGTTTGAAGTAATCTTTTCCGACAGCTACATCTCCGAGGCCGACGCCTTTGCCCTCCTCGAAGCAGCCAACAAGGCACCCAAACCGACCCCCGCGAGCGACGGCGCGAAAGATGGCTCGACACAGACCGATCTGACCAGCGAGATCCGCGAATCCGCGACCGCAAACGCCGACTCCGACAATGGCGACGATACCACAGATGGCACCTCGCAGCTTAGAGAGACATACGAGCTCATCGCCCACCCGCCTATGCGCTACCTTTGCTCGATCCCTATCATCGCCCCGCCGCCAGCTCTTAACAAGACCGCAACCGAGCTCGCCAAAGCCGAAGAAGCCCGCGAGGTAACCCGCGCATACAACAAAGGATGGGAACTCATGCGCGGCCTGGAAAACGAATGCCTTCACTTCATTAGCGGTTGGTGGAGCTACCAATACTGCTACGGCAAGTCGATCGTGCAATACCACGCCGTTCCTAACCCGAAAGGCGGTCCCCCTTTACGCGACAAAAACAGCCAGGAGTACATTCTCGGAACATCCTTGTCGCCATCCTCCCAGTCCCAAAAGGGGAAGCAAATCGAAGTCCCCAATACCGAACAGAAACAGCTCTCCCCGCCTCCAAACACCGAGCTCCAAGCCAAAGACAACCAGCGCTACCTCGTCCAGCGACTAGACGGGGGCACCATTTGCGATCTTACGGGCCGTCCACGCACCATCGAGATTCAGTACCACTGCAACCCGGCCCTCTCAGGCGACAGAATCGGTTGGATCAAGGAAGTCACCACCTGCGCCTATCTAATGGTCATCCACACCCCACGACTCTGCGCCGACGTTGCGTTCCTCCCGCCCAAGGAAACCAAGGCGCACCCGATTACTTGTCGCCAGGTCATCAGCTCCGACGAGGAAGCCTTGTCGTTCAACCAACGGAGGAAAAACATGATCGACTCATCAGCAGCAGCAGCCGCCACAGCCCAGGACCAAAAGCAGGGGTCAGGATCCGGGTCAACCGAAAAGATGTCCTACCAAGGCCTAACAGTAGCCGGCATCCCCATCGGCGCGCGCCGCATCCTGCCCTCAACACACGTCCTTCCTCTGCCACGTCATCTTCAACAACAACGACAGGAAGAACAGCAAGGAAACCTCCTCGAAGCCTTAACCAAAGCGGCTTTCAAAGCGGACGTTTTTGGTCATTATGGCGATAACAACCACGCAGGGGCTGGCAAGGGAGGAGCAGCAGCAGCAGGCAAGGGGCAGGGTGGCCAGAAAGAAATGAAGAAGATGAGGATTTCGGAAAGAGATATCGATAAGCTGGGGCTGGATCAGCAGACTCTGGAGGCTATCAGGGAGGAGATCAGAGCGGCGGGGTTGGATCCTGATAGGGATTTGAATGATGAGAGGGAGGGAGGGGGGGAGATTGTGTGGGAGTTCTATGCGGATGTTGCGGGGGATGAGGAGGACGGGGTTCCGGAGGAGGGAACGGAGAGGGCTTTTTGGTATGGGGAGGAAAGATCTGAGGAGGGAGAAGAGCAAACTGAGGCTGGGGAGGGTCAGAAGAGGAGGAAGGAGGAGGGGAATAATGGAGAGGGAAGCGGGAGTGGGAACGAGGAGGGGAATAATGGAGAGGGAAGCGGGAGTGGGAACGAGGAGGGGAGTAAAGAGGAAGGGAGTAAGGAAGAGTATTATAGGGATGAACTCTGATTATATCGAAGAGGACGAGGAGTGGTGTATCCTATAGGAGGGGACTGAGTATGAAGGGCCAAAGTATTACTTGGAAGGGCGGATTCGAAAAACAGCGTTTGCCATCATCAGCCTGGAAGGACAACTGCCTCATTATAGATTATAGTAATTTTGTTTCGGACGATATCGCCGCGACTAAATGGAAATGCCCATGCCTGCTTGGCTGATGTATCTCTGTCCGTGTCGGTTGTGTTGCCCCTTCGACAATTTTCTCGAAAGAACCTCGACTATACTCTAGCATGTCACCACCCACCCCGCCCCTATGCTCCCCCTTCCCAGTTCCTACATCCGCAATTCTCGCTTGCATTTGCGCCGTTGCTGTCCAGGTTCGCGAGATCTCACGAACGTTTCCATTGCCCCAAGCGGAGTCTCCCGCCCTACACTCCACTTGGCTCGCCAAACCTCTTTCCTACGATGTACCCTGGAATCCGAGATACGTCTGGAGATGAATCAAAGCTCTGATGGCAAGATACCGAAGATCTCGCTTCTTCGCAACATATTCTAGGTCCGTGGCTATTTCATATCCACTCATGAAGCGTTGCAGAATGGGATTCAGCTCTTCTTCCCTTTTTTTTCCCGCCCTTTTTTGCCTCTTTGCTTCTTTTGCTGTCTTGCTTTTTGATGCTGCTGGCTTGTTCCTTGTTCTTTCTTGAAAAGGTAGATAAGCGAGACTTACATCTTGCCTTCCAGCTTGGCCGTTATCGTCCTCATCTCCATTTCCAGTCCGGTGGTGGAGACAAGTCCCGACTGGAGTCAGAGGGAAAGAAGAGGTAGATAAACGACAAAGTAGTTTAAGTGGATAGGGTGATGGAGAGTAGTGATGCTACCTGTATGTGTTCTCTTTTTGAGGACAAGGCCTTTTTCTTTTTTTTCTCAGGCGAGGCTTACATGTACATTTTTGCCTTCCAGCTTGGCCGTTATCATCATCTCCATTTCCACCTCCATCATTACCATCTCTAGTCCGGTGGTGGAGAAAAGTCCCGAGTCAGAGGGAAAGTGTAGATACCTAAACGGTAAAGACAGCGTGGGGAGATTGATAAAGCGGAGAGATGGAGAAATGGTCTTTTTCCTTTCTTAATTTTTTTTTCCTGCCGGGATAACGTCTTGTCTTTTCTTCCTTCAAGCGAGGTTTACGAAACCTCGCCTACTTCTAGTCACTAGAGGTACCTTACCTACTCACATGTCCACTTTGCCTAGGCAGTAACGGAGGGAGCTCCGGTGTGAAGTTCGCCAAAGTTCGCGAAGCTCGCAGGTGAGAGCGAGGAAAGGGCGAAGAAAGGGCGAGGTGAAGGCGGGGATACATACAAGCTAGAAGTACACAGATTGAACGAACAGTCAGTTGGATCTAGGGGGAGATGGGGAGATGGCAATGGTGGCCCGGCAAGTGATGCCACGAAGGAATTGGTGATGTAACGACTTGTTCTCTGCCATCATGTTCATCACGCCTTATCTTTCTCTCACTTTTCACATTTTTCCGGCTTGTGCCCTTGTTCGCATCTCTGAGGTCTTTCTTTGCTTTTTGCCCTGAAACGCGTGCGCCTGTCTCACCACCTCTCCCATGTCTCCCCGATTTGTCTCGAAATGACTTCAAACTCACCACGCTGAACTTGGCGAATTTTACATCTCATCATGCTCATGTCATCAGTGATGCTGATGTCCTGGGTACTACTTCGTGTGTTTCAGAAACACCTTCTTCGCGGTAAATAGGATCTCACTAAGACATGGACTTCCATGTGGTTTCATGATGTCGGTAAGCCATGTCTACTTGGTCTTCTCTAACAACGTCGCTCAAAAGGTGTGAGGATGAAGGATGTAATGGTTGTGGTTCATGCCTACCTTCCACTTATTACTCGCAGATCTGATATGCCTGTCACACGGCGGATCAATTCCGCATAGCATCATGGTAACTCGATACCAGAGGGCCCAGTTCGCATACCATCGGCACCCCGAGATCTGGGAACCACCCTCACGGTATCATGGTATCACGGTATCATACCGACTCATGGGACCGCGGAAGTATTCCGGAATTCCTAGCTTCGCGTGCCCACCTGGGATATGCCACCCTTGAGAAGACCCATTCCCAACCGGGCCGACGAACAGGTCGACCCAGACTTCATCTGTCCCTCCACCCTGTTGTGTGATACCGAGACCTTGGAACCGCGTGCTCGCGTTATCGTGGAAGATGATTCCGGGACCCGCTGGAATAGTAAAGCTAGACCTAGGTGAGAGATTTCACCCCAGGTAGGAAGCAAAGCTAACCCACACTCACCCGCCGTTCTGGTGCCCAAGGTCCCCGTTTGGGCAGGTTACGGGGGTCACTTTGGTCGCCATGTGGGATAGTGATACCGAGACATTGGGACGTGATATCAAGGAAGCAGGTTCCGGACCCGCTAGGCCTAGCTGAGACATGGACACCGAAGAACTCGCGAGTAAGTAGCTAGCCTTGCTAGTGACCAAGTTCACCCACATGCTTCCCGGCCCCCCGGATTATGCCCACCGTAGATCCCGGGATACAGGTGAGACACCGAGAAGTAGGAAGGGTAGGCCGTTTCCCCACTGTGGCGAGACACTTCTCGCGATTTCTCGCGTGGAACTTTCCAGGTGAGGTAAGGTGAGGTAAGGTGAGGTAAGGTGAGGTAAGGTGAAGTCAGGTGAAGTCAGGTGAGCCAGAAAAGGCGAAAGTGAGATAGGTAAGAGGTGTAAGTGAATCGGAGACACCTCCGGTCGTGAAGCACAACATTATTGATGGACCGTTGGTGGCTTTCATAACGTTCAATAGCTTCAACGGCTCGACCAACATCCGGAATATCATGCAACTGCAGCTTGGACAGTTTGTGCCGAACAAAGTGTACATTACCGGATTGGGGTGAAGGGCAGAAGTGATCGACGACACCACCCATCCATCTTGACATCCAAGAACCATGCTTACAACACCTGTGTTTAACCTCTGGGCAGGGCTGCCTGCATGAGATGTTCACCTTGGCTACTCGGTTGTTCCTTGGTAGAATGTGTAATACAGGATATACGAAGGAGATCTTCTCTGGGATCAGAGATTGGGCCTGACAGTCTTTGCCTGAAGCGCTTCTTGGTAAGAGGGATTGTCTGGCCGAGGGCATGTTTCCGGTAAGTAGCAGTCGGAGCTTTTTGGTAGAGGGAAGAAGAGTGGAAAATGAGATTGACGGTTCATGTCTTCTGGTACTCTCAAAGAGCAGGAACCTGGACAGATGATGAACAAGATGAACAAGAGATCTTGCATGAGTAGCGTAGTTGTTGGTTCCGCGTCGGTGCCCTGTCGGTTGGTCGGCCATGAGATGGAAGCGTAGTAGAAATTTTCCGGTTCCTGTCCGTCAATCATCACCATGGTGGTACTGGTGGTACTGGTAGTAGTAGTCGATATGCCGGTATTGGGATCACTTGTCAGTGACGAGTAACTGGTAACGGAGGGGGTATGTCATTGTCGTGTGGAAATAGTGGAACCGTGCCTCGGAAATACCGGCAATGCGACATTAACCCTCCCTTCTGGTCGAAGTCTGAATCCCATCTCTTTTCTTATGAGTCTGGCAATGACGCATATAGGGTTCAGTGAGGACAAGATCCAGGGTCTCTCGCTGACGTATAGCGAAGTCAAAATCTTGGCAAACGTGGGATTCAAAGAGAGACAAAAGACAAAAGTGCGGTGGGAAAGGGAAGAAGTCAGAGAGGCAGACTCTCGTTATAATGTCATGTTGCGTCATGGCAAAGGGGAAATGATGGTGAAGAGCAGAAAGACGGTGTCCAGATTGCAGACAGGTACCACCATGACACGAGGCTGTAAGACGGGCGGGCCGCTTCCGATTGGATCGTTTGTAAAAAAGCGATGATCAGCAGGAGATGGAGATGTCAATATTTATGACACTGGCAAAAGACCACCGAGACAGCTGTCGTCAGCGGGCATCAGGCCTAGAACTACTTGACAAGTCCACAAAACCTTATTTTGACGACAAGGGTTAGGGGCCCGCCCTCCTCCACTAGAGTGCCATTTCAGTGGGTTCCGTACAGGGTAATTACAGTTTTTCCCTGCTTGATCGGCCAGGAACTTGCCCAAAGCTATCGCACCTCGCTCATGTCACTTTCCCCTGAAAATGTCTCCCGCTCTTTCCCGCCGCGCGTGCAGTCGTTTGCAAGGGTTTGTGCTCGTTTGCGAGTCTGGGCATCCGTCATATCGACTGATTCTGGGTGCTGGTTGGTCAATTGGAAATGAGACAAGGTCTGCACCTTCCTGCGACTGACTGCGACTGAATGCGACGACGGGACAATGTGGGAAGGGTCCATCCTCTGCTCTTTCTGTCACTTTCCATTGTTTCGGTTCGTGTCTCGTTTCCAGTCTTGTGATGTTTCCTCTTTCCTCTTTCTCTCTCTGACACTTCTCGAGATTCCTTCATTCTTCCACTCACCAGACCAGGTCATCACTACCCCCTTGCTCTTTACGTGATTCCATCATCCACTCTTCACTTTCCATCATGTTCCCTTTCCGAAATGACGGGAGTCCTAGAGTCCACACATCACAACATCGGCTGCCATACCCGGGCCGGGTAGTCTCGATTGGTCCGCGCGTCTCTCGAGCTGTTGTCTCTGTCAGTCTTCGGCAACTTGCGCCAAAAGGTGGATGACGGACATCGACGGTACCTGCCCAGTTACCCTCCACTCCCACTTCCGCTTACAAACGATGATGAACACCAATAGTAGGGCGAGGGATGGACATCAAACCTCTGGCCAACGACGGATCTCCTGCCGCTCCCTCTTCAGCCCTGCAATTGCTCTTTGCCATGCTGAATTAGGTTAGTGGCTTTGGTCTGCCCTGGGAATGGCATCCCGCCCGTTCGTTCCGCTCTTCCGGGGTAAAGCAAAGGTGGACTGGGTGGAGAGCATGTCACTGGCACCTCACTGGGTAGAGTCAACAACATGATGTCCGTGTGGATGGGAGCACATGGAAGATGTCGAGGCAACTTGGCAATCTTGGGTTGCGTCAGTTGTCTTTTCGGCGCAGTTATCAATGCACGCCATCTCGCCGAAGAACACCTCTCAGTTGTCCAGAACACACCTATTCATCCTATCATCACATCGACATTCAGTGTCCATACAAACCAAATACCACACCACGATACAACCACCACAGCCTATGGATCTGTCGCATCAAGAGGACCAAAGAGGAAGCTCCAGCCCCGAGGCACGGATAGTCCGCCTAAAGACTGAACCAGGCACAAGCACCAGACAGAGCCCTGGCCCTTCCTCCAGTTCCAATGCCACCACTGCTGGGTCTTCGAATAGACCCGTCCAGCCTCCCAAGGTTTGCGACAAGTGTCGACTAAGAAGTGAGTCTTGTCCACATTTCCAGATCCGCTTCCACCTACCCTGAGCACATGGCGTGATAATCGATGGCCCATTCTGTCGGTGTCGATGTGATGTGTCGACCCCTGTCAGCAACAGGACCCTGATTGTCAGATTCGGAAAATAAGCACAAAAGGCTAACCTTGCTTGGCTTGGATACAGGAATCAGATGCGATTACCAGTCGCCTTGTCAACCATGCATAGACGCAAAACTCCAATGCACCAGAAACCATGTGCCGCGTAAGAGAGGGCCTAGACCTGGCCGTGGCCGTCTTATCAACAGACTCAGAGAACGCGAGGCTGGCAAGAAGGAAGAACAGTGTCCAAGCAGTTCTGGAGAGTGAGTGCCCCCTGTCCTCAGTGTCAAAACGCAGGGCTGACCAAACCCAGTCCGGAGGTAAGCGACGGAGCCCGGTCAAACAATACCGACATCTTCCCGCAAAACGCTTCCGTCTCTACCACCTGGGCCTCCGACGTGAGCATAGCCCCCGAAACAACCGGGCTCTTTGCCAACGAACACATCTTCCCCTCACGAGGCGCATTTCTCTACCTTATTCCCAAATGTGTAGAACTCTTCTATCAACACCTGTATCCCGTCATGCCCGTCCTGTACATGCCGGAAATCCAACGAATGGACCCGCGAACCTGCGATCTCCCCGAAAAGAACCTCTTGTATTCCCTTTCGGCTCTCACCTGTTTTCGCATGTCTGGCCACAGCCTCGGGGCTGAAGACAGTCCCGAATTTTGGGACCAGGCAGGCCGTTTCCTCCTCAACGATTGCTTAGATGTTAGGAAGCAATATGACTTATATGAGAACATTTCGTTGAACACGGTCGTCTCGTCCATGTTTCTGGCTTCTTCTTTCTTCGAGACTAACCAGAGCACCAAGGCTTGGGTTTACCTGCGCGAGGCCCTGACCTTTGCGCAGGAGCTGGGCTTGGAGGATGAGTCGACTTACGCGGGTTTGAGTCCAGAGGAGGCGCTATGTCGGCAGAGGGTGTTTTGGTTGTTGTATGTTATGGAACGGTAAGCCTCCAATCTCCATTGTCCTCTTTCATAGCTCTCCAGAGAAACAGATACTAACAAAAATCAGTTCATTTGCAATCCTCCGCAACAAGCCCCTCATGTTGCGCCGGACACCCAAACTTCCCATGACCCTTCACGCTTACGAATCCCGCGGCATCCACACCGGTTTTCTCCAACTTCTCGGCATCTACATTCCCCTTCGTGACTCCATCATCGAAGCCTGGACCTATGGCTCCCACCCCACCGTCGACGTCAATACCTACCTCGCTCTGCAGAACCAACTTGCTCGACCAGCTGGCAGTTCAGGCGGTTTGTCCATCCCACATCCACTTCTTCCTCCCTCTCCCACCATCGCCGTATCCTCCGTACAGATTCCGGTCACCCAAGCCTGCGGCTTCTCCGATCTCTCGCTCTCATCCTCATCAATTTCGTCTTCGCCTACCGATCCTGTAGCTCCAGTGGCAGAACCAACACCATCTCAAACCGCCGAGCTGTTGGTAACCCAGCAGTGGCTCAGACTGATTATCTGGCTCTCCTCTTTGCGGCAGGGGTACCTGTCATGGGCTGCGGAGAATGAGAGTATGCATTTCGCATTTCCCTTGACGATCGCTAGGCAAACTGCGTTGGTCTTGCGGTCTCTCCTGCAAATCGGCTTGGAGGCGAATGGTATGGCAGCGCTGGAGGTCAACGGGATAGGCATCTTTGAAAAGATCTTTGAGATTGGCGCTTGGTGTATGAATGTGCTGGATTCGTACGATAAAGCCTCTTTGGAGGGGCAATTTCTTTCCTTACCCAATTTCGGTCGAAAACACAGCGCATGCTCTGGAAAGGGCAAGCAGGCTGCCAGGTCAGCAACCAACTCCCCAGCCGAACAGACCATGGACTACGAGGAGGAAGATGATGTCGATCTGCTCGATGTTTTCATGAGGGCACTCAGCGCGACGCCGACTAGCAGGAAGCAATTCGCTGAGCCCCTTTACATGTGGGCGACGACGAGACCGGGGGGTATGCGGATCAGGTCAAGCCCAGGGTTGCATCCAGACACCGGTGGCGGTGCTGGTGCCGGTGCCTTTGGTATGGCACAAACGCAGCCAGGTCTGGCCGGGCAAATACCGGGACTGGGGCCGGGCCAAGGGCTAGGCCTAGGTCAAGCGTCTGGGATAGGCGCGGCGCAGGGACACAATGCGAGTTCGATGATGCACCAGCAGCAACAATTGCAGCAGCAGCAGCCTGGAATATGGAGTGCTGCTTCCGCACATGCTCATGGTCAAGCACCGCTTGCAGGGTCGGCTACCGGTAGCGGAGCTGGACTCGCACGTCCCAGCGGACCCGGGCCCGGAGGCGGACAAGGTCAGGGGATGGAAGATGTCGTCATGGGAGATCAACCATCTCATCAAGGCCAAGGGTTCAACATCGATCCGAGGCTTGGTGCAGGTTCCAACGCGCCCGGGGGATTGCAATTTGCCCGCCAACCCCTTCGTCCCAACGCACCACACCTGCCCAGTCCGCTGCCCGGTCAATTCGGCGGATCACCTACGTCCCTGTACAACGTCCCTGGCTGGAGTCCCATTGACCCTGGGGGCCTTACGAGAGCGAGGAGTCGCACGATGGGCATGGGGCAGCTGAAGGGGTTGATGGCTATGGTCCAAGGAGGACCAGGCACGCCGGGGTCTTCCGGGCCTGATAGCTCCCAAGCAGGAAATTGACAATGACGGCGGTGGCAGTTGAAAAGTTGTTAGATCTCATTTGCTTTGTTTCTTTGCGTTTTACCAAAACTCTACGGCGTGTCGTGGGTGAATGGATACATGTTGGGAGACGGAAGGACATTTGCTTTTATCACAGATGGAAGGATCTTTGTAACAACACTCATTCGTTAGGTGCGCGCGCGGGCGTTTTGCTTTTTTGCTTTGTTTGAAAAAGGAATGAGAGAAGGAGTCGGGTGTATCATTACCAGAAGCAGGACCGTGTACAAGGTGGTTGTAAGGTTACGGTTGCAAAGACTGTACAATAGGGGAGTGTACGATATGGTGGACGATACGGTATCTCTTACAGTGCTGTTTTTTCGGGTCGGATAGAGACGGGTCTCTGTTACAGCTCTAGATCGGAAATACTGGATAGAGCGGAGGAACGACCTTGGGGCATAGAAGACGAGATTCTGAAAGCACACGTCAAAAAATCTGATAGAGGAGGACAGCAGATAGAGGAGGAGATCTGAGATATACAAACTTGTATCATACCTGTACCATTATACAATTACTAGATTGTTTCCCATCAAAACCCACCACGATTAAATTACACTTTTTTGACCGAAAGATCATTCGATCAACCATAGAGTTAGCAAGTTTCAGATGAACCTGAGTTCTCTCTTCTTATAACCTTTGTCGCCAGCCCAGTACTTAAGCTGAGCCAGGCCCTGGCTTCCAGATCTTGCTTTTCTTCTTATCATCATCATCATTTGTAATGCTAAAAACATCCAAGGCTTCTTCCTTCTTATCCCGATAAAACATGTTATCCGGAGGACAAATCTGGTAAACATACTTCCATTTGGTTATATAGATGAGACATAGCACCGTTCATGACGGACAAGATGCGGTATTGGATGAAAAGCAAGACCCAAAACATGAAGATAACACAAGAATCCGACAGATACTAGCAAGCCGTACCATTACAGCTGCTCCTCCAACTCATACTCCTCCACCACCTTTACCTCCCAACCCCAACAACCGTCTGGTCCCTTTCTATAGGCCAAGAGCTTATCCTCATCGTGTTCAGCGTCCCACTCGTCCGCGAACTTCTTCAACCGTGAAGGCCGAAACATTGTCCTCGGCCTTTGCCAAAACGTGGAAAGGACTTTGGGGGCTTTGGGCGCGATGGGCCAAGGCATTCAGCAGCTCAAGTGGGCTCATCGAATAGACCCTATCAAGCTTCCAGCAGCCCCAATGCAGGACAATAACAGCCACGATCCCGGCAATACCAGTGACTAGGGCCATAGTGTAACACAACTGCGCCCGCTCGTTATCCCCCAACCACTGGCCTTCGATCCTTTCGCTGAAATACGGTACGCATTTGGTCTCGTTGGTATGGATCGCTGCGATTACCGAAACTCTCAGGGCTAACTGCCGGTACATCCAAAGAATGTCGTCCATGGGCGATTTGAATCCCAATCTTGCACGGGTGCTCACTGTCCCATTGGGAATTAGACTTGTTGACTTATGAGGCTGCGAATATGGCTCTGATAGCCTGTACCAAACTGGTCATCGTCATAGTGCCACCAATGTCGGCCATACACGGCGCCAAATTTCGTACCATAGAGGCTTTGGCCTAACTTCGTAAGAAGCTGCAAGCGCTTGTCATCCAGGACGGGAGTAAGTAAATGCCGGTTGAGAGGCAGAAAGTTTGTATGTCGTATTTACGGTCAATAAATGACCGCTTGGCCCCGGCTCGTCCCTGATGTCAGTCGAAAAGAGGGTTTGGGTGCCCTCGGCTGGGAGTACGGCTTCGAAATTGTATTGGCGACTAGTTGAAACCGAGCAAATCTCAGACCATCCGAACCCCTACGGCAATGTTAGTTGTCTAATTTTTTCCTGCAAGAAACTGCCATTCTAGATCGTTAGAGGTACTTACGAGAGTATCCACGGAGCATTTATCACAAATCTTCACGGGAAATTGAACGGCTGTGCTCGTCAGATACCCCCGATAGGCTGTCATGATCGGATGGTTTATGGCAAACACGGAAGCGAACGGAGGAGGGATAATATTCGGAGTGATATGGATGTTTGCCGTTCCATTGCGGCCAAGGACAACGTCGTCCTGATATAGAGAATGGGCCCATAGCCACGCGTTTGCGGGGATTGCGATAACGAAAAGAATGGACACTAGGACATCGAAATATCAGCAATGCACCAACAGGCAACAGGAACTCGGGTACACGGAATAAAGTAAGGGGCACAATAACTTACGCCAGGCTGTCCAAAGGGACTTTCCGCGCCGAATAGCTTTGGTGATCGTTCCAAGAATGGGAACGGGATGTAATGCTGCGAATATTCTCAAGCAGACAAAACGTTTCATCCCGGAGGACAAATCTGATAAACGAATTTCCATTTGGTCATATACATTGGACGTAGCACCGTTGGTGATGTACAAGATGCGTTGTTGGATGGAAAAGGAGAGAGCAAGACGTCCAAGAAATTAGGCGGCAAAATCCGGCCCCATTTCTTGAATGACTTGAGCGGTCACACTTGCAGACGCCTTCACGACTGGTATAGTTCTTTCCATCCTAAAACAGACTTCAAAAGATTGTGGGTCCATTACGGCGCGAGGCATTCGGGAAGGCAGCAGAAGAAGCAGGAAAGACTTGAACGGCTCCACCAACTTCGGTCATGGGACTTTGCCGAAGGTAGACGGGACGGGAAGGAGCGAATTGTGAGGGTGTCGTCACGGGGCGAGCAGACGGGGTGGGCACGATTGGACATTGTTGTTCGCAATTTGAACGCGAGTCCAGGAAAGGACAATTGGCAGGCGGGAGGGACATAACAATCTGGCCGAAAAAGGGTTGACCAGGGTAAGGAGGAAAGGAGGTGTCAGAGAGGGTTGGTGGTTGATGCTGTAGAAAAATCGAAACCGAAGCATGGAAACCTAGAGGTTTGGGAAGGAGTGTCGGTAAATGGGCGCCAGGACACAGACTACCGTAGTAACTCGGGAAATTGGCAATAGAGCTATCCCTCTTTAAGCGCCGGGCAGGGCAGAAATCTATACAGGGCAAGCCAGAGCCTGTACATTGAAACGCACGCAAGTTAGAGTAATAGGCATTGTCCTCGAGTTTTCACTAACGGGACAGACACATCTGCTGGTGTATGCGTGCTTACGGAGCGCCGCGTTCTGCCCTGCCAGGCGCTCGAAGAGGGATAGCTCTATTGCCAATTTCCCGAGTTACTACGGTAGTGTGGTTCTTTCCATTTCATGTTCCCAACTTCAGGTTGTGTGCGTTCAGGAGTTGCCGTCTTCGATGAAGGCTCGATGGTTCTTTCCCGGTGCCGGCTGGAGTGCTCGTAACAACGATTACACCGAGGCTCCTGCGGCACTGCTGCTGCTTCTACATATTTTCCCAAAATCACCAGAAGCGAGAACAGTGCATTCAAAGCAGAGGGCAGCAACCTGCATTCCCCAAGGTCCAGTTCAGATCCGCGGTAGTGCAGTATGGGGAAGCCTGCCTTACCGTGCAGGGTCCGCAGCTGTACCCTGCACAGTAATGCAACAGTAAGCGCAGTACAGCAGTACGATATACCGGTTTACTGGCATAACGAACGCACAGAGCGCAGTAAGCCAGTAATGTCGTGATGCTTGGCATGGTGTTGAGGTCCCTACCGTAGAAACTCGCGAAAGTCGCCAAAAGCTATCCCTCTTGAAGCGTTGGGCATATGGCAGATGTGTACAGGTAGCTGGCAGGACAAGGCCAGGCCCTGTGCACTTGAATGTATTTAAGTTACCGCAAAGACTCGGGCCGTTAATTTTCAGCTTCCAGGGAAATCAGACATAATCAGTACACTTGAGGCACCTCTAGCATTGCAGACTGCTCGAATCTCTTCCAAAACCCAAACCCTAAGGCACTTAATACATAGATTCTATCAGTTGGGCCCTGTTAGCTGAAAATCAACGGCCCGAGTATTTGCGGTAATGCGGTGGGCAATGTCCTTGAGTTTTCACTAACTGCCCTGGACGAGCACATATGCTGGCATATGCGTGCTTACGGGGCATGCTTATGACAGATTTCTGCCATATGTCCGGCGCTTAAAGAGGGATAGCTTTTGACGACTTTCTCGAGTTTCTACGGTATCTCTGTTAGTATGGCCCTGATACTTCGTCGGTTACTCGGAAGTCTGTGTTGACTAAGTACCCAGAACCAGGGCAGCGTATAGTTGATTGTCGTATATATAAGGGCGAGGTCTACTGTGAAATCCAACACATCTTTCTCTTTCTTATCATCACCTTCTCCATCTTGTTAAATAGCAGGGACCCTCCAACTTCAACCACCAAACTCACCACTCAGTCTTTCACATCATCTCCCATCATCTTCGAAGTTGCTACTATGAGGTTTCTTCCTACCGTTGCTGCCCTTACCGGCGTTGCCCTTACCGGCGCTGCCCTTACCGGCGCTGCCCCTACCGGCGCTGCCACTACCGACGCTATCCTTACCGGCGCTGCCCCCCCTACCGGCGATGCCCTTACCGGCGCTGCCCCCCCTACCGGCGATGCCCTTACCGGCGCTGCCCCCCCTACCGGCGATGCCCCTACCGGCGATGCCCTTACCGGCGCTGCCCCCCCTACCGGCGATGCCCCTACCGGCGATGTCCTTACCGGCGATTGCCCTACCGGCGCTGCCCCCCCTACCGGCGATGCCCTTACCGGCGCTGCCCCCCCTACCGGCGATGCCCTTGCCGGCGCTGCCCCTACCGGCGATGCCCCTACCGGCGATGCCCCTACCGGCGATGCCCCTACCGGCGATGCCCCTACCGGCGATGCCCCTACCGGCGATGCCCTTACCGGCGATGCCCCTACCGACCTCCCTACTGCCCAACTTGACTTGTCCAAGTACAGCCTCTCCGAAATTACCGCAGCTTACTTGGCTTATACTGCGAAGGCAATGTCCGGAATCGACGGGACACCTCAGTCTTCGACTACGAATGCTGGTGTAGGGGGGGCTGTCTGCCCCTGCTTGGGGGTAGCAACTGCAATTGTCAACGGCTTTCTGGCGCTTCTAGGCCCGGCGCTTCTAAACCCAGCGCTTCTAAACCCAGGGGCACAATGTGTGTCTTGCCCACAATGTTAGGTTGTCTTGGATTGTGGGTGGGATTACACCTTCGCGGTACGTCTTCGTGTCCTCCTAGTCGCATCTTACCTTGCACGATATCTTACTTTACGCAAAACCGGGCATGCAACCATGCATATTTCTCGATGAGAATGGAACTAACGGGTCTGATTTGGGACAAACAGATATCATGTTCCTCGCCATCCGAAACATTTTGCGAGCAGCTTGAGAAGCCTAGGTAGACAGGTCCCTGACTTTGTCGCCACCGCCCTTCCACTCGCCCGCACAAACCCAAAGATACCTGGCAATAGGGCAGAGAGCCGCATATGTGACGGATTGGGGCAGGGTACGGAAGGAAAGATGGGGATATATATGCTGAAAGGATATGTGCGCATGTTTGGGCTTTTGTCATTCACCAAGGGAAAACCATAGGTGATTACCTACCTACCCTTTTCAAGCAAGCAGAAAGAACTAGCTTCAAGATTAGAAACAAGTAGTAGTTTGTCCTGTAGCCAAGTGATTGATAAAATAGGTAGTTCTTCCAATTTTGTTCGTTCGTGATTGTCGTGATGTTCCTTCGATTTTAATTCATGACTACCTAGGTAACTTTTTGACTTTGTCCTCGGCCACTCGGCCTGCTCGTAAATACAACCTGGAAGTCGGTACCTTAACCAGGGGAAGCGGAAGGGGAGGGGGGACAGGAACAGGGAAAGGGAAAGGGGGAGAGGATCAAGCAAGTGAGAGGCAGACTGAGGGAGATCTTTGGAGAGAAGGTCTATGATTTTTTCAGTCCGGAGTTGATGGATTTGATTGCGGCGTGGGAGGGGAGGAGGAGTGGGAAGTTGAAGAAGGTGGTGAAGGAGTAGAGCTAGGTAGAGGTGCAGTCCAATACTGATTTGTTTGTTAGTTTGGTACTGGGAGTGAGACCTATCCCACCTCGTCCTGAATGCCTTAATGGTGCTTTGAAATGCATAATCATTAGCCATAAACACTTTTTTAGTTTCTAGTTTGATATATTTACAGTAGTGTCACGCCTTTGGCATCGACGAAGATACCTAGCGAAACAGAAGTATAGGGAAGGTTTGAAGGCTTGAAGCATTTGATTCTAATTTATAAACGTGTCTCGCCCCCTCTCAACTTCTCCTTCGCCAAGCGACGAATTCAGGTACTCGCTTTGTAATCCCAATAATCACTCTTCACGACCAAAACAAGCCCTCAAGCGCAGATCGCTGTAAAACACCTTCACACTTCTAATCCACACTATATGATGAGCAGAAGCTCCTAGTATATAGAAAGGGATCAGACGGTTGTTGGGCTTCCGAGATAAAGGTGAAAGAACCCGAGTCATCGGGGTAGCAGCAAGAGAGTGACGTGAAAAATGGGACGAATGCTTGAAGATAGCATGGCGAGAAACTCGGCAGAGTGGGAAGTGTTATTGGGGGGTTGTATAGCCTTATCAAGGCAATCATTTTTTGACTTTTGTGCGTTTCATTTGATACAGGAAACCAGGGGTTCCAGCACCTCATTTACAAAGCGAGAGATGGAGATATGATTCGGGAGATAGCTTCTTCGGTCATAAGAAGAACCGACCAATGATTCTCATTAACAACGAACTAATATAAAAGGAAAAAAATAATGTAATGAGTAAGAAACCTCCTTGCCCCAAAGTCTAGAAATATATGTGTGTAACGTATAAAAGTTAAGTTAAAAATGATTGCCTTAATAAGGCTCCAAAGTACAGGTGGGTGGATGGGAAGGGGTTCTTATATGCGATGACAGCCCAGATGGGATGAAAAGAAAGACCCAAAACATGAAGATAACACAAGAATCCGACAGATACTAGACCACCGAGGTCACCCTACCTCTAAACCGGACTTTCGTCATCCTCAAATCCGCATCCTCAACCTCCTCCACACTACCACCCTCCTCTACACCACGACCCTCCTCCACATCACCATACTTCTCCACATCACCATCATCCTCAACATCACCATCCTCCAATTTCTTCACAAGCTCGGACCCTTCCAAGTTGAGGCCCAAAACCATCGATAGGCCATTGTTTGCCGATAACATGGTCCCAAATGTAGTCTGCCGCACCGTAGTACTGAACCAAACCAAGTAATAGAACCCCTGCGTACACCGCGAAATAGGCCCATATGGACAGCTCCCCGGTCCGTCTTGCCGTTTCCGGACCCTGCTGTGAATCCGGTGTGATGGCCGTAGGAGAATTCATCGACGTGGGGATTGATGACATCGGTGTTGTTGCTGTCGGACCCATCATAAAAGGGAGGACTGCGTCTTCAATTCCCCAAACACCCGTAGCTGTGAGCTCACCAAATCGAAGGGGCTTTCCGCTTCTCCCTTGGTCCTATTCACGGGCAAATTTGACGAGCTGGGAAGGATGGCTGTTGCATTTAGCCATGACAGTCAATAGGCTCCGCTCAGTGAGTTCGTAACCGTCGGTGCTTCGGGTGTGATGCAAAAATGCATTTGCGAGCTCAAGCGGGCTCATGGTGAAATCTCTTCCGAGCTTGTGGAAGCGCCACTCGATGACCAGAATACACAACGGCCCAAAGAAACCGACGACTGCAGCGAGAGTGAAGAGGGCCATGTGCCTGATCTCTTGGATATTCTGGACAGTCTCTCCATAATAGGAGACCCGACGGGTTTCGTTCCCGTTGGTCGCTGTGATGACCGGGACCCGGAGGGCCAGTTCACGGTACATCTCCAGTATATCCATCGTGGGCGACTGGAACCGAACATTGCAGGGGTTCGGCCGATGGTGATTGGGAGCTTGGTGTTCGCCGTACGCTGGTGCAAGGTGACTCCTTTTTCCAGAGCCGCCGTCGTCCTCGCCCATATGCCACTTGGAGAGATCCCGTACCGCGCCGAAATACGTGTCGAAAAGGTCTTGGCCAACCCTTCTAAACGGTTTAAACCGCTGATCGTGAAATCCTACTTGGGGTAGAATTCCCTGGTGGACAGGCATATAGACTAGTGCGGGGCAATTCTCGTAATAAGGGGAGTAGTGGACATTAGGGGATGGGTTGTACACGCTGCGAAGTATGTTAGCCTTTTTCTTCTTCCAGAACCCACGATGCGCGGGCTGAATCGACAAGAATGTTCGTCACATACGCTTCTTGGAGAGTCTTGTCTCTTTTGTAATAGGTCGTGTTGCCCTTGATATGCAAGCGATAGCTTGCAATAGATGGCCCGAGGGAGCACTGACTGAAGATGTACTTGCCGGTACATCCATACTCGGGCTTGTGGATGGTTTCAACGATTATCGAATAACCGCTGCCCGTGTCCATGCTATCCCTTTACGGTAGTGTTACGTCCCCTTTATATGACCTCATGTAAAGCTGATAACCTGTTTAGTCCAGAAGATATGGTGTTTTGTCGAAAGTATGATCAGATGACTACATATGGGAATGGGAAATTGCAAGGTATGAAGCAACATGGAAACAGGGTCGATTTGTAAGAGAAAACGGAATGTAACGACGGTTGAATTCGTCAGCCACAGTCCGTCAGCCAAAATGGCGGACAGATGTGGCTACATGACTACGCGATCAACATGGTTATCCCACACCCCAACCATTAGCGAAGCATCTCACCCTCGCGCACCTCTTCTGTGCGCCCGGCCTCGTCAAAACCGATGGTGGTTGCCGCCGGCATGAAGCCGTAGTTCATCTCCCCTTCCTCATCCATCCGGCAGAAATGTTTCTCGAGCTGGGCGGCAGTGGCATTGGTGTTGCATTTGGCTAGGGCGCTGGAGAAGCCTTGGGCCAGCGGATCTGGCTGCTCGACCGTCGTTGGGCCTGGTGCCCGTGGGATGAATGCGTTTGCCAGTTCGAGAGGGCTCATTGAGACTGTACGCCCCAGCTCCCACCACCCCCAGCATACCACCACAAGGCCAACCTGGCCAATAAGGCCCACCAGAGCGGCAAGAACAAGAAATGGAATGCGTGCCACGTTCCAAACAACTTTTTTTGCCTGTAAACCCCACCACCTGTGTTTTTATGTGGCCAGGGCTATTGTCTGGGAGGTCGGCAGCGGCGAGTACGGACATGCGGAGAGCAAGTTCATCGTATATGTTTATGATTTCTTGGATGGGTGAATTGTAGGAGAGATGACAGGGCGCGTCCACATTATGTTGTGGAGGTGTGCCTGTGACGGCGTCGACAATGATGATGATAGTACCGAAGATGTGCTGGTCCGGACACATGACTGCGGCCTTCCAAGCCGGCCACAAGGTGGCGTCGAGAAGCTCGAGGCAGTGCGCAGCCGATGTGTAGAGCAGCCAGAGAACCCTCATGAGGAAGGTCCTCGATGGTCAGTGATGCTGGAATATAGGTACGAGAAAAAGGGTCGTTGCCCTGAGTCGTCGCCAAGTGACCACATCATGTTACTGGGGTCGCAAAAGTACTCTGACAGTAGAAAGATGTCAATATGCCGTCCAAACGGGAATAGTGCGTGGGCTTGCGATCGTCATGGAGAAAGACCTCAAACTCACCTTCAAAGCCTGTGGGGCGCTTCTTCTGACTCTTCTTCTTCTTAGACTTTTTCTTCTTTGTACGTCGCGTCGAGGTGTGTGTTGAACATGGTGCGTCCCACACTGCCGAGATGCACAAACCGATTGTCGTGTACGTGAAATACTCTGTTGAGGCCTGGGTACATCTGGTACTCGAGCTCGAAGGGGTAGCGCGGATATGTCTCACTAGGCAAAAGTGTTAGCCGCCAATTTGCGTTTTTGTCATCCCATCAGATAGAGATCGAATTCACTTACACAGATTCAATCACATTGTTCGGCTCAAACTTTGTCATCCGACCACGGACGTCGATCTGGTATCTCACGGTTGCGGGGGAGACTCGGCTAGGTACACTCCTTTACAGCCATCTTGAGGTTTGCGCAGAGTACTGATGCTGATTCCAAACCCGTTTGGGCCATGTAAATCCGTGAATCCGTGATATCAATCTTGAATAGGTCGTAGGTGACAGAATCGAAGCGCGCGTCGAGGATGGGATCCTCAAAGTCATATGATCCGGCATGGAAGGACCAACACTTAGCATTCCACCCGAGCCCCTACAAAATGGTTAGTCATCCGATTGTCATCAACCACGAGCCTGCTTCGCAACTTACAAGAGCATTCAAGGTGCAATTATCACAGACATCCTCGCCGAACATGATGGGTTGGTTTGCTTGCAAACCACGGAACGCGTTGAGGGAAGTGGCCGCCATGGAAGAGGGAAGAACCCCGTAATGGGTGACGTTGGGTGTCATGTCTACCGCAGCAATCCCAAAGAAAGGGATTGACGCCGTCTCTGTATGGTAGGCGCTGTGAATGATTGGCGTGCGTGCAAACATTGTAGCTGTGACCAAGAGACAGACTAGAACATGAACGTATTAGTAACGCATCAAAGGAGAGTATAGTTCTTGGTAGTATTGAGTACTTATTGAGGGAAAATGGAGAGAGTATTGAGGGAAAATGGAGAGAGTGTTCAGGAAAAATGGAGAGATTGTTGAGGGAAAATGGAGAGAGTATTGAGGGAGAACGGATTAAATGAGAAGCAATAGAAGAAGAAGGGATGGAAGAAGAAGTGATGGAAGAAGAAGTTATGAAGAAGTGGTGAAGAAGATGTGATGAAGAAGAAGTGATGGAAGTGATAGAAGAAGTGAAGGAAGAAGTGAAGCAGTGATGGAAAAGGAAGTGATGGAAGAACGGATTCAAGTTGACTTACCCAAGCTCATGCGAACCGCTCTGCCGTGACAGAGAGCCATCACGGCGCCGACCACATTGATGGGGCTCGCCCAGTGATTGTAGAAATCGCTAATTCGCATTCCTCTCATAGCTTGGAGCCAAAAGTGGACGACTCCTGCCTCGTAGAAAGCGACGCCCATCATCGCATTTCCGACGCTTGCGGCCGAGCCGACGATGTTGCCGAGTGTCGGCAGGAATGCTGGGCGCTCATCGAGCGGCCTCATATGGTCCCAGAGGATCGCAAACTACTCAACGCCGTAGCCTACAGGTAGAAAGCAGAGGACAACTGTCAGAACAGGGACTTGTGAGTTGATGGGAATAGAATTGTGGACGTACACAGGACGTTGGTGATCATGGGCAGAACAACCCAAAGGGGCATTCGCCTGAAGAAGCCAGTGCGCCACTGCGAGTCACTGGAGTCCATCTTCGGCCGTCGGTCGGGATGGAAGGTCGCAGCTGAGGTGAGATGCGAGCTCGCGGTTGAGATCAAATTGAAGAGGGCAAACTCGGCCAAGCCCCGAATCAACGGAGTCCTCACCCCGGGGCTCACGCCCACTGGGGGGGGGGCCTCGGCCTCGGCCTCGGCGTCGGCGTCGGCATCGATCTGAATCTATGTCAGACTCTGGATGTATTTGTCGACAACTTATGCGGACGAGACGGAGACAAATAAGATGGCAGAAAACCAAGTCCGAACTGGAGCTTGGGGCTAAGGTTCGCAGAAGACGAAGAGTACTCAAATCAAGAAGAAAATGGAGGTCGACCGCGGTTCTTCTGTCCGGCCTGATCACTGGGTGGATCTTTTCTAGGTGTGCGCCCAAGTTGCTGTTCAGACGAAATTTCGATGGTTCCTTCCCCGTACCGGCTCAAGATTTATATACGAATGGCAACAACGAATCTCACTCTCCGTCAATCAAGCCGCCAGCTCCGAGGTTTTTGCAGTTGCTTTCCTCCTCGGAACTTTGAGTCCGATCCCACTGGAAGCATCTCTGCTTTTCGGCCGCGCGAAGCCGTCGTACTTGCTTAAGCAAACGCCTTCACTCGGAACTCGAGGTCGCGGTCTTTGATAATCAACACCCCGACCGCTCGCGCACTTCCCCCAGCCGCCCCATGGCCTGTTGGACGTTAGTTACCAAGGACCTGATCTCGCGGATCAAGTGGAAGCTACCTGTTACGGTATCCGACTGCAAGTACTTATATTGGGGTTCCACTCATTCTTAGGTATCATCATCACTCGAAAGGCAAGCACAGTCCTCCCAAGTCGACCTCCCGGCCTGCGGCTTAGAAACTTGGAAGGGTTCTTGATCCAGCCAGGCAGGCATATCATCAAGTACGTAATATAAGCGACGCCGCCCCGATCACAATGTGTAGCCTCCCTAACTCCTGCCACTTGCCATTTACCCTTCGTGGTATTTATTTCTCGATGCTGTGACTTCCATTTCAACCCAGGGCAGGCAGGCATATCTATACCTGGCATGAGCGACGCCGACCCAATCTCGATCCAGTCTCGATGTAGCCTCCCTTCCTTCTGCCTCCTGCCTCCTGCCTCCTAGACTGGCAAAGAGTTTTTGAGTTTCCGGCGACAACCTGCCTGCTACCGTGGGTTGCTGAGTGGGTTGGCCGGTGGTAGCTTGGTTGGTTGTTGTGATGATATGATACTGGTGCCGCCCAAGCCGGGTTTGAAACACAATAATTTATGTTGATTATATCACATAGAAGTTCTGGCTTTCAGGAGGTAGGCTGGACAATGATGAAGGGGCAGCTCCATTTGTACCCCTTTCGCTGCCCAAGCAGTCCAAGTCCCATGAAGCATGGTAGGGAACTACCTATTGCCTACCTAAGCCATATCAACATCATCTAACGCCAGAAGAATCTCAATCCGGCTGAACACCTACCGCATGCACAACACGGATGACGATCATCAGCTCTCAGAAAACGGCAAAACGGAGGAAACATTCAACTCCCGAATGCCTTCCAAGCTAGAGTACACTCAGCGCATCCCCAGAAACTCCCCAACTCCCCACGTACGCCCCTAGTCGTAAGTACACCCCCTCACGACACTCAAGAGAAAAGAAACCTTACTTCCAGATAACCTCGCTCTTTTTTCTCATATATAATCCCCTATCCACCACCAGCACGTTTAACGTTATTTTGACTCTTCCGGTCATGTTGGCAAAGAGTAGTAGATAGTCAACTCTGTTCGGTACCTACCTACCCTGCCTGTCCTGCTTCTGGACCAGACAGTGGAGACTGCACCTTGCGGCCAACATAAGGACAACGGATTTGAGGGAGAAGGAATATGGGCTAATAGAGTAGGTCGAATTCAATGGAAATATATATCTTTTGGTTTGATTAGAGGTCAATATGCCAGTGTGGTTACTGTCTTCTGGCACCTCGGAAAATGGGAGTACATGGGGTGTTATTGGGGCCTAGGGGTGCGTCGAGTGGTGGCTTTCCCAGCGAAATCAGGGGTAAATAGTGTCATTGGAATTACCCGCCAACCCGCCAACGGTTCCTGCATGATCACCAACATCCCGAGTACTTCCTGAGTACTTCCCGACTACGTTGACCTGCATCGCGTGCCGTGTTGTTGAGAAGTTATACCACTGAGGGTGATGGCGTCTTGATAAGGTGGATCACGCCATTGGAATCCTATATTTCGAGTTCGGTATGTCAGTCGACTGGTGAAATTCAGAGATGGCAGAGATGCAGGGACTAGTTACACTAGGAGGGGTATGACGGGATGAGATATCAGAGATACCATAAGGATTGGTGACAATATCCTCGTTTGATGGATCTCTCAGAGCACAACGCCGACGTACCGGCAGCTCACGCCGTGCCGGGATCTACCAGACACTTCACCCATACACACACTGCAACAGCACGCCTTTCGGATCAAGTAATAGAAATTGATGATAGAATTACAGTCAATAGTCATTGATAGAGTGAATTCCAATCCCAAACCACCTGAAAACTCCAACCGGCCCAGGCCCAACCGCAACCGCAACCCACCCCGTCTCTTTCTTGGTTCCGCGCTTTGATTTTGATGCCGCCGCTCGAAAAAGAGACAAGAAAAGACCAAACCAAACCCTTCTTTGGTTCCAAATGTTTCCCCGATGCCTGTAGAAAGAACCCACAATTTCGTAGTGCAGCGTAGCGTGTGGTAGTAGTAACAGGGGGTATTATATACCAACGTTCTTGCGTATGTGTATGTAGTCTTTCTTTATCCTCCCAAATCATAATGACGTCCCCTAGTGAGTCTGGAAAAGACTCTTTTCGGGACTAGGATCCTCATGCTTGGCCGTGCTGCCCTTCCCCCTCCACGTGCTGACAGCCTGGATGTTGGCCTTGTAAGTCTGCACCTCGGTCCCATAAGCCCTCGGTGTGAGCTTGATCAGCGTGTGCAGCGGCACGGGGACCCAGGGGCTTTCTTCCTGCGGCTTTTGCATAAAGTACGCATATATGCAGCGGATGACCGCCTGATGCGAAATGATGAGGATGTCCTCGCTGCGCTCCAGCTCCATGATGATGGGTTCCAGCCGGATCACCACGTCGCGGTAGCTTTCACCTCCACGATACCGGTAGTTGTACTTGTCTTCGTCGCGCGCTTGGAAGTCATCCGGGTACAGGTCCGCTATCTCTTGATACGTCATGCCGTCGCACACGCCGGCGTCGAGCTCGTCGAGGGCCTTCCATTGTAGCTGATTGTAGTGTTTTGGTAGGTGGCGCGCCGTGGCAATGGTGCGCTTTAGTGTTGATGTCCATACTGTCAAAGGGCGGTCGCTCTGCGGAATGTTAGAGACTGGTGAGACAAAGGGTGCGGGGCAGGGAGTAACGTACACCAACGGATTCTAATACTAGCTCGGGGAGCTTCCGCGCGTACTCTTCACCTCTGTGCGATAGCTCGGCATCGCCACCTATGCGGCCTTCGAGATTGAGCATGGACTCGCCGTGCTACAAATTGTTAGCATTCCGCCAATTGCTAGGGACAACCGGAAATACGTACCCTTGACAGCCATACTGATCGAGGGCGGATGTGCAGGTTCATGAGGTAGTAAACAACACGACTTTGCAGGTAGTCGCGAATGCGGTTGATGATGACTTGCTTCCCCACGTTCATAATCTTGAGGAAAGTCAAATCCTCCTCGTCGCCGTCTTCGTTGAGCGACTTGTACACCTTTTCGTAGTTGCGTATGCGATTGCGGAAGTCGAGCGCCGCCGTTTCGGGATCTTGGCCCTGGTAATCGGGACTGGTGGTCTTAACGTCGCGGATGTTGGCCATGATCAGGTTCTCGTCGTCGCACTTGGACTCGACAAAGATCACCTCGATGTTATTTTGGGTCATGATGTCGAGCACCCATTTGCGCCTCTCTTTTGTGCTGTTGGTGGCATCAAGGATACCAACGACTCCTCCTTTCTTGAACCACCTGAGCATGTCGGCTACGGCGGCCTCGGCGGCAGCGCGGCGTTTGCGCTCTCCCTCCTGATTGTTGGGTTCGAAGAAGTCGGCGGGCGGTTGGGGGGCATCTGTGCGTCTGTAGTTGCCGACATTGAAGGTAGCGGCGGGGATCGAGAGCCAGGCAAGATAGCGTTGCGCTGGGAGGGGACTGGAGTTAGCAATTGGACCCTATCAAGAGAACAAGATCGATGATATAGTACCTTTCTGTGCGATATAGCTCTTTCCCCGGGCCGGAAGACCCACCATCACCACGCAGATGCGGGTGTTCTCAACCTGCACGCCAATGCCGTTCGTCCTAGGGGCCATGGTTGCTGATGTGCTGGTGTACTGGGAGTTGGTCGAGGTCGAGGAAGGGCAGAGAACGCTGCGAATACATGTAGCCACCGATTTGGGCGCCCAGTCGTCGAGTTCTTGTGGTCTTGATCAAGTGTCGTTACAAGTACGGTGAAGTAGTTGATCGCGTGAGGCAAGTCGAGTTGGGGTAGTGCCAGTGACCGGGGGGTTCTTGGCTGGCAACAAGGGCAGTTGGTAGGCTGGTCTTGCGCAAAGGCTTGAAAGGTACCTGTTCGTGACGACGTAGCAGGGCGTTGCGGGTGGAAACGTGGGGATGGAAAGTCTGGATGTCGTTGGCGGATGCGATGGAAGCGGCGGCGAGACTAGAACCGAACGGGAATCGGGGACGATCTCTGGCGAGCAACAGCAATGGCAGCGGCGAATTTGGGGGAGGAGGATGAGGAAGACGAGGAGGATGGAAGGGAGGGAAGAAGAAGTAGTAGTAGGAAAAGGTGAAGAGGAGAGAGGATCGATGTCGAAGAATGGAAACGGGATGACAATGTCAAGTTGTAACAAGTGGAAGCAGGAAGCGTATTGATCGATAAGGATAAGGTAATGGTAATGATGGATGGATGTACCCGTCTAGCAAGAGGTGCCCTGGGTCATGTCCGGTTTCTGTTACCGCATTACGTACCAGTCCATGTACGGTACTATGAATCCGGACTCCTCTTTGGGGATTCACAGGCACACCTGAACAACTAGCATTTCCTCAAAATGTAATTAGCTTTTGATGTCCAAACTAGAAACAGACACTCCCAAAAGAATTTTACTTTTTTTTTATGATACCGGAGACGAGGACATGACCTTGGATGTTGTCCCTTGCGGTTCCGTCACCATCGGAATTCTCAGGGAAGACGGTAATTGCGGTGGAATGGCAGGCAGGCAAGGCCCAGGGGAGCCAGTGGGAGTCCAGCGAGGCACCCACTGGAAGCCCACCCGAATGGGTCAACCCGGGTTGTACCTTTTTTTTTCTTTCATCGGTGACCGTTACGTACAAAACCGTCAGAGTGTAACATTCATTCACGATTCAACACTTCACGATGGATGACTCCCGTCTGCAGTGCACTCAACACTTTCCGATTATTTACCTTACGTTCGGATTGATCATGAGCAGACAAACTCCCAAGATGGCATCATTTGGCTAACATCGGAAGGAAGACTCTGCTCTTCACAGCAAAGATGGAAAGACTCACAGCCAATTCACGCCAAGCATCACAGTGCCAAGGCCAGCCAAAAGGGTTCCAGCCTTCTCAGCAACCACTCGTTTCAACTCCCGACCCACCCTTGACGGGATGGAGAGAGACTCACAAACCTTGCCAAGACTGGAGATGGCTGCTTCACGGACGACGGTAGGGCCTGCCTGCTGTAACTGCTACAGTGACAAGATGCCATGACTGTTTCCCGTCTGTGATGAAGTAGCTCACGCACGGCAGGCGACAACCGCTCGGGTGTCAGTTTGACACTTTGTTCTAGCTGTGGACCCCGCCTGACAATCTGACGACTTTGTAAATTGCCCCTCCATTCGCTTTGGACTTCAGAGGTTACTCCAGGTCCGGATTGCCAATAAGAAAAAAGTCCGAGCGCATACATCTTCAGCTTTGGGCCTTGCTGTCTGAAATTGACAAGGTGGTTTTTGACCAGCACAGGTCGGAATAAGAAATTATAACAGAAAATCTGCAGCACACGTGAACAAAAAGTGAGAAGCTCTTCAGGTTCCACAGACAGACCGCCATGTTCAAACCTTTTCACCTCGGGAGAAAGCAGACCGTGATCACAGGGAGCTTTTGTTCGAAAAAAGCGAGTTGAGCCTAGCACCGTGACAGGGACGTTGGTGGGGGTTTAAAGGCGGTATGTTATACAAAGTCTTTCCCTAACTCGATACAGTCAGGTAATGGCGCTTGGCGCGTTAATGTGAGACTTAAAAAGAGGAACGGCAACCCCGATCTCAGGGTCTCTTCCCGCTCGCCCGTTGACGTTCAGCTTTAATCACGGTCTGCACGGCAACAACAACCCCGGATGGCGGAAGCGCACATGCACTGATGCACCGCATCTCATCCCACCTTTCCCGACACATGAGGTGGTGGTGGCCAAAGAGGACTTTGAACGTTTGTAATGAACTGGAAACCATTTTCAGTGAGAAATCCCAAGCCCACGAACTCGGAACACCCGACAAGCAAGGGAATCATGACGTGCATTTGCCCCCAGGGCCGCGGAGTTGGTGTAACGCTAACGACAAGATACAGAAATTCGTTGGAAAACACATCAAACCTTCAAAGACCACGAGGAACAATAACATCGACTTATCAATGCGTCCACCTTCATCGTGACGGATCATGTTCGACCTGTTTTGATTGCCTTGCTTGCCCATTTGTGCCTCTGCAGGAACCAAACCTGTCCTGTGAAGCTGAGTGTCCCGTGGGAAAGGTGAAAGGTGAAAGAAAGTGTGGGGTACATAAACACGGATCGGACCATGTAACGAAACACTGCCAGGAACCACCGATCGCGCATCGAAAAGAAGCCGAACAAGAAAGACACACCAGCTGAGGACAAGCTGGATGAAGCCATCACGGTTCTCAAACATCCCAAATTTCAGTGGGGCCAGGCAGGATGGGAAAGAGCCGCCCGACGCCAATACATTTTGTATCTGACGGCGCACTTATGAAACTTCATCTGCTTCTCCAAAAACCCCAAATTGTTCACATGACTCTCCCTCGAATGGGCGGAACGATGGCGCGGTCATATGACCGGGACCCCAAATTCGCCTGCCGTGACAAACCGACCGACTCCCGAACGAGTGTTTTGGAAATCTTTTTTGCGAAGTGGAAGGCATCAGGGCGGTGTGAAAGAAAGATGGAGAGAGGAATGCCTTCCGAATCCACCCAGCTGTCAGGGGGAAATGGCTAAAATGTTAAGTGTTATGGAGACACATCCCGCGGGCTGGTGCATACCACCATCAAGAATTCCTAAGACAAACATACAGAGTGAGTAAGTGATGAACAAATATACCTACACAACGAGATATTCCCCACGAAACGTGACATTTCGCAACCGAGAAAAGTCAGAATTGGCTTTGGGAGACATGATACGTATCAGGAGTTACGATAGTACTTCATGGCACGTACAATGCCCCGCTTACAGCAGGTACCTCACTAACACAAAGGTCTTCTTTGTATTAAAAGACATTTCCTGACCAAAATCCTCTTTCCCGATTTGTTCCTTTCCTTTCTTTCCCTTTGCAGCCTCTGACAGACTGACACTACCTAGTCGGTCCATTGAAAACACACAAAGGCTCCATGACTTCGTTTTGAGGCTGAATTGACCATGCATAGGGAAACTCGGGAACGAAGCCTTCAAAGTGGACATGTTACGAAAAGTAAGCGCTGCCCTACCCGCGGCTCGCCGCGGGTGTTGGTAATTTTTGATACGAGGTCGATCACCACGTCTGCTTACTGAAGTCTACAGATCACAACTGAAATGATTTTTAGCCCAGCCGTAAGTACCTGATGAACCAAGGGGCGACGGGGACATCCGAATCTCCAAGAACAAAAAAAAACTTTTTTTTCAGGTCAAGTGACGGATTGTAATTTTTTCCAAGATCGTCTGCCAACCTCAACCATCCAGTTGGGTGCGCCCCTGAAAAAGTTTACATCAACCGACGAACCGACGTCCGGGTTCGGATCGTTCCCTATGCCAAGCTTCCTTGCCAAGCCGGTAACTTGCTGGTTTGACCTGGGTCAGGTTGCTGAATCTGAATCTGGATCGCGGGGAAGAAACAGGGCTGGCTGGTAAAGAGTTCTTCTGCTGCTGGACTTTTCATGAAATCATGACACCGTTGGTTGTGAACAGTGGGGGGTTCCATGTGGGAGTTGTTTGTGTCATGCTGCGATGCAGCACACACACAAGCTCTGGCTAGAAGGGTTTAGACAGCAAGCAAGGAGTGGTGAGGTTGTATGGTTAACCGGTCCCAGGTTGAAACGAACTAGGTATTTCCATTCGGTTGCCATGTGTACTTGAACAACAAGCAGGGGACAGTCTGGCGGAATCTTCCGACTTCCCTTTCAACCCATAACCTTTGGTCCTTAGTTCAGCCTTGGGAGGGTTGCTAGTTCGAGACCTATCCTATCTCCTAATAAAGGCCTGGAAGCAAGGTATCAGGCTAAGTATTTTCATATCTGAAAGATAGCCAGAACAAACCCACCCCAAGTAGAAAACCCATCACCAAGCCCTCAACCCACGCCCTTCTCTCCCTTCCCCCTAACAAACATCATAACTAGGCAACCCACTCCCGGGACTCACAAACCCAACATCCCACCCCGCCTCCCCCTCTCCCACAATCGTTCCCACCTGTCCATTCTCCACGCACAGCGCCTCCAACGTATCCAGCTGGTTCCCGATGAAATCGGTGCTGGTGCTCAACGTCGAGCACAACGAGCAGAAGAAGGCTTGACAAGATCTGTAGGTAAAGACCAGACAGGCGTTGGCGGTCACCACCAGCTCTTGGTTGGAGGCGAGGACTTGGGTGGTGAGGGTTGTGCAGTCGGCGGTTGAGGGGGTGGGGTTCTGTTGTTGGATGTGGTTAGAGAGGGTTGAGAGGAAGGGGGTGGGGTGGATGGGAGTGGGAGGGACTGGGAGGCACTGGGAGGGAATGGGAGAGGGAAAGGGAAAGGGAAAGGGAAAGGGAAAGGGGGGAACGTACAGAGTTGTAGCACTCGAAGAAATCGGCTGCGGAGACTTGTCTGCGGAATTGCTTCAGAGCTTTGAAGCTTTCTCTTCGCTTAGAGAGACCGGCGTCGATGTACTGATCGGGAAGCTTCTTGAGGGTGACGGTAGACCGCTGGAGGGTGGCCTCGTCGGTTGAGGTCTTGTAGTCGGCTGGGCTATTGGCGGGTTTCGACGATGGATGGGAGACATAAGGGTCGGAGAACTTGCCAGGTCGATAAGTCTGTTTGCGAGGGAGCTTGGCGGCGCGGTTGTTGAGGTTGATGGTTTCGCCGGCCACGGCCAGGCCGACGAGGAAGGTGAAGAGGAGGATGAGCTTCATGGTGCTGTCTTGTGTCGGAGTGGTCGTTGCTTGTGCTGCTTTTTTGTGATCTAGTAGACAGACCGCTGTGGTTGTTCTGTCGATGAGGATTCCGGGGTGAAGAACACCTGAGCTCTTATACTTGCCTCCGTCCTTCTCTTCCTCTCATTGTCCCTCGACTTCAAGTCTCACGGACTGGCATCCTTAGACCAGGTCTTGACCTGCCTCTGGTACGTTACCTTAGCGCACCATGTCGTTCTTGGTCGAAGTCATCCTCGATATTGCGGCTGACCGTAGGACCTCAAGTCCGGTACAGGGAATCTGGACGTCGGTCATGAGCATCATTTCCCATAGATCCAATACGCAGCTTCAACACCATCACGTCCATGAGGAGCTGCCTGTTAAGGACTGCTCGTGGCGCTTTTGAAGCCAATAATACCACCCCGACCGGCTTGAGCCGTGTCTACGCCTCCTGGGGCGCCACTTGGCAGCAGAAAGACGGGGAAGTGAGACACGGTGTGCGTCGAATCCATCAAGAAGGTAGTTTCTGTCCAAGAATCAGATGTTCTTGTCCGACTTTTTGTTATGGGATGCCCTGAGTTGTTTCTGTGATGTCTCTTCGTGGTGTTGAGCGTGTTCTAATGACGTCGTATATGAGGACCTTGCCCCAAGAGAGTGCTGAGGAATAAGGCCATGGGACCAGATTATATTATGAAAATCAACTGCCGTGCCAATGCCTTCCACCGAAACCATTCTCAGCGTAAGAAAGTGGAATGGTGCGACCCAAGGCAGCATCGAACCAAAGACTGAACCACACTTGTGATTTGACCAACTCGGTGAAAACATCATGTTTCCTGGTGAGGAAGATGCTGCTATTTTCGACGAGGTCAAGATGGCATGCCGTCAGCCTTGGGAATATGAAGGGATTCAGAATGGTTCATATAACTTTACACAACCAATGTAATGATGCGAAGATATTTATCCGTTATTTATCCTGTCATATATCGACCCAGGATCTGGGTCGGAGAGTAGCACTTCCAACCCAAGGACCTGGATTCGAAGCTGACTGGCACGCTTCAACCTCGCGTCCTGTATTCCGCATTCGGGGATCTTTCTCAGCTGATCCGCATCATTTGTCGATGCGCAGGGCAGAAGCGTGTCCGACTTCGGACTGCTGCCAGGACCTTTGAGGTCGTCCACCGGGGGAGATCTGGCAACGTCCATAGACCATCATCGACTGCCCTTTCCCAGCTCTCTACAACTTTTCTGAACCTGACCTTGAGGCAACGAGAATACCGCAATTCCGGGTGATGAAGAGATACCCTGCGACATATCGAGTATCCATAGAGCAATGCTACCATTGGTGACTGAGAACCGGATTCTGTGAGCGGATTTCTAGCTCGAAAGACTCAGTAACTGCGGTTGTGTAGAGAACATCGTCTTTGTGAACGACTTTAATGGTTGTAGTAGTCGTAGTGAAACCGTGGTGATATCAAACGGAGGAAGTAGGGTGCGCATATCGGTGACCAAAATAACATGATCCAATGTTTCGAGTTCTCGACTCTCACAAGCAATTGGGGTTGGGGTTCGGGTGATCTGCAGTCAAAAGTGGGGTCAGCAATGGGACGCCTGCAGCGCACAGACCATGCTCTCACCCAAAGAAGTCGGCAGAATTGGCAAAATTTTCACCGCCTGGTGTAATCCCTGGTTATCGGACAAGCGATAAGAAAAAAATCCCCAGCGAAAGAGAAGGCAGAGGAAGGATAACAGATTCGACTGGGAACGGAGACCATTGCGACACCCTTTCCCCAGAGTATCGCAACCACCCACCAACACCAACCCCCCACGCCGTCACGATGGCTTCCGAACTCAGCAAGAAGCGCAAGCTCAAGGACGCCAAGATCGCGACCGAAGATGGTGCCGTCACCGACAAGAAGACCAAGAAGGTGAAGAAGGACAAGAAGGACAAGAAGGAGAAGAAGGCCGCCGAAGAGGTCGTCGAGGAGCAGCCCGTCGAGGAGACCACCCCCGAAGAGAACGATGTCGAGGAAGAGGAGGAACAACAAAATGGCGACGAGGCCATCCCCACCGGCAACGAGGACAAGGAGGATAGCGACGAACTCACAAAGACGAACGACTCCCTCATTGCCCCTTCCATCGCGACCAATGCCACCGACTTCTCCGAGCTCAACCTGTCCGAAAAGACCATGAAGGCCATTGCCGAGATGGGCTTCACCAAGATGACCGAGATCCAGAGGAGAGGTATCCCCCCTCTGCTCGCCGGCAAGGACGTTCTCGGTGCGGCCAAGACCGGTTCCGGCAAGACCCTCGCCTTCCTCATCCCCGCCATCGAGATGCTCAGCTCCCTGCGCTTCAAGCCGAGAAACGGTACCGGCGCCATCGTCGTCACCCCCACCCGCGAATTGGCCCTCCAGATTTTCGGTGTCGCCCGCGAGCTTATGAAGAACCACTCCCAAACATACGGCGTCGTCATCGGCGGTGCCAACCGTCGTGCCGAGGCCGAGAAGCTGGGCAAGGGCGTCAACCTGCTCATCGCCACTCCCGGTCGTCTGCTCGATCATCTGCAAAACACCCCCTTCGTCTTCAAGAACATGCGATCGCTCATCATCGACGAGGCCGACCGTATTCTCGAGATTGGTTTCGAGGACGAAATGCGCCAGATCATCAAGATCCTGCCCAAGGAGGACCGTCAGACCATGCTCTTCTCCGCCACACAAACCACCAAGGTCGAGGATCTCGCCCGTATCTCGCTCCGTCCCGGTCCCCTGTACGTCAACGTCGACGAGGAGAAGCAGTTCAGCACGGTCGAGGGTCTGGACCAGGGCTACGTCGTTGTTGACGCCGACAAGCGCTTCCTGCTCCTCTTCTCCTTCCTCAAGAAGATGCAGAAGAAGAAGGTCATTGTCTTCTTCTCGTCCTGCAACTCCGTCAAGTACTACTCCGAACTCCTCCAGTACATCGATCTCCAGGTTCTCGATCTCCACGGCAAGCAGAAGCAGCAGAAGCGCACAAACACCTTCTTCGAATTCTGCAACGCCAAGCAGGGCACCCTCATCTGCACGGACGTTGCCGCTCGTGGTCTCGACATTCCCGCTGTTGACTGGATCGTCCAGTTCGATCCTCCTGATGACCCGCGCGACTACATTCACCGCGTCGGTCGTACCGCGCGTGGTAACAACACCAAGGGCCGTTCGCTGCTCTTCCTCCAGCCTAATGAGATGGGTTTCCTCGCCCATCTCAAGGCTGCCAAGGTCCCCGTGGTGGAATATGACTTCCCCAAGAGCAAGATCTTGAACGTGCAGAGCCAGCTTGAGAAGCTGATCGGCCAGAACTACTACCTCAACCAGAGCGCCAAGGATGGTTACAGGTCGTATCTCCACGCCTATGCTTCGCACAGTTTGCGGTCGGTGTTTGACATCCATAAGCTTGATTTGGTCAAGGTGGCCAAGGTATGTTTCCTCTTCTTCCCCTTTTTGCACATCAGAACACTTAACTAACATACCAAAAACAGTCCTTCGGCTTCTCCACTCCTCCCAGGGTAGACATCACCCTGGCCTCCAGCATGTCGCGCGACAAGAAGCAGACGAGCAGGAGAGCGTACGGTAGCCAGCCGAAGCAGAACCGTCACTAAGCGGGGCGGGATTTGGTGTTCGTACGTATTGTTGGTTAGAAGTACGAAGGGGATGATTTGTCAATGTTCTCTTAGATATCCATCGGGCATTCGGTGTGGAGCATAGTGGTGTTTTCTTTTGTGTTGCTACTTGCTGTTTCTTGTTGTTCGCAAGCTGCCAAGGCGTTTTTGGTTGAAAAGTAAAACTGGAGGGGCTCAAATCAACAATTAATTCTTACTTCATGCTGCTTTCCGTTGTTGTGATATCTTGCACGCTGTGCCGTTGCTGTCACCTTGGTTAGGGCCTTTCCTTCGGTGACAGCGAACCTTTGCTCCATGACAGTAACATGGAGTAGCTACCTTTACAAGCAACGGCATCTCTCGTTTACTATGGGCCGGAAAAAACCACTGCTAACTTGCCATCTACCAGGAAAGACGAAACCATTGGGGTCTTAGTCAAAGTCGGTGTTATACGAAGATAGTATCCAGATGATAAATACCTACCTATATGCATCAATACAACACGAACCCGCGACAACGGACCTCAAGACAACTGAAGACAGTCTACTATTTCTGACACTATCTATCTGCAGCCCCAATGGACCCGACCTGACTTTATTGACTAACGACAACTCCCGAGACAAGAGACTAGCCAACATTTTCGATACCACCTCCCTACCTTATCCATCCAAATCACCTCACACTTGACCCTTTTGTTGCTCCCCTGTTGACCAATCTCTTAACTCCCTTCCCTTCGTGTTCCACAGCTCAATAAAACTCCCTCCCCAAAAACCTCATCTTCCCCCTCCCCACATCAAACACCGTCAACGCATTCTGCATAAAAACATCCCCAAGGATATACGGTCCCGCCCCACCATCCGCAATCGCCGTCATGCACAGCCCCGTCAACGGATCGACCATGTCCTGGTTAATCAAGTCGACGGGGTTGATGTAAAAGGTCTTGCCGCCCAGGACCACGCCGACGCGGGGAACGATGGCGTCGCAGGAGGTGAAGTAGGCGCCGTACATCCAGAGGTAGATGGCCGGGGGGTTGAATGCTGTGTTGATTTGTTGGGCTTCGGCTGTTGTTGTTTTGAAGTGTTAGTGACTGGGGAGACATATGAAGGGGTGGTAAAAGGGGGCAAAAAGACAAGAGAAGATAAAAGGGGGTAAAAGGGGAGAAGGGGAGCAAAAGTGGAGGGGAGGAAAGGAAAGAGCAGGAAGTAGCAAGTTGAAAGCGAATATGGGAAGAAAAAAAAAAGGGACAGAAACGTAAGAGGAAGGTAAGGACCAGAGAGGAACGTACCGGATGGGAGGTAGCAGAGGGTAGTTCCGCTGTCGACGATATAAGGGAATTTTCTGGTGTTGGTGTTTGCGCCGAACTGCCACCCGTCGGGAATGACGGTGTAGAAGGAGTAATCGTAGGCGGTTTCGGGGACGTCGATCAAGTTTGTCTGTGTGTTATCCTTTAGTCAGTCATCATTACCTATTTCTCTCCCGTTTCTCTCCCCCTTTTTCCCCCTCCTTCATTTCTCGGACCAGAACACTGGACAGGTAGGTAAAACTCACAATAATCATATCCAACTCCACATCCTTCCCCTTCTCCAGCCCCTTAGCAGGCGGCAATCCACCCCAAGCCAGCAATCCCGAGCTAGCATTCCGATCAATCGTGATACTGAACAGCGGCGGCACCGAGCCCTGGTTGACCATGCTCGTGAACAACGGCGGGTAGTACAGCTGGTTGTAGGATTCATGGCCTGAACCGCCTCCTAGTCCACTTCCATCACCACCACCCTCGCCTTCTCCTCCTCCCTCACCACCTTCACCACCTTCACCACCCTCACCCTCACCACTTCCACTTCCACTTCCACTTCCCGAACCACTCCCCGGCATCCCCCCCAAATAAGCATTCGTCAAACTCGGGAACGCCAGCCCCATCAACCCACTCGTCAAATTATTCCCAAACCAAAACGTCTTCTCCGCCAACGCCACCTGCTGTTTCTTAACGGTGATGTTTCCCACAGTGATATCCGCGAACCCCATCGGGCCCGTGACGATCTCCCCGTCGCCGTACTGGATGAACATGTGCGTCTGCGGGTCCGTAGGGCCGTAGGGTTTCCAGAGGTCTTCTTCCTTTGGTGGTTGGGGGGATGGATGACTGGTAGAGGAGTTGGTGCTGTTACTGCCAGTGCCGGGGATGGGAGTGGGAGTGGGAGTGGTATGAGCGGGGGGGAGGGTGTAAGCGGGACCGAAGCCGCAGATTTCTTGAGGGACATCGTTGCCGAGGTAGTCTAAGCAGGAAAAGTTGTGGGTGATGGCCCAGGTGTCGGAGGAGCCGGTGTCTAGGAGGAGGAGTAAAGGGACCGAGTTCCAGTGCACTTCGGCGGCGTATTGGGTGCCGAAGGCGGTGGTTACTGTGACGTTTTCGTAGCCGTAGGCGGATCCTTCTTCGTCTTCTCCCTCTTCGCCGCCGCCATGGCCATCAGGGCCACCGTGGGTGCGAAGGGAGTTTTGGCGCAGACGGCGTTGGTGTTGGCCGAGGATGGAGGCGGCTGAGCGGCGGTTCACCAGGGCGGCGCGCGGGGCGTTGCTGGAGCCAGTGGAGGAGTGGGAAGAGACGCCTTGGAGGGTTTGGAAGGAGTGAGCGACGTCGAGCTTGCGGGTGTTGGGACGCGAACCGAGGACGGGCTTGGGGACGGTGTATTTGATTCCCGGGAGCTTGGGGGCCGAGTCTCTGAGGTAGCGCTCGGTGGGGGTGAGGTTTATGGAGGCGGCGGCGTGGACGAGGAGGGTGAAGGTTAGGAGGCTGTAGAGGAGGCCGTAGGCGAAGGTGCCTAGGGGTAGGTTGGGTAACATGTTGCCGGTTTTTCGTTGGGCCTGTTGTCCAGAGACAGAGAGAGGCCGGACAGACAGAGAGAGAAAGAATGAAGAAACTGGACTTGGAATAGGGGAGAAAAAGGAGGGACTGTGCCAGTTGGGTTTAGAAAAGAAGGGAAGAGAACAAGAAACGAGTGGATGTTGTCCCGGGGCGACCACAAAGATAAGGGGCAGCTCCGGATTTTGCTTCCAGGGGAAAGAAAACGAAGACCGGTCGGTGATATGTTTGACGTCTGCGGTGCTGCCCTCCCTGCCCAGTCGTGTCCGGTCCTTGGCCCTCGGTGGTGCAACTGTGAACAAGCGGAACAGGACGTTGGGAAGCAAGGTGCCGTGAGTTTGAGTAGCTCAGTCAGTCAGCTTGCAAATGAAGGACTGTGTAACTGCAACACTCGGCGGAGCTGACGGGCAAACAAACAAAAGTTTGTGAGTGTCCTGGGGGAGGCGATGACGACAAGAGAGAAGAGAAGATGATGGATGCTAATTACAGGTCAATTTCGAGGTAGTAAATATGGTGGAAGTTTGGTAGACGGAGATATTTGAGCTCAAGCCATAAGTCACAACGATGATGCCGGTAATGCTGTGTTCTCGAGTGTTGAGAAAAAGAAGTCTGACCCGCAAGCGTTCGTATGTCTTATTTAGAAACATGCCGGTATCCTAGGGAAAGTGAGAACGGACAGCTCCAGGATGACCTGGCACAGGTTCCTTCTGTCTCGGATATCAGAAAGCACTGCAACACCGTGTTCTCGAGACCTTGCTCGGTAGGTGTTTGCGAGGAAAGAAGCATCCGCAGCCGGGATCCGTAGATCCTCCGAGGCGGAGAACCCGTAAACTGTGCTGTATCTTCGGACAGGTTGATGATCTCCATATTGAAGGATTGAAGGATTGTGCTTGTATGGGTGGTCGCACCAAGCTTGATACGAAGTTCAGTAATCTGGCAGAAACCACCGAGAGGTCATCTCTGCTTCTCTTGTTATTTCCATGGCTTGTCTCGGCATCTTTGAACCCCGGACGACAGACAGTCATTCGCGAGTGTTGTCTCGTCGCCACAAACACATGAAACGTTTCTCTCGGATGGTACACCGAGAGACGGACGACGGTATTCGGGTCGTCAGTCCGCTCTGCCAGTTGCGAGAGGCATTGAAGTGTATTTTGGGTCTTGGCACCACGAACATCACAATGCACAGTACCTTCCTGTCCACATAAAGTTCGTTTACCCCCCACTCAGATCTCTTCAAGCTCGTTCAAGAAAGATCTGAAAGGGAACAATGAAGTCATTGTCCGCTGGGACGTTCTTCTTGGCAATGGTCAAGTCGGCATGGGTGACGGGCCCTGGCATGGGTGCCTGCATACGGTGGTTCGACGAAACGGCCGCAATATCTGTTGAGGGGGAAGGTTGTGCGTGGTCAGCGAGGAGTCAGATTCGAGGGATTGGCAGTTTTCTCCGGTTCCGTTGTCAAGCACGACAGCTTTTTGACAGGTGCAGATGTGGTGGCGCCGCGACTGGAGATGAAGGACAGCCGCGTGATATATAAAGCCCAAGCCAATTCCACGATCATCATCTCAGAACTCTGAAGTTGTCTCGTCGTGATTGATCTGGAAAGCTTCTAGCAGCGGCTCAGTAAAGAGCCAATTTCCTCATGTTACTGTTTACTGTAACTCGTCCCTCGATGTACCCTGGTTTGTCCACGGTGGCCGGCCGTGATGATGACCGGACCTTGACACAGGTAGATTGTGATACGGTCGAGAGGTGAGCGGGGTGAGACAGACAGGGAACCTTGTCGTCTGCTTGATCTTGCATCCGGATGCATAGGGTTACATGTAGATGAGTGTTTCCCACTTGGTGACTCTTGTGCGATCTTGCAATTCCCCAGCTGCCGTTTGGGTGCTTTGGGTTCTCCTCGTTCTAGTACTGAGGCGAGTCTGAAGAAATGATGCTTCCTAAGCAGCCTTATGCGAAAGCCATTGGCAGGCTTCTCATGGATCGTTACAGGGGAGCTGCTTTTCATGAAAGAGTCGGTTCTGGGTTTGATCAGTAAACAAGCCAAGTGAATATTTTTGTGCAAAGCGTAGTAATCATGTAATCTTCCACAGTCGTGTAACAATAGCTCCAGAAAGGAAGCTGCTCCCTGCCAAGTACTTAAGTGGGGGAGGATGAATGGCCATCTTCTCCCAGGATGTCCTGAGTTTTCTCTTCAAGGCTGTCTCGTGGTTCGTACATTGGGGAAGGGTCCGAAGTCGTTCAATAGCTGTTCCCCCAAGCCGGGTGAAGCCGGTCGAAAGGGGCGGAAATGACAGCTGTCGATGGAATCCATCATGTATACCGTCCACGAAAGCAGTTGAAGTCTGTTGTTGGAGACCAGACTGGAACCATTCCGCGCGAGTGTCGAGAGTGGCAGAGGTGACGTTGAGGATTGGGGGCATCACGTGCAGCGACACGCTTCCAAAGATCGTGACCGTGGAAACATGCTGCGCCCCGAGTTTGTGAGCTGCGCCAGTGGCAAAGATGCCGGCAGTTTATTCGCATAAGTTTAATGCAGGTACAGCTGTTGTGCACCTGGCCGCCAGGTGATTCCGTTCCGGCCGGCAATTGCTGCTTTTCCACGGGCAGGCACCAAGAATGGGCGGCCATTCATCTGAGGGTCAAAGCTCAGAGGGTCTTTGTCATTCCGCAGCGAAACAAGAGAACAGCCGACTTCTTTTGACTCCTTCAACTTCCACGCAGCGCCAACACAATCTGTCACCATCACTCATCTTCTCAACAACCATCACCTCCCTCCCCTTTCTCTGCCTTCTTCGACGTGTCCACGCGCGCGTTAAGAACTACTTCATCATCGCCGTGTGAACTATTGAGTCAACCTGATAACGCGCGACCTCTTCTGTCGGAGCTGGTGACCTGACCTGTCTGCTCTGCTCTGATCTGTGACCGTTCACTTGTTTGACTGTCAGACTTTAGGTCGTTGGGCTGACCTCAGCTGCTCAGCTACACTCGCCAAAGGCCTCTCTATCCGCATCGCGGACGTGATACGTACAGTGATCGCTCTGACTGCACTGCATCGTTGTATCGGACCGTTGAGTGAAGTGCGCTCTTGAGCAATTGTCGCTTCGATCACCTTGGTCAATCGGTAGAGGTATCGTCATCGTCATCGTCACCTTTACTGTCTGTCTTGTTGTCCACTTGACTGCCTGCCTGCCGGGCCGTTGAACATTGCAACTGAACAGTCCACTGAAATCTCAGGTACAAGGCCCCTGGTCAGACCCTAAAAACTGCCATCCTAGCGCGCACCTGCCACCACTGTTCGTCAGTGCCACGGGCAAAAACACAGCACACCAACCGACCCTTCACTCAGCGTCCGGGCGGTCTGCCAAGGTCTCTCCGCCTGCCGCTTATTTTTCACAAGTCCCCGCTATTATTTTTTCGCATCTCTCCATTCCAGAGACCGACCGACTTCGACTTCCGATCAGGTCCAATTTTGACAGGCGGCCGCTCTCTCTCCAGTCGCATCTCCTTTTCAACCTCAGAATCAATCATCCATTCAACAATCATTTCCGCCTGTCGCTTGACATTCTTTGTTGCGCGCTTGCTTTCCGACCAGCAGCATTTTCACCGCTTGTCTTGACCTGCGTCATCACCAACATCACCACCAGTATCACCAAGCACATCGCCGCATCCGCAGGTATTCGCAATCACAATGGCGGCTCCTCAGCAACCCGATATCAACTCGATATTGCAGCTCCTAAGTATGCCTCCCTCTCTCTTACCCCCATAAATAGCCTGCTGCCGCGCGCGCGATTCACAGTGTTCTGACCATATTCTCAGATGCTACTCAGCGTCCTGCTACTTCGACTCCTACCCAGAGCCAACCTGGCCTCCCAGCTCCGGCCCAGCCTCCCATGCCGCCAGCTGGCTACGCCCATCCTCCTCAACAACCACCCGCCTACCCTCCTCAACAGCCCCAATACCAACAGGCTCCCGGATACTATCCTCCGCCTGCCGCGAGTGGAGGCATCGATCTGAGCGCGGTGCGCCCCGTTAACTCTGGCACCGTTGACATTCAGGATGCCGTAGCCAAGGCCAGGGCTATGGCCGCTGAGAACGGTCTCGTTCCCTACGAACAATCTGCTAGACCCTACCCTCCCCACGACTCGCGCCCCCACGATTCTCGTGCTCTCGACAACCGCCCCTACCAGCGCGCTCGCTCTAGGAGCCCCCGCGGCCGCGAATCGTACCGCGACAACGTCAACCCCTACCGCGATGAGAGAAGAGGCGGTGATCACGGCCACCACGGTGGTCAGTCGCGTGACTACGGACGTGAACGCTCCTTCTCTCCTGGCCGTGGACGTCAAGGTTTCTCCCCCCGTGGAGGCCATGGTGGTCGCGATCGCTCACCGCTTAGGGGCAAGGAAGGGGATACCGAGACCATCCAGATAGAGTCTAGCCTCGTTGGACTTATCATCGGCCGTCAAGGCGAGAACCTCCGTCGCGTTGAAGGCGAGAGCCGCTGCAGAGTTCAGTTTGTTCCCCCGTCGAGCCCCACTGAGCAATACCGCCCATGCAAAATTACCGGTCCCCGTGCCCAGCGTGATGAGGCCAAGGAAATGATCAACCGCATCATTCGCGACAGTGGAATGAGGGGAAGCGCCCCGGCTGACAGGCCTGCTCCCCGTGACACCGGCCGTGGTGGCTCTGCCGCCCCGCCTCCTCTCAAGGAGGGTGAGGACAGCCTTCAGATCATGGTTCCCGATAGGACCGTCGGTCTCATTATCGGTCGTGGTGGAGAGACTATCCGCGACTTGCAGGAGCGCAGCGGTTGCCACATCAACATCGTCGGAGAGAACAAGAGCGTTAACGGCCTTCGTCCTGTGAACCTTATTGGTACCCCCGCCGCAGCCAAGACTGCTAAGGAGTTGATCCTCGAAATCGTCGATAGCGATAGCCGCAACGCTAGCAACCCTGGCGGCAACCGTCCTCCCCGCAACGACAACATGGGCGGTGGCGGCGGTGGTGGATACGACAAGCAGAACGATTCCATCTTCGTCCCTTCTGAGGCCGTTGGCATGATCATCGGCAAGGGCGGCGAGACTATCCGTGAGATGCAGAACACCACCGGCTGCAAGATCAACGTTTCGCAATCGTCTGGTGCTGGTGAGACCGAGCGCGAGATTGGCTTGGTTGGCACCCGCGAGGCCATTAACCGTGCCAAGCGTGCCATCGAAGACAAGGTCGACGCGGCTGTACGTATTAACCCCCTTTCTTCACTTGCAACAACTTACTAACACGGCGACAGAAGCAAAAGAGTTCGGGCGGTGCCCCTCCTCGTCGCGGCCAGCATCGCGATTATGATAACCCCAACTATGGTCAGCCTTCTAACAACAACAGTGTTCCCCAACAAAATTTGCCAGCAGGTAACGCCGCGGCTCCTGCTGGAGCCGGTGCGCAAGGTGATCCCTATGCCATGTGTATGTGTTCCTCCTTTCTTGATACTCCTGGACACCCACTAACTCGCAAATAGACGGCGGTTATGACAACTATGTTGCTTTGTGGTGGCAGTCCCAGCTTGCCGCTGCTCAGGGTCAAGGTGCTGCCGGCCAGGCCCCTGGCACGTCGTAAACTTCGCCATGATGATGCCGGACTTATGATGCGCATGCCATGCCATTGATTCTCGCCCATGTCTCCTGGCACGTTTTGACATTGCCGCTACTGCTACTTGCTGCTGCTTGTCTCGTTGACCATGCTGCGCGTTGATGTCTCGATCATGACGACCATCATATTCCATGTCTTAGCATGGAAAAGTGAGAGCGCTTACCTTTTTCTCGGCATCTCAGCGTATAACTGGCAGAAGACGAACTCCAGTTGTGTTCAATGATTGTACGATTACGACTCTATCTCGGGTGGCCGACTCCCTACGGCACATTTCACGACATGATGGCTCTCTTACAAGCGCGTGGCAAACGCTTCGGCCCGGTTCATATCCATCGTCTTCATGACCGGGTTGCTCCATATTTCTGCGATCTAGCATGCACCTCTGTCTGATGCACAAAGCTAGCTACCTATTGAAGAACCCCCTCCCAAGCGATCGAATGCAGATGCATCTTGCAGTGGTTGGCTCACTGCAAGACAAACGGTCCAAATGGTTGGGTAACCTCATGATACGATCCACCAATAGGCTTGACTGTTGCGTACACACTCCGCCAGGCTGCTTGATATGAGACCCGGAGCAACGAACGGACTGCAGACTTTTGTTGTCCTTGGATACATGGAGACCTCATTGCAATTTTTGCATGACTGCCACGAGCATGCCGTTGATGTCTATGATCATGATGAGAATCATGCTCAAGAGAGGATCTACCAAGCGGACACATGGTGAGCTAGACAAACCAAGCCATCAGCGACATGTCTCATGTCGTCTTTTTTTCTTACTCTCTTCTTCGAGCTTGTTTATGCCTTATTTGCATACGTTTTACATGAGAACTAAAACTCCCATCACTTTTTACACAAAGCAAAATGATGGACGATCTGAAGTTTGGCTTTGGATCAGCGGAGTGGATGATTACCAAAAAAAGGGGTGGTCGTCATTGACAACTGGATGGATGGATGGGTTAATGACGGACCGCTGACGGTCCGAGACGACATGCACATATGTATACTAGAGGAACAAAGGGAAACCAGGAAGGCGTTACATGGCAAAGCAAAAACTTTGTTCAAGTCATGCGTTTGGTTGATGTCTGGTGTGGCTGTTGAGTGTGATGTTGATTGTGATTCCCATATGTGACAGGAGCCATCCTCAGAGTATTTAGTTGGGCATGGCACGCCTTTTCCTCTTCCATCAAGCAAGTTGCCAAGTACCTGTAAGCATTTTCCCTGCCATAAAAGCCACCTCGTCTCATGATTCCCATCCCAATTCCCATCTCGGCGGGTGCGGTAGAAGTTCATGCTCCTGACTTGCTCCGTACTCGAATTTCCTGACCGCGATGCATGTGACGCTTGCAGGACGTTTCCAACTTGAATGCACCGGAGCTGCAAAATTTGGCTACTTTGCTACTCGGTATGTACCAAGAGACGCATGTCGGGTCCGCGAGCCCAGTCGAGCTGCATTCCATTTCCTTTATGTCCGCCATATCCGCTAAGCGCCAGGGAGCTGAGCTGGTTGGACTGTAGGTATTTGATCTGATATGCCGGGCATTAGGTATCATTGTAAACGCAGGCATTGGACTACGTGTCGTTAAAGGAAAGTATTGTGGATTTGAAATCGGAGCCAGTCCGGCGGTAACAAGGACATATAGTTAAAGCTGAGGTGTTAGGTGAGCTGTTTATGATGCATACCTCGACATCTAGAACTTCATGAAGCTGAGAACTGAGAGATGGAGATGGAGATATGAATTGGGAGATATCATGTCGAGCTCGTGAGCCACTCGGCTGGTGTTGGGTGAGTTTGAGATTTCTGGGAAGACTCCGGTCACTGCAGCCAGTGATGAAGGAGGACTACTGGCTTTTCGGACGGCATCGACTGCTGCTTCGATGATGCGGGTGTACCGGATCAAAGAATTTCTCGTGTGGCATGTCAGGAAGATGCACCCAGCCTAAGAGGGCGGAAGAGTCATAGAGGCAGTGCGTCCCATTGACCTGGGTCATCTACATCCTGCATACTATGTGCATCTACAGCATGCGACTCCATATCAGACCTGTTGTAGGCTGTAGACATACCGGTCAAAAGTGGGCAATGCCAAAACTCCGAAGTTAGCAATCCAGAATATCGAGAAAGGAGCATTCCAGAAAACACAAATGGAAAATAATGGGAGGCAATGAGCATGCGTCGGACAAATTAGAAGGCGACATGGAGCATTGCATATATCTGCGCGGAACATTATTGCTTATCATCTCCGGTATTGCGAAAATTCACACATTGCATGGGCACCATTTGCTGGAATCAGGATTTTGGAAAACCGAGCAGGGAGAAAGAAGGAGTGGAAATGGTTCTGCATACGACCGATTTGAATTTCCAAATGAGATATATCTACCTGGCCTTTGGACTTCTCCAAGTTCTTGGATTTTCTTCCTCCTCACACACAAACCATCAACCCCTTCATTCCACTATCATACAAACTCACCTCGCTCGCCCAGTCAGCAGACCAATCATCTTCACGATAATTTGACGCATCAGGTAACTACCTACAGAGAAGCTTTGGTAAGTTCCTTTTTATGTATCTCATCATCGCTCGTATGCCTCTGCTGTTCTGAACCATACATGGCGCCTAAGTTCGGACACCTTATCTTCCAAACAAAACAGGGCGCACCAACCACGACACTCTCCCAACTACATGTCTTCGCACCCCTTTGACGCATCTCGTACCTTTTTCTCCCCCTCTCGGCCATCACCATGCCCATTGTACTAACCTATAGCACAAGCTAACAAACACCTTGCACCAGACCTCGTTCGTGCTTCTCAAAGACAGCAAACCAGCTTTTCTAACCCCACAACAACCCCAACCCATGTGCGCCGAACCCACAATGTCGTTCCTCTGCGAACTCTCCTTCAACAACCCCAACGAGTACCTCTATGAGTCCGTGCGGGAGTACCGCAGACAGCTGCGGCAACGGGAGCGCGAGGAGGCGGAGTTGGACCTCCGCAGACGAGATGAGAGCAGACAGCGACAAGAGACGGCGGCCCATGAACGCGCCCGCAGGCGCGAGACCATTCAGGCCCAGGAGCAGAGGAAGCTGGACGCCCGACGGGCGGAGCAAATGGCTCGGAACGTAGCTGAGATCAAGGCTCTGATGATGGCTCGGCGACAACAACAGCAACAGCCCGTCGAGCTTGAGCTTGAGCTGCTGCCTGGAGCCCAGACCGTCCACATCGAGCAGGATACCTCTACTTCTACTACCTCTACACAGCACGAGGAGCAAGTAGAGGTAGTAGGGACAGAGAGAGGAGTGATTACTCGCCTGGGTGAGTTCTGCCTTGTTGATGGGTCCGAGGCTGAGGCTGAGGCTGAGGCTGAGGCCGAGGGTAGCGCTTCTAACGCTGGCCCTGGCCCTGGCCCAGACGAGCACTGCGTCTGTGTTCTGTTCTGAGTCATCCCGGCAGTGAGCGCAAGATGGAGTCGACTCCTGCCTGGCCTCGGAAGACCCCTCCCTCTACATACAGTTCTGCTAGTCTGGGGCAGTCGTTCACCAGCCCGTCGTTGTCGTTTATCAACATACCACAGAGATGAGAGATCCCGTCGGGAAGGCAAACACTTGATTCTGCAGATGAGAGAGGACACAGAAGGAGGGCGGAGGATGAGGAGGATTTGAGGACTCGAGGATTGAGAGATTTGGGTATTCGCGCATTCAGGACAGGAGCTTGGGAAAAAGATGGCACATGAAGCTTGGATTGAAACAAGCTAGGCGGCGTTAATCACAACAAGATTTTTTAACACTTGGGCTTCCTGCTACGCAAAAGTAGGTGATTTGATCGTTGTGCTCATGTAGTGGCTAATGTTTCGTGCCAAACGGTGAGGGAAGTGAAACAAATCGGCGTGTGTCCCGGGCCCAAATCCGGTGTGTCGTCGGGGTTTTGTACGGATGTGTGACCCCGCTACGGGCCCGCTTCGGCGGTCGTTCCGGGCCATGCGCGAGTAGATGGGAGGTATGAGCATCACGAGTGGAAAAACGTAGAACTGTGATAAGAGAATATCGTGAATAACCATTCACTTGGAGAAGTTTCTGACTGAAGAGTTCTGTTCCCGTCATAACTTGAGTTGGGTGAATGCAAGCAGAGTGTCTCGGTCGTGATGACCTTGGACAAAATGCTGAACCGTTGATGTGGGAATGGGAGAGGGTCAGGCCGCCTGGCTCTTCCAAGCGCTGAAGGTTCGTTCCTGGCCTGAGGGCTTGGCGTCGCGAGTAATTGTTAGTGCAGTACGACGTCAGCGTAGCAACCCTCGGCAAGCGGAGATAACAGATAACAAATCCAATTGAATCCAACGTCGGACTCAGACTCGCTGGTTGTTGGTTCATGATCGCAGTCCGACGGTGTTTCAATATTTTGCCAGTCAACCATATACTGAAATTGTTGAATCCGAGGAGTGATTGCGACTGCGTCACAGTAACAGATCGTGGTTGACGATATAAGTCAGGTTGGTCCCCCGCGTTTCAGTGGGTTCCGCCGGGTCACCCCGCTCCACCATTTCCGCGTCCACCAAGCAACGCATCCTCTCACCAAACAACAACACAACACAACATAACACACCAGATTCGCTCCAGAAAGGAGCCAACCCTTCGAAAAAAATGGCATCCACCGCCAAAGCAGTCACCAAAGACTCCTCCCCCCTCTCCTTCATGACCCACCTCTCTCAACACGTCTACCTCTATCGCCCCTCAACTTCCACCACGCCGTCTCCAACAACAACAACCACAACCGGCAAGCGTCCACCACCAAAACTCATCCTCCTCTACTCCTGGATGGGCGCCCGCGACCCTCACATCGCCAAGTACATCACGCCCTACCAGGCTTTATTCCCCAGCACGCCGATCCTGCTTATCAAATCGGAGATGAAGCACGTCTTTAAGCCCAAGAGCGCATGGCCGGAGATGGAGGGGGTGGTACCCGTTTTGCGAGAGATTTTCGGTTCTGAAATGCTTCAACCGGGTTCCGACAATTTTGGCAGTGTGGAAGGAGAATCGAGCACCGCGCTTGCTTCATCCACAACCAGCAACAGCATCCACCGGGAAAACGAAGAAGACCCCGACCCCGAACTCCTAATCCACCTCTTCTCCAACGGCGGATCCGCCCAACTTCTTTCGTTGCACCAGTACCTCCTCTCCCAGTCAACCCTCCGCCTCCGCCTGCCCTCGCACTTAACAATCTTTGACTCTGCGCCAGGAAAAATGGCTTACTTCCCCACCTATCTCGCCCTCAGCCACGTCCTCCTCCCTCCACCCTCCCGCGCCCGGTTTCCCCTCTGGCTATTTTCTCTTTCCACCCTCCGCCGCCTTTTTGTCGCGCCCCTAATCCATTTATGGGTCTCCCTCCTCTGGACCAGTAACTTCCTCTCCCGCCTCCTCCGTTTACGCTTCCTCGAATCTCCTTTGGGAAAATTAGCAAGGGAGCAGAATGATACGGCTCCCGACAAGGGAAGGGCGGAGAGGGAAAAGGGACGGATGTATATCTATAGTGAGGAGGATGAGTTGGTGGGGTGGAGGGATGTGGAGGGGCATATGGCTGAGGCGAAACGGAGGGGGAAGAGGGTGAGGGGGGAGAAGTTTGCGGGGACTGGGCATGTGGGGCATGCGAGGGGAGGGGGGAATGCGGAGAGGTATTGGGGGGTTGTGAATAGTTTCTGGGAGGGGGAGGGTTGGAGATGAGGCTGGGGGGGTGGATTGGACGGGACGGTGGTGGTCGCGAGGACGAGCGCATGGGCGGGTGAGAAGATGAGCAGATGGGGAGGCAGTAGGAACGATAGAGTGAGACGAGAGAAGGGCGTGGGCCGGGAAAGAGTAAGGGAAGGCGACGCCGGAGTATTGAGTTGGAAGTACATAGACGTTGAAAGATACCCTTGGATTCACGGTCTTTTGGTACCTGATAATTTGGCTCTTGGCTTATAGACAAGAGGATAGATGGTAGATTACCACAAAGCCCTTCACAATCATCTGGACCAAGATTCTGTGTGATAAACCAGCGAGCTTTCACACCCTAGGAACGGCATCAAGGAAGTTGACTACCTAGGGACGTTTTGACACATTGCCATGTGCCTACTACCTTGGTTGGGCATCCAGTGCGCTCGGCCGTCGCATGTACTTGTGCAATGTATAACTCAACAACAACATAATAGTCCAGTAACAAAAAACCAGATGTACAACAGTAGAAAAGAGAAAGGGAAAAAAACATACAACACCAGGGATTCGCTGGTCGTCACCGACCCAACTACTAGTCTGGCCCTCACTGGCTTATCTATGGGAGAGCGGACGGGATCCCGAGTTTTCCAGTGGGTATGGTCGTATGTGTATTTTCTGTGTAGTTCTTGTCCTTATAAAGAGCAGAGCGATAGGAGGCGGAAAGGTGATGGGGTATCATCAACAACCAAAACGCTGCCACGTAAAGTGCCTACTATCCGACGCTACTTGTCACCACACCAAAACGCACCCTTTGTGGATGTCGCATAGCTCCCACAGTTTAGTACCCTTTCTTCGCTCATCTATCCCGGCTTCCGATGATCTGCACCCCTTATCCAAACCATAATCAGTAGAGGGAAATACTCTGGTCCTCTTCTTGGCCCTGGCCTTGGGTTCGGTTCAACCCTTTTGTGCCGCTACCTTGCCTTGCTGCAGGCATCCATCCGCCTTTCTGAACCTCCTCATCGATCATCGATCCTGTCACGTCGGCTCCCTCCCGTCCCCGTTCTAGTCCCCGTTCTCGTCCATAGCATCATGGCAAGGGCCTCTCTGAATATCTTCGTGTTAGGCTGGGTACGATGTGCATCTGGCGTCATGGACCGTCCGACTTGTATTCGGAATACATGAAACGCGTAGAACAGTGCCAACTGCCAATCGACCCGTGTCCTTCGCTCTTTTGGCCAATGCGATTATTTGCGCATTTGTTCAATGCTATTGCGATGCCCGTTGGCCCGTTGCCGTTGTTGCTCTCTCGGCCCGCTTCCTCATAGCAAAGCATCCGGCCCGGCCATGGCGAATCCTCCAATCCATCGATCGCTCGGCCTGGTCAAGCTAGGTCCTTGGCGCGCATCTTTATCTACTGATGTGAATACAGATGCAGATGAATGATCGCCGGCGTGAGTATCGGGTTGAAGCTGCGTTAAGACCAAACGGGTTTGAGGACTGGTAGCAGGAGAGGCGATATCCATCGGCTGTCTCATCTTCGTCCTGATGCTGTCGCCAAACGACATCCGCAGCCGATAGCGATAAAGTCAACCTAACGATCATCGGCTATCGGCCCGAAACTCCGGCGCGGCGGCGTTCGCGCGGAGAAGGGCGGGTGGGCGGGGAGAGACGCGGGGGTGCGAATGGCGCAAATCATGCAAATCCGAACTGTACCGAATGCGCGACCGGTGACGGATGATGTGATGCGATGGGCTGATGGGATGGGGTTGGCATCCATGGCATCCTCGAAATTCCGGTGCGGACATTTTCGATCCGATCCGGGGTAACGAACTTTTGAGTTTTTGTTGGAGTTCCGCTTCATCGATATTTCAACCCTTCGGCGCAAGCTTTCATCGTCGCTTCATCTCTCGCGGTGACTCTCGGCGTGCTTGTGTTCGCTTGTCTCCATATCTCGTCCTAATAAAAAAAGTCTCCGAGAGCGGGGCTTTTCATGATCTCATCAAATCATTCCCCTGCCTCACTTGCTGCACTGCGACTCACACAACTCTCTGCTTCTTTCTCTTGCCCCCGTCTTCTTGTTGTTCTCCATCAGCGTGTTTCTTTCCCGCCAGTAATTTGGTGCTCGTAAAAGGTTGTTTAGTCGGATCGGTCAGCTCCCCGGGAGCAAGCTCATCCATACCATCAGCGCAGTACCCTTCATCCCTCTCGTTGTCGGCGGCGCAGGGCTCGCATTCTTGGTCGAATCGGTGCTCCTCGATTTGTACGCCGAAGGCGCATTGGCCGAATACTCCCGTGTTCTTGGCTTCGAGGCAGGAGAGCTCTTGGGAGAGGTCTTGCCAGATGAAGTGTTGAGTGCATTGGGGGCAGGTGCCGGAGAAGACGATTTGGCGGCACATGGTTGGCGGTTGTGTTCAATGTGTGTGTGTGGCTGATATGGGGATGGATCACTGAGGATGTCGAAGTATCGCAGAGTAGTTGTTGATAAGTGGTGTTTGTGAGTCAAGATGGAAGAGGGGAGATGAATCCCATATATCTTGTTGGTGTTGAAGATGGAAGGATGGTAAAGTGGAGAAGTCCGTTTCTCAAATGCCGTCGGTGGAAGGAGGAGAGGACTGAGGACTCACATGACCCGACCCTATTACTAAAGCTTCCTAACCCAAGTGGATCCGCCAAGACCGACCCTATACTATAAAAAATCTCTCAGCTGACCCTCACCCCTTTAATAATTTACGTCGCATATAATATATGCTTCTAAAGTTCCCCCGCAGAGAAAGATCCCCAATCGCTCGCAGAAGTTCCCCCGCAGAAAAAGATCTCCAATTGCTCGCAAAAGTTCACCTGTAGAGGAATAATATAAAATAATTTTATTCGTATACTTAAAGTTCCCCCGTGGGGAAATAACCTACTTGTACGAATACTTCGAGGATGATATTAGTTTGAATACTTAGTAATTTATCCCTAATTTATCCCTAAATTATATTTAATTTATCCTAGCTAAATTAAAATAAGCGTTAATACTATTATTATTATTAATACCGATACTTTAATTATAATTACTAAATTCTGTTTAATTAAATAGAATAATAAAGTATTTAATAAAATGTTAATAATATTTAAAAAAAAATAAGTAATTAATATAGCGGCTGAATTCGACGAATTGAAAGAGATTAAGGATATAACCCCTCCTAATATTCTAATACTTATTAATTTCCTAGTAAGTATCGTTAATAGATTAATGATGTATTCCGGATATATCTTATAATATTAATTATATTAAAGTTAAAATTATAGAATGAATATTTATTTTATTTAATAGTATTAATTAATATTCTAATTTTATTTAAATAATACATTATATCGTCGCTATCCTTAAATATCCCGAATCTTCTATTTATAGCGTTGCCTATATTATAGATATTAAGAGTTTAACTGAGGCCTAAGTTTAAGCCCCTTAGGAGGAAGTATATAAAATAGAATAGTTTAAATTGGATTAGTAGTATATAGAGGATAATCCCTAATTAGTTTATATTTTTATAACTTTAATATTATATAGCGAAGAAAATATTTATTAAGGATACTTTATTTAGTTATTTAAATAACGCTGTTTATTATTATATTATCTATAAATATATTAGTATTAAATATTATAAATATTTAGACTTACGAGTTTGGTAAGCGTACTAATAAAGCTCTACCGGTATAATTAATAAAGAGGTTATAAATTTCTTATTTGAAATCCGCTTCCAACTAGATAAAGTACTTTTAATTAAATACATTATTAAATATAAATATATTTTTAATTTATTCTTAATTTATCCCTAGCTCAAAGTTAATTATCTTTTATTAATACAATTCCATTTACTAATTACATATAGGCTATTAGGAAGCGTTAGGGAATAAAGGGTTGCGATAAACTGAAATCGTTATATAAATTCGTATAATTTCTTAGTAAAGTAAATTCTTATTTAAAATATTTCCCTATTAATATTCTATTTAAACCTTATTTTTATATAAATAATTAATGGTTATAATCGCTACTTCTTCAAGTATTAGAATTCGAAGCCGGGGAATAAAATATTTTTTTTCGCTAGCCTTTTTAATAACTTTATCTATATTAACGATACGTTAAATTCATTATTAAAGGGTATTTAAGAGATTCCGGACCCGATTTATTATATATTAAGACGTGTGTAGAATTAAGATTTACAATATTAAAAAAATTATATTATAATTAGTAGATCATTCTTTAATATTTTTAGGATTTATAAAAAAATTAATATTCATAAATTAGAGACCGATTACTTTTAAGGTTACGGTATTATTAATCTTCGTAAATACGGTATTATTATTAATTTTTATATCCTATACGATATTAAAATTATTTTATATATCCTTATGATTTTATATAATTACTATATTTACTTATTTCCTTTTCCTAATAAACTCCTTAAATAGATTATTAATAATTTAATACGAATATTAGAGAGAGTAGGAGATTTTAATATAATTTAAACTAAATAAATTTATAATATATTACTAATTCGTTAGGGATAAATTAGCGATCAATTTAAAGTTTTAATAACTTTAATTTATAACCCCTATTTTATTTAATCTTTTAATAAATATAGTACCGATATTATTAATTGAATCTATTCGAATTTTGATAATATTAATAAAATTCGTTTGGTAATTAAAAAATATTATACTCTTTATTAGCCTTTAGGTATTTAAAATATTTAGGTTGTAATGTACGAATATTAATTAAAATATTAAAACCTAAATATATATAAATTTATACTTTTAGGATTCTTTATAAATAAAATATTGATTTCTTTTTAATAATATATTTAGAGAGTCTTTGACGATAGGATTAATTTTATAAATATTGATTTTTTTAAAGAATAAGTTGAATTCTGTTATGGAGGCTTTATTAAATCCTTCGAATTAGATATAAATTATGGATATCTTACCAGTATAGAGAATGGGAAGGTTATTTAGGGCTTTTACTTAGAATAGTTAAAACGATGTAAACTATTAATTATTTTTAATTTATTTTCGATAGATTTTAATTCTGATAGCTATCCTTCTTATCTAGATTTTTATTAATGCTAATTCGCCGTAGATGTACGTACTTACTTTTAAAATAGCATTTAAATTTTTTAAAGAGAATTATAAATATACGGTTAAGTGGCGTGAATTATTTAGGGAAGGTCTTTATAGTATTACTATAAATTAAGATTTTAAAGTAATTATAAGTATATTAATTTAATTGAAGATTTATTTATAATATACCTTTATTAATTTATTCTTCGATTAGTATATTTCCCTATAGGGAAAAAATAGCTAACGGTAATATTATATAAATTTCAGTATTAGGAGAATTATTAATTCCGAATTAATGCGAATATTTATTTATATTTATTTAAAAAAATAGTTTATATATAATTCGAATTCACAATTTTTTTTAAAAATTAAACTGTTAATTAATTAATTATATTATTAAATTGTGTATTTAAATTATATTAATTATATATTTATATAAAATTAATTAACTTTTTATAACGAATATATTATAAATTTATTAATTTTTATTTTTCTTCTTTAAGGGGTCGTTCGGTCACTATATATAGCGTACTTCGCTTAATACCTACGAGTTTAAATATATAATATTATACTTAGTAGGTTAGGCAGTAAATAAAATTAAGGTTAGTATAAGTCGTTAAGTAAAAGAAGTTAAATTTATTTTAGATTTTTCTAAAACTTTTCTACGCTATAAATTTTATCCGATATTTTATTTATATTAGCGGAAACGTATAGTATAATACAAACCCTATAATTGCGTATTCGTATTTATAAAGTAATTGCTACGTCGCTTAAAATCTTTTTTTTTAGAAATTTCTTTTCCTTAGTTATTTTTCAATTATTTAACTATTTATTTATTTACCACCGCTTACCCTCACTATTCCTCTATTTATTAAAATGAATTAAGAATTTGTTAACGATTTATTTTCTACGATAGTATTCGCTTATAATATATTTACGGCCTTTAACGTATATAAACAATATTAAGAAGGCGATTAGAATTTTACTAAACCCAAGGATAAGGGTAAACGTTAAATTATAATACCCCCTTTAGAAATTAATAAATATAAAAAATATTAGGACTAATTATTAATTTATCCCCAATATATTCTTTTATTTACGCTTATTTATTACTATTTAAATAAATTAATATACTTTATTTTATCCTTTATCTATATTTTCCGAATTTCGAATTATTTCGATTACTTCAATTACAATAAATTACGATAATACTTTCAACGCTATCCGAACTATTTATTATTACCCTATCCGCCATTTTAGGAATTTGAAATTTTTATTCTTATTAATTACTTAATAAGGCGTATATATAGTCGTTCCTAGTAAGATTTTTTGCTATTGGAAAAGGTTTGAACCGGAATATAATAGCGCGGATATTTAGTATACGAAAAATATAAATAATATTTTAAAATCTTTAAGATTAAATCCCCAATTAACTTTTCATTTGTTTAAATAATATTTACTACCTATAGTAATTTTGTTAGATATTTAAATATTATTTACAATATTTTTAAGGAGCGTTTACTTACCATTTCGGTTAGAGATATTAAAATTAAAATTTATATAGCTACTATTAATATATAATTTATCCCTGATTAAAATTTTAATAATTTAGAATTAATTATAAGTAAATTTAGGGTAATATAAGAATTTAATAACTTTTATAATTTCTAGTTGGGCTATAATTATTCTTTTTCTAAGTAAAATTTTATAGCTAGTTATACCTAAGAAATGTAAATTAGCGGTTGTCGACGAAGAATCGGAATTGTCGGAATTATTATTGGAAATTGAGGATAAAGTAAGTATAGGAAAAGTAATAAGAAAAGTAGTAAAAAATATAGTAAGAGAAAGAGAACGAGGCGGAGGAAGAAGTAGAGGAAAAGGCAGAGGAAAAAGCGAAAAAAGAAGCAGAGAAAGAGGCAGAAGAAGAGGCAAAGGAAAAGGCAGAAGAAGAAGTAGAAGAAGAGGTAGAAGAAAAAGCAGAAGAAGAAGCAGAAGAAGAGGTAAAAGAAGAAGCGGAAGAAGAGGCGGAGGAAAAGGCGGAAGAAAAGGAAGAAAGTCTTATATAAATTCCCTTTTAATAAAATAGTAAAATAAATCTTTAAGTTTATTTTTAATAAATCTTTAATACATTTTCAATATATTTTCAAATTATCCTTAACTAATTTCATTATTATTTAAGTTAATATTTAAAAAACAAAAAGAATATATAAGTAATGCTATAATATCCTTTCTTCTATTTTATTTATTTATAAACTATATAAAAAATTTAAATATATTTATAAATTTTACTTTAGATTTATATTTTATAAAACTTTTATTAATTATGGATTTATAATAGGTCTTCTTCTATTCTATCCTTAGTAGAGCGGTAAAGGCCGGAATTGCATTATTTAGTATATATTCCGTTACTATACGGATGAGCATATAAAGCCTATTGTTTTTTCGTCTATAGTTTAGGTTTAGCAATTATAATTAAAATATTAGCGTTAGTAATAATAATAGTATTAGCGCTCATTTTGGTTTAGTTAGGATAAATTAGAGATAGTTTAGGGATAGATTAGGGATAAATTTATTTAAGTATTTAAATTAATATAGTTCTCGAAATATTCGTATAAGTAAATTATTCCTCTATAAGGGAATTTCTAGGAGCGATTGGAGATCTTTCTCTACAGGGGAACGTTAAACGAATAATTGAGGTTATTTTACGTTGTTCCTTTACAGTTAATATTATAATTTATTATATTGAATTAACTCTATACAGATACGTATCGTAATAATTGTATTAATTTTCTTCTTTTGTAGGTCGGAATAATTTTGTATGTGAATGTACGGACTAGGGGGTTAGGAAGCTTTGGTAATGGGGTCGGGTCATCTGACCACTCGAGAGGACTGGAGAAATATGAAGGCCCTGGTCGAATCGAAGAATGTGGGTGTCGATTATTCCGCTTACACCTTGGCGCTTTTTTTCACCTTTCTCGCCAAGTCTCAGGTACCCCAAATTCAGTCGATTTCTCCTTCTTGGTCTCGGCGAGAGTTGCGGTTCGTCAAGCTGGAGATTGAGGGATTTGGTCACTCCACATGGCGACCGGGAGACGGGATATTAACTTATTAGATTGACATTCGGGGTTCAGTAGCCGGATGAGATGAAAACGAGGAAGAAGGGAAAAAGTAGAACCGGAAAAGGTGGACCGGAGGGATCTGTTGTCCCTTTATGGATACGCTACCCCATCGGACATGTCTCCGGTATCTATCTATGTAACAAGTGGTTACACGTATTCGGCTTTTTGATATTGGAGATGGATGATGTGATGAACCGATGAGGACGGGACGTTGATGTGCACCACCATTGAGTGATCACGATGGTCAAATGCAGGCCATCACTGCAGAGAACAGTTACAGTGCAGTCGACCACCACAACCGTTGAAGCGAAGCCATCACAACAGGACCCTTGCAGGGCTGATTGATCACTGGCCGTTACAGGCGAGGGCCATGCACGCCATGCTCCCCGGTGGGGCTACTTCATGCCAAATCTCCACTTTACTCCAAGCGTCTCCAATAACGACTCCAACCGGTCGAGCCATGGCCCGCAGATCCCCGCTTTCCCCGTTTTTTTGTACAGCTGAGCCTTCCCTGTTGCGGTCACTAACAATTTGATATCATCTCTTTTGCCCATCTTGCAACTCTCATCATCTGACCTCACTCTGTCCCTTTCATCTTCAGACTGGATGAACCTGGGTTCTCCGACCGCCCATCGCCCGGCCCACCACGGACATCATGAAACTCGACTCCAAACCGGGCGACATGGAGTGTCCAACAGATCACCCAGCATTGATACACTTGGTCCATCTTTCGTCATTTTGTGTGTTTGTTAATTTCGTTGTCCTCGTTCACGGAAGGGAACGCAAACGCGTCACATTGAGACTGAACAGGCAAATTCTTCACCTCTATCGAAGAACTTTGCGACTAGTTGAGGTAGCCTAGGTAAGGTTGCTTGCCTTGGGGATGCCCATCATTATTATCATCTTTCACACGATGCAACGCTCGCCGGCTTCACCTCCGAAAACCTACAGTGCTCTAAAATGCCGAACGTCACCCTCAGTTACATCTCTACAACTCTGCAATTCTGCTCGTTATCTGATGATATCGATCTAAACCACTCTCTGAATACAATGAACGCCGAGATCTTCGTTACTACATTACCTCCAACTCATCTATACTCCTACATGCTCGTCCTGAAAGCTCTACCCTGAAGCTGAAAAAACACAATCTCGCCAACATCCTTCGTCCCTAGCTCGCTCAGCGGGAACACTACCTGAACTCACCACCACGCCTCCTTCACGCCCCTTACATCGCTTCCGGCAGCATCGCCATGGCTCCCTCTCTCACTCGCCACTAGCATCTCATGCGCCCGCGGACCTCTCGGGTTGCACGGGTCATACCGAACATAAAACGACTCCGGGTCCCAAACGCCATAGGTAACGAGTTGATCGTTGATGAAGGCGGCTAGGCGCTCCTCGTAGGGACGGTCGTCGGATGGGTTACCTGGCAGATCACCGCTAGTGGTGGTGGACATGGAGTCAAAGCTGGAGGATAAGGTCTCGGTCTCCTCTGTTTCTGCTTCTGGGTCGGACAGCTGGTGGTGAGTGGTGGGAGGGGTGGTGATGAGGATGGTGTGGGGTTCTTGCTCGGAAGTTTGGCTGTGGTTATCTGCATGGGGATGGTGCATGTCCTTATCGGACTGCTGGAGGGAAATTCCCATCCTCGCAAACGCCTCCTCAAGACCACGGCGGCCCTCCTCTGCTCTCCGGAACGCCTCATCGTTGTGGTGGCGGGCCTCAACCAGAGAGTATTGCTGAGCGGACCGATGATGCTCGCCCTCATGACCAACCTCCACTAGTAAGCGATGGCCTTCCTCGGCGGTGCGCATTGAAGAGTCATGGTAGTCCCATGCTTCCTGTAGGAGACGGTAGCCCTCTTGCGCTTGGAGGATCGCTTCGTCGAAACGATGCCGGGCGGAGATCAGACTTGGAGCATCTTGGGGGGTCTGGCAGTCTTGCGAGACGTCCTGCGAGAGCGAGAGAAGAAGGTCGGCTTCTCCGAGTTGGCGGAATGCCTCAGAGTTGTGGTGTTGAGCGCGGAGAAGGGAGTTATGCGCCTGTTGGGAGAGAAGCAGGGACTCGTCGATTTGGTGCCAGGCTTCTTGGAGGAGGATCTGCTGTTCGTGAAAGGGAGTGGCTTTTTGCTCAGCAAGGGTAAGGGAGTTGTCAACCTGCTGAATCCCCAACATCTGCCGCAGCTTTTCCTCCCCCTCAGCTTTGACCCGAGCAGCTTCAGCTTCGGTCTTTCGCTTGGCCTCTGCCTCCGCCTTGCGTTGAGCTTTCTTCCGGCGCTTGACCTCTTCAGCGGCTTTCTTCCTCGCCTCTTCCCTCTCAGCCCTCTCCCTCGCCTCTTCTACTTCCTTCTTCAGCTTCTCAGCCTCCCTTTTTAACCGTTCAGCCTCTTCCTTCTCACGCCGAATCCTAGCCTCCTCCTCACGCCTAACCCTCGCCTCCTCCATCGCCCTCCGAATGGCCTCCTCTTCCGCCTTCCTCACAGCCTGCGCCTCCCTCTTCAACCGCTCAGCCTCCTCTCTGGCCCGACGCTGCTGCTCTTCCTGAGCTCGACGAGCAGCAGCCTCCAAATCAGCCTGACGACGACGTTCAACTTCCTCAACAGCCTTCTTCTTTGCCTCGGCCGCGCGTTTCTTAGCTTCCGCGGCTTTGCGCTTTTTGGCATCCTCTGCCCGGCGCTTGGATTCCTATTCCGCTTGCTGCCGTTTGACGAGGTCGGCTTTGCGCTTGGCTTCTGCTGCTGCTTTGGCTTCGGCTTCGGCTTTGAGTTTGGCTTTTTCGGCGGCCTGTTTTTCTTCGGCCTGACGTTTGAGCTCGGCCTGGCGTTGAAGTTCGGCTTGACGCTTGAGCTCGGCCTGGCGTTGAAGTTCGGCTTGACGCTTGAGCTCGGCCTGACGTTGAAGTTCAGCCTGAACAGCGGCTTTGGCTTTTTGTGCGGCTTCATGGGCTTTCCGTTCGGCTTCATGGGCTTGACGTTGCAGTTCGCCCTGAAAAGCGGCCTCAGCTTGTCGAGCGGCCTCGTCGGCTTTCCCTTTCTCCTCGTCAGCTTTCCGCTTCTCCTCGGCAAGGCGTTCTAATTCGACCTGTTGCTTGAGTTCCGCTTGCCGCTGTTCTTCGGCCTTTCGTTCGGCTTCGGCTTTTTTCCTCTCTTCGGCAAAACGCTTAGCTTCAGCCTGGCGAGCGGCTTCGGCTTTCCGCTTCTCCTCAGCCAGTCGCTTTGCTTCAGCTTGACGTTTCTTCTCCTCGGCTATGCGCTTGGCTTCCTCCTCTTTCTTACGCCTGGTGTCCTCTTCGGCCTTTTGTCGAGCTTCCTCCGCCTTTTTCTTGACCTCCTCGGCCGCCTTCTTTGCCTCGTCGGCCTTGCGCTTGGCCTCGGCAGCCTTCCGCTTCTGCTCAGCTTTTCGCTCTTCTTCAGCTTTAAGTTTGGCCTCAACTTCAGCCAGCCGTATAGCTTCCAGTTCAGCCTTTTGCCTGGCTTCCAGTTCGGCATTCTGCTTAGCCTCCAGCGCGAGCCGCCTAGCCTCCTCTTCCCGGACCGCCTCCTCCAACTTCTTCTGCTCCTGCATAGCATACCACTCCTTCTCCGCTTGCAGCCTAGCCTCCTCCTCAAACTTCCTTTTCTTCTCCTCAGCAATCCGTTCCTCCTCTTTCTTCCTCTCCTCCTCTTTCCTCAACTCTTCCTCTTGCCTCTTCTTCTCCTCTTCAGCCAACCGCTGCTCCTCGTCCCTCTTTCTCACCTCCTCCTCCTCCCGTCTCCTCGCCTCTTCCTCCTTGACCTTCTGCAAACGGGCCTCCTCTTCCTTCAGCCTCTGCAACCGAGCAGCCTCCTCCTTCTGATGTTGCTCCAGCCGCCGGGCCTTCTCTTCGTCGAGCTTCCTTTGGGCTTCGCCCACTTTTCGATCGAGCTCGGCTTGGTGCCGAGCTTCGGCTTGGCGACGGAGTTCTTCGCGCGCGGCAGCTTGTTCGCGGAGACGGGCTTCTTCTTTCTCGCGGTCGAGACGCTTGCGGAGCTTGCGCCGCTCTTTCTTGGCTTTGGAGGCTTCTTTGGATTTGTCGAGGGGAGGCGGGTTGGGGGTGGAGGTGGCGTCATGGTTGGGTGTGTCACGCGGAGAAGCGGGAATATCAGTGGGGAGGACAGTGGGAGCGGCTTCGGGAGCGGCTTCGGGACCGGTGGATGGCTCTGCAGCAGGCTGTGAGACATCTGCTGAGGCGATGTCGTCCAGTTCCTTTGGTTGAGCAACGTCGGAGGTATCGTGATCCGGAACATCGTGTGTGGAAGGGCCTGCTGTTGAGTGAACGTCTTTCGGCTGAGGCTTGACTGCTTCTGCAGGCGCTTCCTGCTCCTTGACAGATGAGTGTTCGGTGCTAGCGTGTCCAAGCTGATTGTCAAGAGCACTTTGCTGCGCCTCTTCGGGAACACACCTGCCACCCTTGCTGTCAACCAAGGCCTCTTGACTTTGAGTACCCTCTTCTGCATCAGGTTTCCAATCAATCGCAAAACCATCCTTGTCGTTTGTCTCGACAACGACGACATTATTGAGGAAGGCCTCGAAGAAGTCCTCTTCGGAAATATCGGCCGGGATCTCAAACTTGCCAAAAAGTTTGGTGCTATCACCTGCCTCTTTACGCCTGAGATGTTCGGCATAAAGAGGCTTCACCGAATCTCGAAAGCGAGCCTCCTCCTCTGGGCTCAGACCGTCCTTATTCGCAAGGACCTGACCTCTGGACTCGTCCTCGGGAGCACCTGACTTCGGCCCAATCTTTGCCATGGTCTCGTTGAGCACATCCTTGATTGCCTCTCGGTTAAATCCGCCGGTCTTGAGGGATTCATAAATCTGGGCCTTCGATTCGGCGACCACTTCGGACCTGGCGGCCTTCTTCTTCTTCGCCTCCTTTTCTTGTTCCTTCTTCTTTCTGTTCCTTCGGCGCTGCCTTTCCTTCTGAGCATCGGTCCTCGTGTCAGGCTCTGCGGCCTTCTCGTCAACATTCTCCGCCTCGGCATTCGTTGCCTCAGCCTGTTCCGCAGAGGCCCCGGTCTTTCGCCGTTTGAGAGGGTTCAAAGCCAAGAGGCCCTTGTCAATGTTCCTGTCCAACTTGTCCACCATTCTTTCAGCCCGACGCACACTTGCCAGTTCCTCTTTTGTCAAGATACTCTCTCCATCCGCATCTGCCAGGCTACTGAATCCCGGCCTGGGCGGTTCCGGCAGCGGCCTCGGTCTAGGGAACGGCTGCAGCCCATCAAAACCCGATCTAGTCCTCCTCGGAGAAGAGTTACCCGATGAACTGGGCGTCTCATCATCACATTCACACTCACTCTCGCCATCATGATGATGCTGATGAGAGGTTACATAACGGCAATGACGACAAGCGCAAGACCTCGACCCCATGCCTCCCGCAACAAGCGCAGTCCTCGGCGGCTCCGGGTGGTTTTCAAACCACCCATCCACCCGTCCCTTCAAGGCCACGTACTCATCGTACAAATCCTTTCTCCTGACCCTAATCTCGGCAAGACGTACCCTTCTCGGTGGCCCCACCACCTCCTCATCGCAAGGGTCCCAACTCTTGACCCAGGCGTCCGGAGGGCCCACCCACTGCGGCCACTCGAAGCTGAGGGTATTCAGCGCCGCCAGCGTCACCCTGATGTTCAGGTAAGGGTGATCCGCCCTCAGCGCAATGCAGTAATCCGTGCTCTTGCCTTGGCCGTAGTCGAAGTGTTGGCCCGGATTGACGAGATTCTGTTGATTCGGGTTCCCTCTCAGACTAATAAACGGCGTCGAGGACGAGTCATACCTTGGCACATGTTTAAACTCCTGCAACACCGAAGTCTTGGAGAAATATACCCCTTCGTTCCAGCCCAGTTGGCATCCCATGTCGCGTATCGCATCCAGGAACTCGTGCGTCCCCGGCGAGACGCCGGACCGCAGGCGCTCGACATGGCAGTGCAGCGCCATGAAGGAGAGCATCCTTCCATTTTTTGTGACTGTCTCAAGCCAGGTCTTGCACTCGTGCACAGTCTGGAAGTCAGGCACCGTGATGTCGCGGATGTTTTGCAGACTCAAGCAGTCGCGGATGAACTTGGTGAAGGATCGAAGTTGCTGGCACGGCATGAATCCGGGGGGCGAGTACCGCTCGCAGTGCAGGAGGATGTTGATTTCGCCGGCCAGTCCGTCCTTGCCGATTTGAGAGAGTTCCATGATTAAGGGGGTGGGGCCAATGATGTAGGGAGGCCATTGAGGCAGGTAGGGGTGCCAGTGGTGTCGGATGCGGCGGTAGAAGAGGTTGGCGGCGGGCTCGATTAGGAACCATTCTTGCTGTTGGGGGAGGTTGGGTTAGTTACGGTCGGAGTGAAGAGAGGGGCAATGGTTGGGTTTGGTAAAAGAAGGAGAGGGAAGGGGGAAGAGAGAAGGAAAAAGGGAGAAACTTACAGCACTAAACCCCTCAAACCACATCGGCATAACCCTCGAGTTATCCGTCGTCTTCGAAATCCGCGTGTACGTCGGGAGGCGCTCAGGCTCTGGAAGCGGAGGAAGCAGACGTAGATCCCTCTGTTCATCCCAAGGCACTACCGCTGGGGTATATGGCACCGAGTGCAGCAGCGACTCTCGCGGCTGCGGCTGCGAAGATTTGGAAACTCTGTATGGCGACGAGCGGGAGAGTAAAGGGGATGAAGAAGCGGGTAGTGGGGAGTAACGATCGTCTTTGGGTTCATGTTCTGTCGCTTTGTCGACATCGACATAGACAGTGGCAGTCGGAGGGGTGGTCGGCTGGCCTTGAGTACCACCTCCAGGGCAAGGGGCGGCTTCGGGTTGTTGTAGTTCGGGGACTACCACTGGTTGGGGAGGTGGGAGCTGATCAGTTCCCATATGCTGATCCGGCAAGATAGATCCCATTGGCGCGACCGGTGCGATAGGCGGTGCCAACAAAGCTACAGGAGCCATCGCCGCCGGAGAATACGGCGACACTTGCGGCGACCGAGGAGAGACCGAGACCATCTGCTCTGGCTCCTGTTGCTGTTGCTGCTGTTGAGCCTCATACTCGGTGTTGACAATCTGTTGGGACAGGTTGAGTGCCGGCGGTACAACTTTGTGGATCACGTCATTTTCCTTGTACAGAGCCTGAGATCCCTTAGACCACTTGCGCTTGTGACCCTGAGCGCAGGGAGAGATGGAAGAGGACGGATGGCTGTCGTGGTTGTCGTGGTCCTGTTGCTCTGCCTTTCCCTTGCCCTTTTCTTCCTTGCTCGGTCTCTTTTCTCCTGTAACCATCTCCTGAAGAAGGCATTCGGCTTGCTTGTCATCAGCAGCATCGGCAGCATTGCCGGCATCGGCCTCGACATCGGCATGGGCATCAGACTTAACCTGTGCCTCCTCCGGACTCGCCTCGAGCTTATCTTCCGACGACGTAGTGACAAGAAACGTCCTCCAATGTGGCAGTGGGCTCCCGTCATCAACGAATAACTGCGAACTGTCACTTTCATCATCCCCTAGAACAAGATCTCCATGGTCTCCAATCTCTCCATGATCTCCCAAGGCTTCAAGGTCCGAATAATCCGGAAGCCCAGAACCATCATCATGCCCATGGAGCGCCAATGGAACGTCAAAGGGGTCGTCCTCGGGCAGTGGGACGTCAGCTGGATCGAGTTGAACGGCAAGCGATGATTTAGAGTCTGAGCTCGTTGCCTGAGAACTGTCTTCGGGAGCGGCACGGGCAGGGAGGAGATCGCTCCAGTCCATGTCGTCGTAGGAAGTGCACGTGGGGATTATGTCGGGGAGGTGTTGATGGTCTTTGTTTTGGGCTTTGAGGTTGTCGGCGATGAACGTGGGAACAAGGCTGGGGGAATTTTGCTCTTCAAGTTCCAGTTCCACATCATATTCAGACAACGAAGGCGGGAAAGGAACTTGAATGCCAGTCGGACCTGGATACTGGAGCGCTTCCTCTTCGTGGTTGCCATCCTCGTAGTGGACGGTTTCAAGGTAATCTCCAGCTCTACTGGCGAGCGACGGCAGCAGGAAATCCTCGATGTACTCCTCCGGCCCCGACTCAAGACCGTCTTCATTCACATCATCAGACGGGAGCGGGACCAGGGCTGGATTGACCGACGCCACCGACGCCTCAGTGTCTTCTCCTCCTTCCTCAGCCATAACAACAGAAGCAACAGCCAGTGCATCCAAGAGAAGAGAAGAAGTAGCGTCACGAAGTCTTTGTTGGGTCTCCAGAAGTCTAGAGGTAGAGCAAGTGCCGTTGTTCTGGGCGTCTTCAGCGGCTTCGAGGTCGGTAATCCTTTGGCTCAGTTGTGCGAGCATGTCTGGGATCTTTGCCTTTGGAAGGGTGCGCAGAGCCTCAGGCTCGGGCTCGGGCTCTGAAGGTTCGTTCATGACTTGGTCGAGTGGAGGGGTAAGACTGCGGCGCTCTTGGTCTTGGCTGGTGGACATGGAGTTGCGCTTGGAGTTCGTGGTTGTGTTGTCGACGTCGTCCATGGCAGTGGGCTTGTCATCGGTGTTCTTATCGCCGAGGTCGACAAGTTGATGGTCCTCACGGGCTTCGGCTGGGGGCGTGAGGCTGCGCTCTTCAGTTGAAGATTCCTGCATCGAGTTGGTTGTGTTGTCGACGTCGCTCACGGAGTTGGGATTGTCCTGAATCTTGTCGTCGATGATGTCACCAAGGTGGTGGATCTCTTGGGCTGCGACAGTAGTCCAGAATGGAGAGCCGGCGGGCGGAAGGACTAAAGGCGACTCAGGGAGCGGGATGTCGGTCGCCTGGGGCTCGCTTGGGGGCGTCGGCGGGGGAGTTGGTTCTTTTGACGGTTTGGAGAGCGACATGTTGTTAACTTTGATTAGCCTTGTCTGTCGTCTGTTCTCGAGAGTTCGGGCTGGTTTTGATGAGTAGAGATAAAGGTAAGTAGGTAGAGGCAACGCGATGGGGTTGTTGCGAATGTGATGAGCGATTGTTTTGTTTGACGGTTGTGTTGTTTTGTTGTAGGGGTTGTTTAAGAGAAGAGGGGCGAAATGAAAAGTGCAAAATGGAAGTGCGCCGCACGCTATCAGCTTGGTGAAGGTGAAAGCAGGCCGAATTGGAAGTGAAGGGTCGTTGACACTACATCAGTGAATTACTATCCGGCGCGCCCAGCCCGGAACCAAGGCTGACAGCTGTCTCCGGGGCAACTTGACACTTGACAACGACGCGTCATTGGACGAAGGCTTGCCATCTCGGTGAATGTGGAAGGGCCTCGAAGAAAAACCCTGGCAGTCACCTGCGCGCCTTGGCTGTTGGGACGAGAGATGGGATGAAAGAGGATGGTGAAGGCGGAGGATGGAAGGTACCTCTAGGTAGCCACACCACAAGCGAAGGAACCATTACTACATGAAAACTCCAGTGGAGTGACTGAGTCCTTGGAATGAATGTTCTGGCATTTCTTCGTGGAAACAATGATGCGTGTTGGCCGCTAATCATGGACTTTGTTGTCTTTTGAAGTCGGTTGAGCGGCCACGTACGGGAGACAATGATGATGGGACGAATTCACTCATGAACCTTAAAGCTTCTCAGGAAGCAAGGCACATACGTCATCGAAGACTACCCCATCAACCTCGGAGACCAGGGGAAGCATCTACAAGCATTAAGCATCATCCTCATGAGCTTCCTGGCCATCCATCACCTGCAATCGGTGTATTGCAGATGATGGTTCTTCACTGATGTTCCATATTCCGGGACTTTACCTTGCGGCTTCGACCTCTTATTGTTACATCCCCAACCCACATTCTGTTCAACGGATTCCTTGATCTTCTCGTGCGCATCGGGCGATGCGTGCTCTTGGTGGCTCAAAATGGTGGCACTGCCGGATGTTGAAGCTCAGCAGCAGCTAGATCGGTCCCGCATTCCAATCCGGATACGAAGATTGAAATGTGAAGAAAAATGTTAAAAATATCATTTCATGGCCGCCAATCAATAATTTCCAATTGAATTAACCAGAGATTGAATGGACAAGATGTCAGCGCCGAGTGTCCTAAGTGCATGTGGCCGGTTGATACCCTAGTGCGATTATAATTCTGCTGGATTGCTTGATACTCAGCGCCATATTCCCACCTCTCCTCCACGCTCCCGGTGAGAGAAGAATGTTTGCCTAACATGAATAAGTTGAGCCTACTTCGACAACTCAATCCATGTCTTCAAGTTTGTTAGCCGTGGTTCTTTGATCGAGTGTCCTCGTCCCCTCAGACTGGTTGACAAAACGCCAAGCCCAGCTTTCCATCCAGTGGGTGTTCCAGCGGCCCCGCAGGACCTTCCCGTCACTGCCCCTGGGACCCGGACTAGAAGCATATAACCCGGAAAATTCAGACCTTTCACTACGGTCCAGTAGCTTACGTGGTAAGTGTGCTGCGATCCAGAAAATGCGTTGGTATTTTCGTACGTCTGCCGGTCAACACCATGAGTTCGAATCCGGATATGGGCGGGCTGAGCTTTTTGTCTTTTTTTCTCTCTTTGGTTTTTCCTCAGCTTTTGTTTTCTAGGTACCTTGACGGGAGGGAGCATTATCGATTGATGGTGTTCACCTTTTTGATCTGGATGTTGGTCAGTGAAGCCGTGCTTTACAGGATACCTACAGCTACGTGACAAAAGTCTCCGGGTTGCGGGCATTTGCATTCCCGTTGGGCGATGCTTTCTTCAACCCATCACTGATTTACCTACAAATTATTACCGAACATTATACCATTGACACCCCTATCAACCATTCCATGTTTCCCGTCACACCAACATTGCAATCCATCTTGCACTCGCCTGTAGTAAACATGTAACCACCAACCAATTAGCGTCCCCTCCACTAACAACAGCGCTATAACGACCGGCGTTGATGGCGCGGATATCGGAATGGAACCCTGCATGCCCCAAAAGCACAACATCGGCGCCAAGCCCCCTCTCTAATCCCAGTCTCCACGCTCACTGTAACGGTTCGCTTACGAGATCCCATGGATCCCTCCCATTCTTTCTTTTGACTTCATCTCACTTGTTCTTCCTTTGTGACAGAAACAACAAACGAGATGAGGCTATTCGGAAGATTTGTTGACTGTATTGCCATTTTGTTTTATTTGCAGCCGCCTTAACGCACAGGAGATTATGGACCGCATCAACGACGACGTAGCGGGGGCGGCGCAAAAGTTGGAATGGTTTGGGATTGAAGAATCTTATCGCGACCCCGCATTGTCACGATCACGATCAGCATCACCAGCGACGCCAACATCGCGACGAGATACCGACGAAAAACCACCAGTTTGCCCCTCCTGCCTCAGCCTCGAATACGCCCTCTTCCGCCCCTTCGATTCGCACCCACCAATCCTCAACTCCTACTCCCTTTCCCCCTCCCATGACCATTCCCCTTCCAGTGTACCTACCACCCTCCCACCCCGCTACCTTTTAATCGAATACCACGACCTCCTCCAAACCTCTTCCCCTTCCCCTCCCCCCGACGGCTCCCCCAACGACTCCAGCCCAAGCCCAAGCTGCACCTACTGCCCCCTCCTCCTCAAAGCCATCACCTTATTCTGGGACGACGATCCGAGCTCTTATTATCTTTCTAAGGCGCCGGTGGCGGATGCGAGGAGTTTTAGAAGGATTTTATGTTTGACTCAGCAGCCTGCTGTTACTTCTAGTTCTGATGAGAGGGAAGGAGTAGGGGGAACAGGAGGGGGAGGTGGAACGCTATGCCTCTTCAAAGCGCTACTATACGATGATTACCCCGATGCGACGTTCCCTCATGCGTTGACGGTACGGGACTCGACGAGTAGGATTGAGTTTTATCACTATCCTTGGGACCTGGTCAACCTGAAGAGGGCAGAAGAGGAGGGGAAAGGGGAGACACGGGAGGGGGAGGGAAACAAATTGCTGGAGAAGGAGGGAAGTGAAGGGACGGATGTGGGAACTAGCATTGCTGCTGAACAGCCGGAAGAGTCTGAAGAGCCAGAAAAAATAGGGGAGGGCAAGGAGGAGAACAGGAAGGCGGATGTGGAAGGGGAAGATAGGAAAGAAAAAGGTGGAAAGGGGCGTGATGATGGGAGAAAGGAAGCGGAACAACACTGGAAGTCCCTACCACATCCAGCAATAGGCACAGCTAACCACGTCCCCTACGCCATCACCCTCGACCGCGTCGTCCGCCTCGCCACCCGCTGGCTTTCCCAATGCGACTCCTCGCACCCCAAGTGCGCACCAGAGCCTCACCAGCTTCCAAGAAGGCTGCTAGACCTCCGCAGCGGCGTGAAGCTCATCGACACCACCACCGACCCCAACCTCAACCAATCCTCCTCCCCTCCCGGGCCACCCCAGTACATGACCCTCTCCCACTGCTGGGGCCTTATCCACCCCCTGCTCACCACAACCACCACCACCCTCGATTTCCACCTCTCGCAAATCCACTGGTCCTCCCTCCCCCTCTTATTCCGGGACGTCATCCTCTTAGTCCGCGAGTTAGGCTGCCGATACCTCTGGATCGACTCACTCTGCATCCTCCAAGATTCCGAATCAGACTGGCTCACGGAAAGCGCAAACATGTCCTCCATCTACGCGCACGCTACTTTAAACATAGCTGCTACCGCGCAGCGGGACGCGTCAGTGTCTCTGTTCAGACGACGCTTTCATGGACAGGGGTTTCGGGATCTGAAACTTTCTGCTGCGGGACGGAGTACGGGGTTGATGGCGCCGATGGATACGGTTGAGATTGGGACGCTGCCTCTGTCTCTGGAAGCAGCAGAGGGAGGGATAGAGGTACCGGTACCGGTGTATGCGAGGATAGGACACGAGAGAAGTCATGAGACGTTATTTGGGGAGGTGGAGTACTTCCGGACGTTGAAGGAGCCGATTTTGAGTCGGGCGTGGGTGTTTCAGGAACGGTTGCTGAGTAGGAGGACGCTGCATTTTGGGAGTAGCGAGGTGTTGTGGGAGTGTAGGAGCGGGTGTTTTTGTGAGTGTGGGGGGATTGAGAGGGGACATGTGTTGAGCGTGAGGAATTTGAACAATAATGCTGCTGCTAGTTGGCGGGCGCCGGGGACGGGGAGTGGGAGGGGAGGTGGTGATGTTGAGTCTTCGGGGCTGTTAAGTCCGCCGTTGCCGCTGTCGAGGTCGTCGTCTTTTGAGACGGGGTCGTCGTTGACTTGTGGGACAATACCGAAGAAGGTGTTGTTTGCTAATCTCACTTCTGGCTCACCGGAGACGATGAAGGACAGCCGGCTGCTGCACGACTTCTTCCTCCGTTGCGTGGAGGAGTACTCCTTTCTTTCCTTGACCAAGGAACTCGACCGGTCTTTTGCTTTAGCCGGCATTGCCAAACGAATTCGCTCCCTCCTCTCCCCTTCTGATGGGTACCTCGCCGGTCTATGGCTCGGCGACTTGCCGAGAGCGCTGCTATGGCAACCCTACCGACACAAAAAGGTGCTTCGAGCGGGGGATAATATCCCCACTTGGAGCTGGATGTCACGGTCATGCTATCCGGTGGAGAACCTATCGGGTTATGGGAAGGGGAGGGGGAATCCAACGGCGAGCAAGTGCAGTGTCAGGTACAAGCACATGACGCGGTCGGGGTACGAGTTTGAGGTTGATGACCGACTGGAGGTGGATCCTGAAAAGACATGGTGTGAATATGAAGGAGACAACGAGTTTGGAAAGTTGAAGGGCGGGCAGGTTACGCTGAGAGCGGCGCATAGGTGGGGAGTGGTGTGGACAACAGACACGAAGAGGAGTAGCGGCAATGAGTGGACAGGGAGGAATAACTTGGTGGTTGCTATTGGGGAAGGCGTGTTGATACCCATGGCGCCGGATTGTCCGAGGCAAGAAGACCCGAAGAGTGTGGCGCTTTTGGAAAAAGTGTTGGTGGTGTTGTTCGGTGGAAGGAAGCTGGACAAGGAAGCCGGAGGGGACGCGGATGGGCCGCAGTTCTTTTTGGCGTTGAAGGAAGTGGAAGAGAGGGAAGGCGTGTTTCAGCGGATTGGCTTCTTGGAGTCGGAGTGGAGGATTGACCTCTTTGAGAATGCCGAGGTGAGAACAATCACCTTGATTTGACAAAGATCAGAATGGCCGGGCAGGAACCGGCGGAGGGAGCCATTAGCGACGAGCCAAGATGACCTCACCCGAAGCAGTGTCTAGGCGATAGGCGTTTACCAGTGCTGACCTGCCAATGTCTCAATGCCCTACCATTCTTTGAGAAGCTCTTAACTCCGATGGCGAACATGCCCTTCCATGTGCAAGTGCTGCTTATCGCCGAAAGGGTTGGCGATTAGCCAGGAAAGTGCGATGATAAACCGACTGCAAACGCAAGAGTTGGGATAAAACAAATGATGTATAAAGGGAAGGAGAGGGGGGCATAATTGTTGGATGGTCTTCTTCCAAGTTGCTCAATCGCTCTCCATCCAAGAAATCCTTCGCCAACAAACTCACCTTTCCGAACAAATTAACTCCAAGTTCATTTCACACCATCAACACAATCATACTCTCAACTCCCATCATCAAGATGCCGCCCCGCAACAGCACCATGCAACCCCGGGCCGATGCACTAGTCTGGCTCGTCACCGGCTGCTCCTCCGGCTTTGGCCTCGAGTTTGTCCTCCAGATCATCGCCCGCGGCGACTATGTCATCGCTACCGCCCGCGACCTCTCCAAGCATGGTGTTATGCAACTCTCCTTTGATGATGTACCACTCCTCCAGCTCGATGTCACCGCTTCCCAGGAGTCCCTGAACGAGAAGATTGCAGAAGCCATCAAGATTTACGGAAGAATCGACGTCCTGGTGAACAACGCTGGCTATGTAGCGCTGGGCGGTTGGGAAGACCTGGGTTATGACGGCTTCGTCAAGCAATTCGAGACCAACGTCTTCGGCCTGTTAAAGGTCACCAACGCGGTCCTTCCGCAAATGCGAGAGCGCCGGAGCGGAACGCTAGTGTTTATGAGTTCGCTTTCGGGGTGGAAGGGAGACGAGTTCTGTGGAGCGTATGCGGCGTCCAAGTTTGCTGTTGAGGGTTTGTTCTTCCCTTCTGCTTCTTAGTGAATGGCACTTGTCGAGAAATCACTTGATCAACAGTCCGCTGACAGAAATGATGCAGGAATGGTCGAAGCACTCCACGAAGAAGTCAAACCACTCGGCATCCGTACCCTTCTATTCGAGCCAGGAAAGTTACGAACCAAGTTGCTGTCACCCGGTAACGTGCTCGGCAACGTGTCCCAGATTGACGATTACAAGGAAGAGTCGGCAAGAGTACTGCGTGCCTTTGCCAATGTGGACTCGAAGCAGAGGGGTGACCCGGCAAAGGCTGTCAGGATTATCATGGATGTCGTCCGTAATCAGACGATCCACCCATTGACTGAGGAGGAGTATCCTGTGACGTTCTCTCCATGGGGCAGTGAGTGTGATGAGGGGGATGGGCGTGTGAAGTTCAGATTGCCGTTGGGAGAGGATGCGTATTGGACGATGAAGATAAAGTGCGAGGAGACGTTGCAGATGTTGAGTGCGTGGGAACGTGTGATCGCGAGTACCGATAATATGAGTACGATGTTATGATGGCTTCAACAGGTGAGAGGAGTGAGTAAATCACTGCCTAGGGTTGTTTCCCGGAGTCGGGTTTCCCGTCCCCCGTCGTTGGAATTCAGGCGGCGCCATGGTTTTTTTTTGTAAATAGTTCTTATTGGGCGCCTGTCCTGTTTCGGTTTCCGAATGTCTCGCTCTGGGCAGTGGGCGCCCCAACTCGGATGGCCAGCTGAAAGCAGCTGAGGCGCCAGAATATGTGGAACAGTGGGCGCTGACTGAGGATTCTGTACGTCAGATTCAGATTAGCAGACTGGAAGACAACCAGCCACTTAAATGTTATACACACCGCTCTTCTGGAGATTGGGTGAGATTTTTGGCTTGGAGTGAAATGCTTGTTCTGTGGGTTGCCGCGGTTGCCAACAACATGCTGAGTGAGACCGATGTCCATACAGCCAGCGAGCAATGTTGCCAAGAGGTCAGACTGCCGTCGGTGTTCCATTCGTCTGGGTTGCTTGAACTCTGGTGGTTGCAGGTTCGAAAGTAGACCCAACGGTAGCCGATGTCGTTGCGTAGGGGCGGGTCTGCGCTTGACAAGATTGGGACCCTCCAGACGACCTTCTCAATCCGGCTCTTGCCGCTGGGTCTGCTCGTTATTTGACTGGTTGCGGTCACTCCTGCCGCTTTGTATGCCGGCCAGGGATCCCAAGAGCAACCGGAACTCGGACATGGAGCATCACTGGAAGGGTGTCACGGAATGCCTCGTGGGGGACGGGGATGCACTTGAACACTCACTCCTTGGGGGTTTTGGCGACATGGGGAGCGATAATTGGCGGTTTCCTTTTTCTGCTAATGAGCAAACGTGTTTTACAGGAACTGGGGGAAAGAGCAGTCGTTGGGTTGGTGCTGGGTCGAATGGTGTCGTCTGGACGGGAAGGTTGTGGTCGGGCAGACCGGGGTTCTCGATGACCTGCGGCAGGGGCGAACGGTTCTGGATAGAAGACTCGAGGAAGGGACGGTGGGCGATATGGACGGATTTTACGAGACACGATGATTGAGTGGATGACTGTGGCTCTCTGGTGAGGAAGGAGAACTTGAAGCCATTGCCGGATCTTGGCATTTGTGTCGTCTTCGAAAAGAAAAAGGAAGCCAGAACGACGGAAGGTTGAAAAGGAAACAACACACCTGGCAGAGGCGCAGTTGCCCCTGCAGTTTATGTCCAGTCGCAACGAGTAGCAGTAGATAGGGGCTTTAATAATTCACGTGCATATTCTGTGGTTTTCTGTTAAGAACACTATTCCACAACGGCTGGGTGCCTGTACCCACCCAGAGTGAGTGTTTGCCGTGTGGCTGTAGTGACATCCATCTCATTCACCGTCATCCAAATTTCCACAGCGTTCATTGTCCAACATATCTTCTCTTTCTTCAACACTTCAGCTGTGTCATCAACAAGAGGCCTCATCGAAAACTCCTCCACTGCTGTTGTCTTTCGCTCAGGCTAACAAGTCTTCGTGATGCTCTTCCCCACAGCCGACAATCGTGGCGCATTTCTTTTGGTGTACTCGGCGGATCCTCCGCCTTGTTGACCGAACATCTCCACGGAGCCTCACGACGAATCCATAGAAGCAACAAACATGATGAAGCATACACTCCGACAACATGTCAACACCACGATTGGCGGCGCAGCAGACCGGTCATGGACTACCGGGTAGCCCGATTTGCAGCTGCCATGAAGGGCTGCTGAGCTGGTAGGCCATCAAAGCAGAGGTGGCGGTCGTGTCATCATACCATTTCTTATCCATCTTCTTGTCCAGAGTGGCATGGACAATAGTCGCCAGCTTCTCAACCAGCAGAAGTCGAATATCGTTCAATCCAATTTTGGATCCCCAAACGAACACCTGACTCCTGTCTGGAGGATCGGCTGTATCCTTCAACTTTCCCTTGCCGTCCCGAGGCCACTGAATCGTGGCCACCGGAACGTTTCTTTCCTTGTGCTTCTCTTTATAGTTGGTGTATTGTTTCTTATACGCCATCTCCAGCCCATGATCTGTTACACTACCTAACGAAAAAAATTGTTGATGCGCAGGCAACTCGAACCGCATCCCATGCAGTCCCTCTTTCAGGGGCGCATCACTGAAGAACCCCAACATTGTTTCCTTGTCAATCATATCGTGCCGCAGCAGATACGGATCCCCGCTAGGCGCGCCCGTGACCTCAACCGAAACTTTAAGATCCGGGAACTGCGCAGCGACGGCCGACCGAAAATAAAACCCATACCTGGGAACGGCAGGATGATGGACCGTGGGATCTGTGAACAAGCGGTTGATTGCCCTCTTAATCGCCCTCCGGACGACGTCATCCGTTATGGACACTTTCTGGTCAGCCAGCCCCGGCCCGCCCTGATGGCCCAAACTCAGCGCACCGTCAACCAGTGCATCAATCCAGTTATGGTCAACAAAAAAGAAGCGCAGGCCCTCGCGAGGTACCAGGCTCTGATCGGTCATGAGATAGTGCGACGGGATATTGACGAGGTAGTACAGGTCCAAGACGAAGCGGAGGACGATCATCCAGTCCGGCGAGCCGGGATCGTTAAGCTCGTCGTAGGGCGGCGTGTTCTTGTTCGTCCTCCAGCCTCCCCCTTCGGTATCGCAAGCAAGGCTCTTAGCCACTTCAAACGCCGCTTCCTCTATGGCTGCTTCGGTGAAGGGCCTGATGGACGCGTATGATAAATCAGGAGGCGAAGCGCTAGCCGGCTGTACCCAGCGGGTCTCGTCGGCGGACCGCGAGATGGCGATGGTCTCATTGATCAGGCTGTCAAGAGACTTGACGAGGTCCTCACGCTTGTAGCTTGGTCGCTGCGCGGCTTGCAGCATCTTCCGCCGGACGGTGCTGGTTGCTGGGTGCAGGATCTGATGGCGGACGCGCGTGAGAGAGATGGTGAAGGCACGATCGGCTAAGGCTAGCGTGCGGCCTAGCGACCAGGCAGAGGAGAAGGTGATGTCCATCATCCCCAGTTCCTGGTCGAAGATGTTGAGGTCGGAGCCGGTGTTGGAGAGCAGATCCCATTTTAGGGGCGCGATGAGGTTGGGTGTTAGCGGGCCGCGGAAGAGGGCGGCGGTTGTTTCGCCTGTTGGCGTGATGGAGCGCATGAGGGTGTAGCCGTCTCCAAGCCGGTTGAGCATGCGCTTGGCTACGTCACCCAGGTGTTCCGATTGGGGCGGGATGATGGGTTTGAGCATGCTTGATGTGAGGGCTATGTTCTCGAAAGCCTGCTTTACGTTGAGAGCATTCGGCGGGAGACAGGTGTAGGACCAACTGTAGAGGGAGACAAGCCCGACGCGAGCAGGCTGCTCAGGCGATGAGCCGGGTACCATTTCGGGGAGAGGGAGCGGCTTCAACGATTCAACATTCTCGAGTGAGACGAGGTGAACGATCATCTGGGAGGCTTTGTCGCCGTCGAGGGGCCCGATGCGATTCGCGATCACGACGCCGAACTCTCGGGTGGTATCGACTTCGTCTGAGTCGGCATTTGCCATGTCAGTTGTGTTCATCTGCACCACGTGGGCCAGGAACCGGTGTCGCGAGATGTCTGGACCTCCCGGTAGCGACTTTCCATCATCGTTATAGGCCGCAAACAAGCGGTTGAACAAAAATGCCTTCGGAAAGATCACGTTCGTATCGGGCTTGGTCGCCTGGTCGATATCAATGTTTCCGAACGGGACCTTGGCTGTTCCCTCCTTCAGCTTGACGAGGTCACCCAAAGGAACGCGGACGGCCATGGACTTTAACTGCTTCGGCGGAGGATCATTGAGGCTGGTGTGCGCAAAGATTGCCGCCTTCTCGGCGTCGTCCAGGCGCAGCTCGTCCGGCGAGAAGATCAAGAGCGCCATCCATGGCACGCGGTTTCTGGCATAGTCATCTGGATGCTGATCCTCGGCTTGGGAACTGCCGATGCGTTCCCATGGCAGCGTGCTGTCGTTAAGGACAATGTGCGGAAGCACGTCGTGTGTCGCTTCGTGGCCCTGTTCTGGGTATTTTGAGTAGACTGAGTCGGCGCGTAGTTCGAATCGTCGCTCTACCGGGGTGGTAACGGTTGGCGTTGAGTCTTCTCTTTTTGGCTCATCTTTCTTGGGCACGTCTTCTGAAATGGTCTGCTGAACCTGGATGGTGTATGTTGAGGGTGCCATTGTGGCCTTACACTCGTCTACCTGTGTTCCTCTCACTTTACTGTTTGAAGTGGTGCTGGTGTTATATGAAGAAGTTGCTCCCACTTCGACGGGAGGCCCCAGGAGGACTAGGTAGCTAGTTCGGGATCAGGCCGCTGGGTGTTCCCTAAGTGTACTTATTCTTCGGGGGTACCTAATTTTACGCTGTCTTTACCGCCCACCAATCGGGCATTGCGTGCTGCTATCCACCATGAGCGCATTTCGAGATCTAGACCTCATCGTCCCCATGTGGCTGTATGCACGGCTAGCCCGTTGTGATCTCACTTCAGCTCCACGTCTTCTCTGCGATTGTCTAATACGGAAATATCAATCCAAAAAGGAATGCGCCCCCGTACGTATCTTCAGCCCATCTACGATTCCCGGTCTTGTTGCGCCCCGATGGACGCGAGAGTGGCGTCGGGGACCGCCGAACTCGAAGCGTTGGGTTTGCCGGAGCGGGATCTGCCCGGGGGTTTGCGAGAAGTATCTATTAGCTAAGGCCCTCTGTATCTCTCTGCAGTTGCGGGGGGCACTAACACTTACACCGTCCCTCGCTTGAGAGCGGCCGCCTCGAAGTCTTCGGTCGCTAGTAACACATGTTTCCATGCCAGCTTCCGTCATCCGCTCTCACATGGCTTTTTCCTAAGGTATGTGTTTTCTCTGTTGTATCCAATGCCCCAAGTGAAATGAACGTACAAGCAAAGGAAGGAAAGTAATCTTAAGCCCACTTTGTCCTTCCCTTACACTTTCTCCAATTATATCCCCGTCCTTCTTTCCTTTCATCATTCAATCATGAACGTTTGGGCTGCGATAACGCTGACCCCTACCTTAAGACCAGTCAGCTCCTTTTCTCGCCATCCCGAAACCGTTTTGTCAGATTCACGTGTGCATGTGTCCAAGATGACACCAACGGTCTGGGCGACACTCTCACTGTGTAGAATTTTTTTTTCAGTTTCGAGCCATTTTAGGTGGTAGGAAGGAGACAGTAGACAGCGGTGCTATGAACAGTGTATGGAAAGTGTGGTGTCTGGTGCGGTGGTGCCGTTCCGACAGGCAGGTCTCCAATTAAGCGGGGAAAAGAAACAGACCCGACGGTAAGAGGGAAAAGGGTGGAACATACCAAGTAGGCAACTTCGTCTCATCCTCACCCAAGTCTGTTCCGGCCGTAATGTACGGAGCGATAATCATATTATTCGCCCTTCACCAAGCCTGAATAGTGACTTTCTCGTCGTGGCTACCCGTCAATTTGACGGGAGACGTATGGCACGGATATAGTTGACCGTAGCATGCAAGATCTTGATACAATAAACAGCCTCGGCCTCCTATAGCTCCCAGTGTTTCACACACGCAAGTAATCACACATACTCGCCAAATTATTCAACGTTGGGACATGAGAAACGTGAAACTCGGACTGACCTTCCCTCTGTTCTTATCTCTACACGTCACCTGGCTATCCCAACGCTTTTCCGGCCCAGGAGCAGGCGAAGTACCGCTGTCCTTGCCCGCTGCTGAATCGAGGTACGCCTGCCATGCTTGCTCGGGGGAGAGAGCGGTGTCAGGGTTGGCGCTGATATCGTCTACCCATCTTGCGAAGGAGAAGTGCTGGGTGGCCTCGGCGCCAACTTGGCTCAGCAGCAGGCTAACGGCCACGAAGGGGAGGAAGAGTGTGGATAGATTGGCGAAGTGGACCATGATGGTAGCGGTCAGTAGAAATGACGGCGAGCGGAGTCAACTTGGGTGAATGGTGATGTAAAACGCGGTTATAAAAGTTTCTTACTGCTATGATGTGTAAGTAGATAAGGGAGGGCTGGGTTGGTGTCCCTTCGGTATTTCAAGTATTCGAGGCCCCTGCTACCTCTACCATGACGTGGGCAGGGGACTGTCAACAAGCAACAAACCAAGCCAGACAACAGATGATGTTGGCACTTGAGGAGGGATGCTCACTCGTACCAATACCAACAATGCCCTATTGCAGACAACTGCCCGGTCTCCAACCTGGACGGTGGGGGAAGTATGAAAATTGTTGTATTATCCTTGAAAAGTCATCGCAGTATCCACTACTCCGTCGTAAAACGGGTATCATTATCGTCTATCCCTACCGCTTATCGCTTGCATCCAAATTAACGGTCAAGTCGATCCTCTCCAGCCTTAGTCCGAATCGCTCGAGTCGGAGCTGCTGCCACTCCCACTGCGCTTGCGGTGCTTGTCCTTCTTGTGATGCTTATCCTTCTTGTCCTTCTTGTCCTTCTTGTCCCCCTTCTTCTTCTTGAGCCTGTAACAATAGTTAGTCAGCATGTTGCCCTTTGTTAAAGCATGTTCACCAGAACTGGCCCAACCGCCACAGTCAAACCAACCGCAAACCGGTGCAGGGCAGGAACAAAGAAACAAGCGCAAACTTACTTATCCTCCAACAGATTCGCCGCAATCGCGCCTCCAACCGCGCTCACCACACCACCCAGGGTACCCGCCCCACCAGCATGCGCCAACATAGCGCCCATTCCACCACCAGCCAGCGTAGCGCCGAGACCGCGATCACCGTCGGGGCCTGCTGGACCTCCTGGGCCACCCTGGCCCGGGTACTGCTGATGTTGCTGTGGATATCCCTGCTGCTGTCCGTAGCCCTGCTGGCTCTGATCATGATATTGTCTCTGACCGTCGTGTCCTTGTCCGCCACCGTACTGTGGCTGGCCGTAGGGTGCTTGCCCCTGGGGAGTGTGAGGCTGGGGAGCATTGCCATAGAAAGACTGGTTCGAGTAGTCTTGCGGCTGCCCGTGGTGTTGAGGAGGGGGTTGGTAGTAGCCGCCTTGAGGAGGAGAGGAGTAGGAGTTGTGGGGGTCTTGCTGGCCGCCGTAGGGGGGGTAGCCGCCCTGGAAGGAAGAGGACAAGATGTTAGCTGTGCGGACTTGTGATGATTGCGCGAACTGTCATGAACGGCGCAGGAGAGGAAAGGAGGGACGCACCTGTTGCTGGCCCTGGTACTGGGGAGCGGGTTGGCCCTGACTGTAGCCGTAGGGGTTGTTCTGGGGAGGCTGCTGGCCGTAGCCGCCGCTTCCGCCTTGCTGGCCTTGGTTGTAGTAGTCTTGCGCGGACATGTTGTCTGTGTAGATGCAGGTGTGTCGTTGGTGAAAGGTGGAAAGAAGGATGATGTCGGAGGAACAATTGATCGTGGGGTTGGCCGCTCTTTCAGTGATCCCCGCCGCAAATGGGAGGACTCCGATGACGAATAGGGGACCACGGCCCCGCCATGGGTCGAACTGGTGGATTCCCGAGGCTGTTTCATGTGGGCGATCCACACAGCGTGTCCACAGCCCGTTTGTTGCATCATGGGGTGTGGCGCAGCTTGGCTCAGCCCTACGCTGATCCTCGAGTCCACGACACCTCAACAGGGGCAGCGATGCATTACGCGTACCGAGGCATATATCTGGAATTGGTCCTCATGGTACTTGGGGAGGTAAAGACACGGAAAGCCCAGAGTTGTAAGGGCAAGAGGTACATAGTTGCAGGCTTGCAGTTGCCTTTCAGGTTTTCCAGGGTGTAAATGACATGTGGATGGCCTGTGGGTTAGGATGTTTCCCGCTCTACTAACAGGACAAGCCGCAATTTGAGTGGGCTTTCGTTAAGTCACTGAGGTGGCACGCCTTCTTCCTGTGCCCCTGGTCACGATGGTTCTTTCCTTGCCTCTACCATTGCTGCTTATCACAGCAAGGTCTCTGGCACCTCGAGGTATTTTTTCGTGACAATTTGTGGCACGCACAACTTACCGATTTCAATGTTTCCCAAACCCGAGAGCCGAGGTTTTCCACATTCGCGGTCCTTGTCCTTCAATGGGTGTTATCATGGAATTTTACAGCATTCTCTTCGCCGTTTCGTTATCTCCTCTTGGAGAAGATAACCCATCAGATTCTCTACGTGTACTCGATGCCTTTGGGTCCGACATGAACCCCATCCCGGTCCGTCGATGGCCCAGCTGAAGTGCTCCCGTCCGATGTTCTCGTCTACTCGATGTCCGGTCATGTCGGCCTCACTCGCCGAGAGCTACATGAACTATTGCGCCCCTCGGAAACCGGCAGACCAGGCTGGGCGCCTTTTGGTCCAATGCTTGACAGCGTTACAGTCCGAACGGGAAAGCTTTACCCCGCCTTCGTCACTGATGCGATGCGCGCATTTCAAGAGAACGACAGATTCATCGCTGTCATCCGGATTTACGGACCAAACATCGCCTGGGCTCAGGTCCAAGCCTAATCCCTTAGTTCCATCACAACGTTCTTCAAACTCGCATCTACCAATATGGAGGCGTTCTTCAAATTCGCATCTACCAAGAGGGAGGAATCACCACCTTGCGAACTGTGTGGTCATCCACCGCGCTTCGACACTGCCGCCGCGACGCTCAGGAGCTCGTTAATTGCCATGGAAGCAAACGCAAGCAAATGCCTGCCTTGTTCTATACTCAGCGCGGGTGTAAGGAGATACCTCTCTCGAACATCATCCCCTCTAACAACAGATGTTGATGACATGATCGTTCTGGGCTCGCTGGGTGGTAGCAGAGGATCAGCCGTAGAGATATGGCTGGTTAGAACCACCATCAAGCTATCATTTTTCTGTTCGAAAAGTAAGTCAGCAAGTTCAAAGTAATTCTTTGACGAACTGAACTGTATAAGCTGATGTTCCTCATAGGAAGTCTGTGGATGTGGCAAAACATGCGTTTCCTTCCCCTTGGAAAAGAGGTCCCAGGGACCACTTGTTCAGACGAAAGTTTCTTATGGGCGATTCAGCAGATCAACCATTGCAGGGACACTCATCAGAACTGTAACTCGTACTCAAGCTCCGCCACTCTACCCAAGCGGGTGGTGTTCGTGGGTACTGCAGCCGAACCTACCCTCCGCTTGTACGAATCCCAAGGCGAAAGAGATCCCTACATCTGCTTGAGTTACTGCTGGGGTCAACGTGACTTCCTCCGTACTCAAGTCGATAACTTCGAGTCTCACAAAACATGCATTGAGCCCGACCATCTTCCCCCCACTCTTAACGATGCTATCAAATACACTCATCGGCTCGGAGTCCGCTATATCTGGATTGATAGCTTGTGCATCATTCAGGATTCCCTTCTTGACTGGCGAGAGGAGGCGGGAAAGATGGCGTCCATCTTTCATAATTCGTTTCTCGTCCTGTCCGCCACCGGCTCTACTGACGCCTATGGAGGCTTGTATGCCTCATTCCCATCCGACTTTACAACATTCGCCTTGAGAGTCGATACCAACAACAACGAAGTCTTTTCTTGCGAAGTAGCTGATGTCCAGATGACAAGGAATGCAACAGAGACAATTTACGTCCGCCGCGCGTTTCCTCATGCCCATAGCGGGGATTCAAACAAATACGCCAATGATCTTCCACTGCTCCCCACCCTCAGGCGTGGTTGGATTTTCCAAGAACGTTTTCTCTCCCCTCGTGTCCTGCACTTTGGTCCCCAAGAACTCTACTTCGAGTGTCTGGAGTGGTCGTCGTGCCAATGTACTATCGATGAGGCCGGCGAGATAAATCCATGGACATGGTTCGGGGATCATTTCCGATCTCATGGGTTCATCCATCAAGAAACGCCGAAAACGTACTACGACCCGTCGGTGTGGAGAACAATGGATCTTGAAGGAAAGATATACGTGTGGCATCGACTGGTTCATGACTACACGAAACTGGAGTTGACGTTCGAGAAAGACTTATTTCCTGCCATTTCTGGACTGGCCAGAGAGATGGGCATTGCACGTGCAGCATTACATGCTGATGCGGACAAGGCACAAGAGACGGGATATTATGCTGGTTTGTGGAAAGACAGCCTGGTGCGTGACTTGTGTTGGAAGGTTAACTATGACAAGACCACCCTGACCAGTGAAGCCAAAGATGATGAGAGACACAAGACATGGATGGACAGACCGCGTGAATGGCGGGCTCCAACGTGGTCTTGGGGTTCGGTCAACGGACCTGTGAAATTCCTGGGTCAGAGATATGGTATGAGGGACTTCTTCGAACCTCGGTGCGAAGTACTCCATGTTTCTTGCACCCCGGCTGGATCAGATGAGATGGGTGAGCTGATCGCAGGGAGGCTGGTACTACGCGGGCAGCTCTTGCCAGCAAGAGTAACACATTCGCGTGACAGAAACCTTCGGGTAGGCGCACTACGATTTCCATGGGAGATTCTTGACTTGGACCTCGGCGTTGAGGATGGGCGTTTCGATCAGCACGTCCTTGTCGATGACGGATGTCCGGATCTCTTGAGGCTTTTGGATGAGGTGGAAGCGGGTGGTGACCGACCTATTGTTTACTGCTTTTTCCTTGGGAGAATAAACGGTCAGAAAGATCCGCTTTTTCTCTTGCTGAAGAAGTTCAAAGGGCAATCGGAGGAAGAAATGGGCCAAGACATGTATCAGCGGTTCGGGAGGCTTCAGCTGACAGCACCTCCTCGCCGCCTGGGTGAAATATCGTGGAAGGACAGATTTGGGGTATTTGCGCAAGCAAAGGAGGAAGTTGTTACGATCATCTAGCTGATGGGCTATTGAATTCGGGGGCGCTAGGGCAGAGCTCAGAGCCGGTAGGAGAAGGGCAGCAAAGGAAATAACAAGAATAATTACATGTGGGCGGATATTACCTATTTGATGTCAAAAGGGATATCATACGGGATCGGGATATATCCACGGATAGAACAGACAGTCAAGGACAGCCAACATGCCAGGTAGCTTGTGTCGACTGTCCGAGCACTCAGCAACGAACGGCAACAACAAATTGAAAAGATCTCCAAACAAATTGCAACGATGAAGATATTCTGAAGAAAACATCGAAATAAAACACTATCGTGGCAGACCATCAAGGTACATACAACACCTCATATGCACCTCTCCACGAGGCCCACAAAGGCAACCAACTGCCGATATCACCATGTCAGCAAGACCCCAGAAAACAAAAAAAAAGAAGCAGATCAAGACCCAGGCATATGCACTCAGGCACTGTATGAAAAAAAAAACACGAAAAAAGAAACGATCCGGATGGGACTCGAACCCACAACCTCAGTCTTATCCTCCCGGAATTAGGAGGACCACACGATACCATTTCGCCACCGGACCGCTTGTTGTTATTAAATGTTGGTGCGGAAGAAGATCTTATGAATGGGGAAATTTGGAGGTGGGTGCGTGCACACAACAGAACAACATCGCAGGCATCCGCACAACAACAACCGACACCTTGCAACACAACGACGCAAAGATAGGTAATGAACACACCAATAATTATTGTTGAAGCTACCCAGAATCTTACCTGAAAGTTCCAACAAAAATTCACTAATAACGACAACGACCACAATACCCGCACTCTCGAACACGCCGTGAAATCCTGCCCTGCGTTGTCCGACTTCCAAAGTTCTCAACCACGATCATCTTCGCGGTCAACGTATCACCTCCCCGCGATCAAGCACATCGTCAATGGCAATGTATGAGAAGAAAGATGTGACGGAAAAAAAGACAGATACGAAACAGAAAAACAAAAACAAAAACAAAAAACAAAAAAAGAACAATCAGTAATCGCACCGCCCACAATTCCCACAATGAAGCGACGAGCAAGCCGTATAATCCCAGGCCTCTTCGTCCCTGTCTTCGTAATCGCGTTGCCAGCGATCTTCGTAGTCGTACTCCTCGTCGTAGCCGTAGTCGTTGTCGTAGTCGGCCACATTGTCATGCCAAGGGGTAGGAACACACACTATTCGGCGGTCGGACTTGCGGTCATTGTCGCTCTCGTCTGTGGGGCTGTCTTTTGCAGAGGTAGCATTGCCTGGGTCTTTCTCCTTGTTGGCACCCGTTTGAGCAGCGATCCATTCTTTCCTGAGTTTGTAGGAGAGTACGCCGTCGCGGCCATCGCCTTCTCTGTCTCTGGTTTTGGCTTCTTCCCAGCCTTGGTGTCGGATTTCGAGGGTGCCGATGTTGTCTGATCTGTGGACTACTTCAATTCGGACGGATGTTGGCGTCTTGGTGGCTGGTTTGTCACCTTCATAGTCTGAAGTCTTGGTCTTTCCTTTTGTGGATTTCGCTTCCTTGCCCTTTTGGACATTCTCATCATCATCATCATTCTCAGTATGCTCAGCACCTTCTTCGTCCTCTTCATCAGAGTCCTCTTCGCTTTCCACATCCAAAGGCACACCCCCCTTACCCTCATCATTTTCCACTTCCTCCCCGTTCCTTTCCATTTCTTCCTCATTCCACTGCTCTTCCAAATCCCCAACCATCCCTACCAACTTCCTCACCACCGCCGCCAACTTTGCTAGTATCTTATCATCACTTCGATCCTTCTCCCACCGCTTGACATCGGGTCGCACGTCCCGGATCTCAATGTCATTGGGGAAGAATCTGCCGCGCGTGTGGTAGGCAAGAACAAAATTGGGAATCTGCGTGACCCAGAGGCGTGGGAGTTCCTCCTCGAGGGTGTTCTTGTTCTCACGAGCCTTGATGGAGCGGGTTTTGAGGTCAAAGACTTGTGCTTGGGGGACAATGGGGGATGGGGAGCTGGAGCTGCCGCTGGTGCGGATGGTGAGTGGTGGGGGAGGTGTTGTGGATTCGGGGATGGATGGCGGAGGGGACGAAGATGGCGTGGAATCGCTCAAGCGGGTGTCTGCCGTGGTTGACTTCTTGCCCTTGTAACCGGGCTTAACGGGCTTAAATAATTCCACGATGTCCGAGACGTCATTGAAATCGATCTCTGCGACTAATGCTTCCAGCTCTTCCATGCTGGTGATGGGTTTGTCCTTAACGGCTGGGGTCGGACTGGCCTTTGGTAAATCATCCTCGCTCAAATACCCATCGGCCTCGAACCTCACCAGAAACCGCAACCCACCAAACCGGTAGGTAATCAGCCTCTGATGCGCCCAGGATCCTTTTGCATCCTCTTCCCAGGTCGTATACCTTTTTGGAAAGGTGTGGCCGTAGCCTCTGACATCAGGGATTTTCTCTCTTGGGGAATTCTCCCGGCGGATGAAGAAGATGGTGTTGCCGACTTTCTCGACCAAGAACCGGAAGGCCTTGTCCTGCCCGCGCACGAAGCGGAGCAGGTTGCCGAGTGTGCTGCCGCATGCTACAATGTCAAGATCAGGGACGAGCGAAGGCTTGGTTTGCAATAAAGTGGCGATGGCCGGTTCATAGGGATGGTAAGGATACCGAGCGGCGTTGCGGTCGCGGTAGAAGGTGCCGCTGTCTTGTTCGAGCTGAGGGGCTGTGGAGGGAGGCGTCCAGAGGGGGGTTTCCCTTTAAATGAGGTGGGTCTAAGTGTTAGTGCAAGTGGTGGTTTTGATAGCGCCGTGACGGTGGCTGCATTTGGGACAAGATGGCGGGAGGCAGAGAAAAAAAAGACTGGGAGTAAGGTACTAACCAGGAATCAAGATAGCAGGCTCAGATAAGTTGGTGCCTAGCCAGTTGAAGGAAGCAACAGCCTCACAGCCGTCGATGGTGGCCGAGTGTTGGTACTGGGTGGAAGCATCGTCGAGGTCGCTAACACGAATGGATTTGATGAGTGGTCCGAGCGGCGGTGGTGGTGTGGCCGGCGTGGAGGAAGCTCGTTTGCCGGAATTGTTGTTGTAATAATTCCCTTTGTTACCTTGGGAAGTGTACGCTTGGGCCTTTCGTTCCCAATAGGAAGACATGATGGCGTTTCGACCGGTATTGGGTCAATGAGGAAAGAGTGATGGATGAGCGCTTTGGTGATGGCAACTTGAGTTGCTGAGGAAAGAACGAAGTGAGGAAGGGGTGCTGTGTCTGTTACGCTCCCCCTTTCCTTCCACTTCTCCAAACTCTTCCCACCTTCCTCCTTTTAACAACACCAATCTTCTCCGTCGACATCAAACCTCATGACTCCCGTCCGTCTTGTGCGCGCTCCACGACATCATCTCCCGGTCTGCCTCTGTTTGATGCCTTCCTTTGACGTTCACTTGCATGTGCCATCGGCAGCCAACCGACTGCGGAAGAAGAGAAAACGCCTCGCGACGCTAGCCTGGGCCGCTGATTCGGCGACCGTCACCCACTAAAATTGGTTTGGAGGTCAATACCGGGCCGCTATCTGGGGGCCAAATACAGTGGGGTGTCTTGTCACACAGCGGTTGGACGCACCGGCTAACTTGACGCACAGGCCCCCCACGTTTTGATGGCGCCCGACCGTCTTCCCCCGCGTCTGCCTCCGCGTCTGCCTCCAGACACTGGTCAACCTCCGGACCGACTGGGCCTTTTGCAATCAGCATGGCGGCCAGATTGACGGCCATTGATGAAACTGCCTCCAAAGCTCAGCCTCTCGAGATGTTCCTGTTGGTCCCGTCGTCCTATCGTCCTCCCGCTCTACGTCCCCAGATACCTCGATCACGAATCACGACGGTGGTGCACGGCATGCATCCATGCGGGAGGCCAACCGCCAGCGCATCGGATACATCCCAATCCTCAACCAACGCCCGTTTGTAGTATACACAGCCTGATTCGATGGCCATCATATCCTCGCGGGAAAGTCTGCCCTTCCGTCGGCTGTCTTGGTCGTCATGCATCATCGTCCTGTAAGCCCCCGATACGGGGCTCGAGGCACCATGATCATGACTTCGATACCACTCGACCGTTTACAGAGGCCTGGGCCTCCTGCTTGCTCTCGCTTGGACTTGAATGTTGGGCGGATTTCCATATTCAGCAAGGCCAATTACAGTTCTCGGTGCTGGTAACGACTACGCCTTCCTGTTGAAGATATACAGAGCATCTCAAGTCCCTTAAGGCCCTCTTCAACCCTATTCATACATGTGTTTTATCCTCTCCAGCTCTAGCACTTCCCCCTTTACTCTTATTTGGATGAACAGACACTACATTTCCCGTCATTCCAAGTCTACTTGCTTCAACACGCCGCCAAAGACGTCCATCTCCCACACGTGATCCCCCTTTCGGCATCCGCACCAGCACAATATGGCCTCAAACTTACGACAAACACGGCTCAAGACCATTTTCAAGGCCATAGTCTTTGGCGAGCGCCCGGTCAACAGCTCTCATGATGCACAGCTCTTCCTTGAGGCTATACGGTGTCAAGAGCCTCCAAGCGCGTGCGTCGAGATGATCGTTTCTCATCCAGCCGGCCTAGATGCAGTCCGAAACTCTGTCCGGAGTAACCTCTCTGAATCCTTCATCCTGTCACACACCCTCCCGTTCTTGGAATTCTTGTCCGACCCCGGCATCAAATCCCTGGCTGATGGCGAATTGCTTGCCCAACTACTCGTCGTTATCGCCAACCCACCCACCCTTTGGAAAGCCCTAGTGAAACTCTTCAACGGCCATCAGCTGCCCCCGGATAGAGTCCACCCATTTGCATGGCTTGCCCTAGAGCTCCTGTCACTCCCTCAAAATGCCGGGGTCGACGTGCTGGAGGAGGTACAGGCCATCGTTGAGGACAAAAGCCTCCTAAAAGCACAAGACCATTCTGCTCGCGAGCTTGGGTATCGCATCGAAAAGGTCCTGCAACTCCGCTCCTCATCCAAGCCTTCCGTGCAGGCCAATGGTCCGGGAGGACGTCATGACAATGATTCTGATGTCTTCAGGAAGATTGCCATCTATCCTACTACCGATGAGTTCCTGTCGAATCAACAGCCCTTCTATCGCACAGCATTTGAGGTCGCCGAGAGTCCGTTGGACAGACGCCCGGCTATTCACCTGGACAACCAGTTCCGTTTGCTAAGGGAGGACATGCTGGCCGAACTACGGGAGGACCTTCAAGTTGCCATGGACGCCAAAAAGGCAAAGAAGCCTTTACTCACCATTGGCAAGCTGCAACCCGTGGCTCTGTCACTCACGGATGCAAATCCATCTGGCAAAGGGCCGCGATATAAGCCGTGCACCCTCATGGTCCGCTGTTACCACGGCTTGGAGTTCCTAAACAAAATGGAACCAGAAAAGCTTAAAAAGTTCCTCAAGGACAATCCGACTTTCCTCAAGCATCAATCATTCGGTGTTTTGACTCGAGGGAAAGAAGTCATTGCCTTTGCGTTTGTTGATCGAGACAGAAGCAATGAGCTCCTCCTTCAGTCTCCCCCCATCGTATGCCTTCAATTCGCCGACCCCAGCAACTTCAAGAGAGCATTGCTAGCGCTTAAACTGCCAAACGCCCAGGACTTTGTTCGGTTTACCTTGGTGAACACGCCCGTGTTTGCCTACGAGCCTGTCTTAGCTGGCTTGCAAGCGATCACAGAGCTTCCTTTGCAAGATCTTCTCATCAATCCATCAGGCGCTAGCTTGGCCTTCGCCGGGGTACCGAAACTGCAGACTTTTGTATCGGCACTCAAGTCAGCACGATCGGGAATGATACTGGGCAACGTTGAAGCTGTGCGCATAGAGGAATCCATTACTGTCGACCTAGCACAGCTTGACTCGATACTCCATGCTTTGACCAAGCCAATAACGCTCATTCAGGGTCCTCCAGGTAAGTTTGCCTCGATAAAAGAGCTACCGTTTGACAAAGACATGTGCTGAAGCTTTACACAGGTACGGGGAAGTCGTTTATTGGTGCACAAATTGCCAAACACCTGCATAAAGCTGGGCAACGCATTCTGGTCCTCAGCTACACAAACCATGCCCTTGACCAATTCCTAGAGGATCTACTTGACGTCGGCATCCCGCAGCAGGATGTTGTGCGCATGGGTGCCAAGGCCAAGTCCACACTCAGAACGCTTCCACTCGTTCTTTCCGAACAAAAGGGTGGTTACCGGCGTACAAGAGATGCTTGGACGATGATCGATCTCCTAAGGCAAAAAGCCGCATCTTCCGCCCAGGAGCTTCAAACGGCCTTTGGAACCTATGGGAAGGTTAACGCTGGTTGGGCTGAGGTATCCGAGTTCCTTGAATTCCTAGACGACCCACACCCCTTCTATGAAGCTCTTCTTGTTCCCACCAACAACAGTGGCTGGATGCGTACAGGGAAAAAGGGAAAGCGGGTAGGACCGGACTATCTCTTTCAGCGGTGGGTCAAAGGAGAGGACCCCGGAGTCTTTAAGACGCAGATTCCCGAGACTTCACACTCTGCTTGGCGAATGTCCCTCCCTGAGCGACAAAGCCACCTGGATAGGTGGACCAAAGAACTGATCGAAGAGCGCCTGGCGACCATTGAGGAGCTTGCGCGGCAATACAACGAGACCCAGAGCAGGATTGACGCCCAGTTTAATGACGCGGATACACATACCATGCGCCAGAAGCGAGTTATTGGCTGTACCACCACGGGCGCTGCCAAGCATACGAGTCTCATCCGGGCCGCAGCACCTGATGTGATTCTCGTCGAGGAAGCAGGCGAGATCTTGGAGAGTCACGTACTCACTGCACTTGCCCCGTCAGTGAAGCAGCTGATTCTCATTGGTGACCATAAGCAACTCAGACCCAAAATCAATAACTACGCCCTTTCCGTGGATCAGGGTGACGGCTTTGATCTGAACCGGTCATTGTTCGAACGGCTCATTATGCAGGGGGCCCCTCACACTACACTTCAGAAGCAACATCGCATGGTCCCGGAGATCTCCATGATACCGCGCGTGTTGACCTATCCGGATCTACTTGATGGCCCCAAGACAAGCGGCAGACCGCGGATCCGCGGGCTTCAAGACCACGTTGTATTCATCAATCACGGGAAGTTGGAAGACACTGACAAGGCCCTCAAGGAACGCCGCGATCCCGGAGCGAAAGAAAGCAAGAAGAATACGTTTGAAGCTCAAATGGTGCTAGAGTGCATCAAGTTCTTCGGCCAGCAAGGCTACCCTGCTGACAAACTTGTTATTCTTACGCCATATCTAGGGCAGCTCCGAGTTCTTCAAGATCTGTTACGCGAGAACCAGCACGATCCGGCGCTGAGCGAAATGGACAAATTGGAACTTTTGAGGGCTGGTCTTTTGAGTAAAGCGGCCGCCAAGGTTGACCAGAAGCCGCTTCGTGTGTCCACAATTGGTGAGTGGTTTCCGGTATTTCACTGCGGAGGAATTGAGACAGTAAAAGACATGGAACGTTCCTCTTCGCTGCCATCATATTCCATACACAAGCTTTGCAACTGCTAACAGCGGAGTAGATAATTACCAGGGTGAAGAGAACGATATCGTCATCGCTTCGCTCACACGGAGCAATAAATCAGGTGATATTGGTTTTATGTCAGCCCCAGAGCGTCTGAATGTTCTTGTGACCAGAGCAAGGAACTGCCTGGTGATGATCGGAAACATGGGCACCTTCATGAGCAGCAAGAAGGGTGGGCCGACTTGGCGACCGTTCTTTGAACTGATGGAAAGCCGCAAACATCTATACGATGGTCTTCCTGTCAGGTGTGAAAAGCACCCCGATAAGACTGCTCTTTTGAAGGAGCCCATCGATTTCTTGATGTTCTGTCCGGATGGAGGATGTACAGAGCCGTGGTAAGTGTTGCTCTTCGGATACGTTGATCGCGTCATCATGCTAACTGTATTGCTAGTGACGCATTGCTCAAATGCGGAAAGCACAAGTGCAAATCCCGTTGCCATCGTGTCGTTGATCACAGCCAAGCTCCATGCCATGAAATGATTGCGCAGACGTGCGAGAGGAATCACAAGCTCAAGGTTAGCTGTGACAGACAGAATGATAACTGCCGTGAGTGCGTCAGGGAGGACAAAGAGCAGGAGCGACGGATGAAGAGAGACCTCCAGCTGGAAGAAGATCGCTTGCTCAGGGAAGAAGCCCACCGCAGGAGCCTCCAAGAGGTGGATGACGAGATTGACCATCTACGCCGGGTCAACCAGTATCTGTCAGACCAGCAGAGCAGAGAACAGACTCTGGAACAGCGCCGCCAGGAGCTTGCAGCCCTCAAAGATGCCCAGGTACGGGTACAGGAACAAGCAAAACAACAGGCCGAGATAAGTCGCCGGGTTGCTGAGAAGGCCAAACGTCGGGCGGAGCAGGAGACCAACGCGGGACAAAACGCTGATCCGCAAGATCCGCTTGGTGACCTTCCTGATACCGCTGAGGGGGAGTGGAACTATCTCAAGAAGTTTGAACGGGCATCCAGCAAGCCAATGGATACGCTCATGTCCATGATAGGGCTGGAAGAGGTCAAGCAGAAGTTCCTCGACATCAAGTCCAAGGTTGATACGGCCGTTCGTCAGGGCATCTCACTCAGTAAGGAACGCTATAGCTGCTCCATGCTGGGAAATCCCGGCACAGGTGAGTGTTGTACTGTTTCTAAACTCAAGTTATACGCGATCTAACAATCTTCTCAAGGAAAAACTACTGTTGCGCGACTCTACGCCAAGTTCTTGTGCGAGGTGGGGGTAATTCCTGGACATTGTTTCAAGGAAACCACAGGCGCAGGGTTGGCGAATATAGGGATAAATGGCTGCAAGAAGCTGATTGAGGAGATTCTCAACGAAGGTGGAGGAGTACTCTTCATCGATGAGGCGTACCAGCTCACATCTGGTAACAACCCTGGCGGCGGGAGCGTGTTGGACTATCTCCTAGCCGAGATTGAAAACCTAAGGGGCAAAGTTGTCTTCGTGCTTGCCGGTTACAACAAGCAGATGGAGAGCTTCTATGCCCACAACCCAGGCCTTCCCAGTCGGTTCCCGGTCGAGATGAAGTTCGAGGACTATACGGATGACGAACTACTCAGAATCTTCAAACTCAAGGTCAACGAAAAGTACAAAGACGCCATGTACTGCGAGGATGGCCTCCATGGGCTTTATTGTCGCATAATTTCCAGGAGAATCGGCTATGGTCGCGGCAAAGAAGGCTTCGGAAATGCACGGACGGTCGAGAACACGTTGGACATCATCTCCACACGACAGGCAAACAGGATAAGGCGGGAACGCAAAGCCAAGAAACCGGACATTGACGATCTGTTCTTTACCAAGGAGGATCTTATAGGTCCTGAGCCGACTGAAGCTCTCCAGAAGTGCCAGGCCTGGAAGAAACTGCAGCAACTGATCGGACTTTCATCTGTCAAGGAATCAGTCAAGTCCCTGGTCGACAGCATCCAAGCGAACTACAGGAGGGAGTTGGCTGAGCAGCCGCTCATCCAATACTCGCTCAATAAGGTCTTCCTTGGAAACCCGGGAACAGGAAAAACAACGGTGGCGAAGCTGTACGGAGAAATCCTGGTGGCACTTGGGATGCTGTCGAAAGGCGAAGGTAAGGTGTCCCTCAAACTCTTTGATTTAGCCATTGCGACTAGTGCTAACATTCTATGCTCTAGTGGTTGTGAAGAACCCATCGGACTTTGTTGGTGCTGTTCTCGGCCAGTCTGAACAGCAGACGAAAGGCATTCTTGCTGCGAGTCTGGGCAAGGTCCTTGTCATCGATGAGGCCTATGGTCTCTACGGCGGGGGAGGTACTCCAGGATCAACTTCGGACCCTTACAAGACGGCCGTCATAGACACAATTGTGGCGGAAGTCCAGAGCGTACCTGGCGACGACCGATGCGTTCTACTCCTCGGATACAAGGACCAAATGGAGACTATGTTCCATAACGTCAACCCAGGACTCGCCCGCCGATTTCCTATTGCTTCAGGGTTCAACTTTGAAGACTTCTCTGATGATGAGCTCCAGAAGATCTTTGATCTCAAGATAAATCAACAGGGGTATCAGGCTACTGCCGGAGCGGCCGTCGTCGCAATGGAAATGCTGAAGCGGGCTCGCAACCGGCCAAACTTTGGCAATGCTGGTGAGGTTGATATCCTGCTCAATGATGCAAAGGCCCGTCATCAGCAGCGTCTTGCCAAAGGAAAGGCGCAGTCCGAAACGCTCTTCGAGCCACAGGACTTTGATGGAGATTTTGACAGGGCCACAAAATCTGGCACCAACGTCCGGAAACTCTTTGAGGGTTCAGTTGGCTCTGAAGAGGTCATTGCTCTGCTGGAGGGCTACCAGGAAACCGTGCGGACGTTTAAGTCCATTGGCATGGATCCGAAGGAGAACATTCCGTTCAACTTCCTCTTCAGAGGGCCTCCGGCTACCGGCAAGACCACTACAGCCAAAAAGATGGGCCAGGTGTTCTATGATATGGGCTTTTTGTCTACTGCGGAGGTGGAGGAATGTTCCGCAAGCGAGATGATTGGCAAGTATGTCGGGCATACCGGGCCTCTGGTCAGAGCTCAACTGGACAAGGCGCTGGGCAGGGTCCTCTTCATCGATGAGGCGTACAGACTGGCTGACGGACATTTCGCCAAGGAGGCCATTGATGAACTGGTGGATTCGTGCACAAAGGAGCGATACAACAAGAAGTTGATCATTATTCTTGCCGGCTACGAGGCGGATATCAACCGTCTGATGTCGGTCAACAGCGGTCTAACGTCTCGTTTCCCAGAGGTGATCAACTTCCGAGCCCTGTCGCCAGAAGAGTGCGTCGAGCTGCTGCGCAAAAGGCTTGAGGAAAACCACAACACTCTCAAGGAAAAGAGTATAGAGCTGGACATCCTCGGTCTCAGAACACCCAGCTCCGGCTTCAAAAAACTACTGGTGTCCTACTTCAAGCAGCTCTCCGCCCAAGACAACTGGGCTAGCGCACGGGACGTCCAAAGTCTGGCCAAGAACATGTTCAACCAGGTCATGCGAGATCAAGAGGGCCTGAGCAAGGGACGCATTGTTCTCACTGAAGATATCATCAGGCAAGAACTTGAAGCGATGGTTCTTGAACGTGCCTCGCGGGGCAAAGCTGCAGCGGAGGCAGCCACGCCAAACGGTTTCCCAAGCGGGATGCCGCAATTCTTCCAAGCGCCGCCGCAACAGCAACAGGCCTCGTTCAACACTTCCACGGCGAAAGTTACTTCCTTCGCACAAGAACAAGCCCGTGTTGTCGAGGAGGTCTTCTCAGAGGAAGAAGAAGAAGAAGATGATGATGATGAGTCAGCACCTCCACCGGTTGAGCTCAAGGAACAGGCCGTCGATACGTCAGACTCAAGGTATGCAGCAAAGCGAGACGCGGGAGTGAGTGACACTGTCTGGGAACAGCTCCAAAGGGATCGTCAGTCAGAGCAAGAGAAGGAGGAGGAGTACAGGAAACTGAAAGAGGCAGCGAAGAAGGCTAAGGATGCGGCCAGGGATAAGATTGTCAAGAAGCTGCTGGAGGAAGAGAGGAAGAGGAAGGTGGTGGAGGAGATGAAGAAGAAGCTGCAGATGATGGGGATTTGCCCGGCTGGGTTTGCTTGGATTAGGCAGGATAGAGGGTATCGGTGTGCGGGCGGTGCGCATTTTGTGGGGGATGAGGCGTTCGGGAAGCTGTGAAGGGAGGGCCGCCTGGAGCGGGTTGGACACTCGATTGGTTGACGACCTTCCAGAGAGTTTTTGTGCTATTTTCATTGAATGGGCGGAGTGTTGATCTGCTCTTCACAAGAATTTATGCTTTTTTCTCTTCATCCTGCCTCAATTCTTGTCACAAGGTGGTCCGAGATTGTTGTGCGAACATGGCGTTTTCGTACCTCTAAAGACGGGACAAAGATGCCGGCTATGGTCCAGCGGCTGCACAGCGACTTACAGTGGGAGAGCCGCTGTAACGTGCTGTGGCCCCACATCCACCGAAGATGGGTGGCTTGGGAAGGGCAGAGGGGCCAGGGCCGCGGGAGGCTGGCTGGACACTCGATTGCTTGACGACATTTCAGGTTGTTTTTGATGCTATCATTGTTCGATGGAAGGATAAACGCTCTGTAATCACATGTTTCTACACGCATTTATCTCATTCTGCATATTTTCCTCTTGCAAATTGGTCCAAGAATTTTGTGCCAACATGGCGTTCTCGCGAAAACGGGACACCGGAAGATGACGGCGATGGTCCAGCGGCTGTACAGCGACTTACAGTGGGAAAGCCGCTGTAACGTGCTGTGGCCCCCACTTTCATGGTGATATTCTGCATCGCATGTAAGTGTTAGTGCTGCTGCCTGTACAGTATGAGTATAGAATTCATTTGCTAACAGAACATGTGGTGATATTCCAATCCATCATCAACTGGCAGTCTCACGTCCAACCAACGACGCTGGTCCCCCCAGCCCGCTAGAAGACAGCAAGGGAATCTGCAACACATCATCATAGGCTCCCATCTCGTTCAACCTTTCCGTGTTCGCAAAGTGAGCTCCGGGTATAAAATGTCCGACCTTATTTGAGGCCTTGGTTGCTACCAATTCAAACACCGTTGTTGATCCCGTTCAGAGTCGTCTGACGATATCCCTCTACCGTCCCGTCCGGCTTACCGAGCCAACCTACAGGTAGAAACCGAAGGGTCGCGTTCAACGATTGACTTAGAATGAAAAGTGCGTGTAGCCAAGATAGCCCCCGGTCTTAGTACCCGTCAGGTCCTTCAACCTATAACCCCCCACCGTCCCATCAGGCGTGGTGCATGTGTCCATAATGACCCCGTACATCTGGGCAATGGCCTGGCTGTATTTGGTGAACACTCGGTCAGTAAAGCATCTTAGGCAGATGAACGATACGGGACTCCCTTCGCGGTGGGATAAACGGGCATTATAACATACCAAGTAGGATACGTGCTAACATCATTATTGTCCGGCCAAAACAACGCGCCATGCCAATTGCACCAGACCCTTTGGGGCCAGGGCCCATTGGTTATCAGCCGACCGGGGCACGCCACTTGGCCCGCGCCGGCATGGTAGTTGATGCAAAAGACGGCGTCGGCGACCTACAACATGTTAGTATTTATAAAGATACTTGCGTAGTGGATAGGAGTTTCGAACTGACCTTAACTCTGTCTCTACCATCATTTGCATCACAAATTACTTGGGCATCCCAACCGCGCTTCTCGGCACCAGAAGTAGCCGGCAAAGTAGCATTTGCGGTATCAAGATACGCCTGCACGGCTTCCTGAGGAGACAGAGCGGTGGACGGGTCAGCGATGATGGAGTCTACCCATTCGGAGAACCAGAAGCGGGTGGTGACTTCGGCCACTTCGGCAACGGCAGGTTCTGCGGTGACCTGGGAGGTGAGGACTCCCAAAGCCACAAGGGGGAGGGTGGAGAGGCGGGGGAAGTTAACTATCTTGGAAAGAGCGAGAGAAACTTGAAGAAGTAGTTTGGGCGTGGTGCTGTCCGTATGTGGAAGAGGGAACTGACTCTGGCGATGGATTGATTGACTTGTGGTGGGAGTGTTCAGCTTTGAAGCGACTGTGCCTCCCATCTTTATATCTCTTCCATATTCACACTTCCGTCCTTTTCTTGACGCCCAGCTCATGACTTCTACTCGGCCAACATGTCTCCGACGAGCTCGAACCAACCTGTTCCAGTGGCAAAAACATTCCCCCACGCCATCTTCACCGCGCCCTTGACGCCTCCGAGTCCTACCTCTAGGCCCGGTCTACGCCTGATCCAAGACAAACAATGCCGTTGTCTACCATCAGTCCATCAATCCCCACACATGAGGTGATGATGTTACATCTGTGGTTGATAACTGTGCTGGCCGCCAACTGCAATAACCACAAACTCATCGGGTCGGCCCTACAATCCGTCTGTTGGTTGGTGTTGGACGTGACAGAAATTGCTTTTCCTGATATTGTTTGCAGAAACTCCATGAGGTCGTTAAAGTCTTGATCGTTTCGGACCAATGAAGCGATGGGAGTACCCATGCCCCCTGTTTACTTCCCCTAAACTTCTTCAATCCTAACGAACATGCACCCCAGATCAACGTAGTATCGTGGGATTTAAGGCAATCTCGTTAGGAGGCCGTTACTCCCTACCCAACGCACATAAGACAGTGGTTCTAGTAGTCCGCACTTTGCCATAGTCAAGTTTCGAGATGGCGAACTTGGAACGTTCTTTAATCAGCTGGCAATACTTGAGGAGATGGTAAGGGAAAATCGAATCAGGAACGAACATCGAGTCACTTTCGTTTTTCCAAATCTCCAAGGCCTTGCCAACTGAACCAACATGTTTCAATACTTCCAATCCGTCGTCTACCTAACAAGTTCGACCCCAGACTCGCAAGTAGGACCGGATCAGGAGCCGATACAAACTACCAACCTCCATACAGTCCCTTTCAACGACTGTATAAGAGATCATGAACCCTTCATGAGTCCAAGCTATTACCACCCGATCAAGTGTTTACTGACAGCCCCGTTCCCAGACCTCTGTTCAGTCTCACTCAAACCTACCTACCTACCGATACACCTTTACATCCTGTCTCCAGCAAATACAATCATCAACATGGTCAACTTCGCCACTCTTTCCCTCCTTGCCCTCGGCCTCGTCAGCTCACAAGCCCTCGCCGCTCCCGCCACCGTGACTGCTACCAGGTCCAAATCCGCAGTCGCAGAACGCTTGTCCTTCACTGAATGGGTGGACACCATCATCGCCAACCCCGACACCGCCTTGTCCCCTCAGGAGGCATGGCAAGCCTACCTTGATTCGGTCAACAGCACCACAACCAATGCCCCTTCTTTGGGAGCAGTTGAACCTGTGCACGAGAAGCGGAGGGATTCCCAGGTAGACTGCACGAATTGGGGCGGCAGTAACCAGGCAAAGGTCCGTTTCTCTCGAGAGAAAGTCAAGATGACTCGAATAGGTATACAAGGGAAACATGAAGGAAACTGACTCCTAGTACCACTAAACCAGGCCGTCGACGCTGTCGTTTGCATCAACTACATGGCCGCAGCCGGCCAAGTCCCCTGCATAGCTCATAAGAAAACTAGCACTAACGGGAGTGGCATTTCAACCTTGGTTTATTGCTTGTTTGGGTCTGCGATGTTGGGGCCCTATGGTTATGGGTATACGGATCCGACAAAGTGGGGGACTTGGTAAGTCTTATCCTGGGAACTACTCTTTAAGATAAAAGTAATCGCTGACCACAAGCTCCGAATATAGCCAGAGCATTGCCCAAACTGCGGGCGCCATTATGGACACTTGTACTCAACCGAACGGGATGGTGACGGGTGCTAGGGGTTATGACCTGACGGGTACTAAAGCCGGTGTATCAATCTCCCGCTACTCGGGAGATCTTGCCTAAGGAGTAGGTAGCTAAAGGAGAAGATACATAGAGGTAGGTACCTCTTACCTCGTCTATATATTTCCGCTTCTTCCTCACTCTACCTGCTTTCGAACGTTCTTTCCCAGCCATGTCTTGTTCTCGCCCGCGAAAGTCTTTGTAGTCACCTCAGCGGTCAACCTCTCCCTCCGCTATCTTATGGTTTTCACCCATCTCAACCACCATTTCAAGCCGACCCATAAACAAATCCCACACATTCCATCAATTGTGCCGCCATGTTTCACAAACTTTCCAACTGCCACTCGGTTTGTTTCCGAGTTCCGTCTGGACATGACAGGAAAGGCAAACACGGCCTAACAGCGGTTGGCTTCCAACAGTCAAACAACCACTAACCCCATTATTTTATCCTCGTCGGTGCTGCAGTGATAGGTATATTAGATCTCAAGCTTCCGCTACCTATTCCTTCCTCTCTTCAACTTCTCCGCCTCATGCCTGACACTCTACAAGCACCACCAGCATTGTCGAACACACGGTACCCAAGATGGTCAACTTCGCCCTTTTCCTGACGGTAGCCTTTGGCCTTTTTATCTCTCAGGGGGCCATCGCGGCCCCTACTACCGCCGCCGAAGCCACTGGCGATACTCGGTTCTCTTTCTCCGCTTGGGTGGACTCCATCATCGCAAACCCTGAGACCGCTCTTTCTCCGGAGGAGGCAGTGCAAGCCTTTTTGGATTCGATGGACTCCGGCAGTGCACCCGCTACTCTTGATAAACGCGTGGACTTCAACTATACGGTGGAGTGCCTAACTGACTGGACACCCGATGTTTCAGCGCAGGTGAGTTCTTTTTTTTTTCTTCCATACTTATCCCCTGATAAACTGCACAAAAGTTAACTCTCCAACCCCGGATGGGGTTTTACCTCCCTAGGCAATTGACATAGCAACTATCATCTACAAATTTGCCTCCATGGGCCAGGTACCCTGCCCAGCCCCCGAAAAGACCACTCACGCCAGCGGCCTTATTGGCGGCTCTAATCTTACAACGTTGGTTTACGATGCGTTCCGGACTGCGTGGTTGATGCCGCAGGGCCGTGGCTATGCATCTGAGGATGCAAATAAGCGCGGAACATGGTATGTCGGCTACCTTACTTGCCTAGACGTATTACCTTTGACTCGTATCGCTGACAACGAGGTGTGCAACTATATAGTCAGAACATTGCCCAAACCGCTGCTGTGGTCATGGACAGGTGCACTCAACTGAACGGGACGGTGACGGGTCTTATGGATGACGACGTGACGGGAACCAAAGTTGGTGTGATGATCGCTAAGAATCCGGGTGACTTTGCCTGGCCCTGAGGGAGAATATAGGAGGGAACGAAGGTGACGCTGGGCTAAAACATGGAGAGGCAGGGAAGTGTTCCTGGTCGTAATAGGGGAGTCGGACTGCTGCACTCTGGTCCAGTCAATATAGGTAGAATCTTCACCGCAAGATAATATTATAGTACAGTAAATCATTCGAGTAAAGTTGCATATAATAACGCCCTATCATGTTCTCGTTTCGTTCTGTTCGTTTCGCTTTCTCTCTAAACAGCCTCCTTCTCTGACCTGCTGCCATCGTGCTCAAAGATGTCCACCACCTCGTCGGTACGGTCACCAAGACCGAGAACGCGCCTGGACTCCTCGATGGACATGTTGTGCGGCATGCTCTTCTCCTGCTTGACGGGGTTTCCGCCCGCCGCGAAGATGACGTCGAGCTCCTCAAGCGAGCGTTTCTTGGTCTCGACGCAGAAGAAGTAGATGACAGGGACGAAGAGGAAGTTAAAGACGGCGAAGATGATGTACTATCAAAATTGTGAGTTAGCGGTCGATGGGACGGCCGTCGTCGCCACAGGCAGGCGAGAGAGAGAGTGACTTACGGTCTTCCAGCCAATGTTTGCCAAAGCAGGGGGGATGATCATGACGACCACGAAGCAACATATCCAGTTACCGGCGCTAGCGATGGCATTGGCCTGCGAACGGCAGCGCAGAGGCGCAATTTCGGCACTGTAGAGGTACGGCCCACCGACCCAGGCGAGACCGAAGAAGGTGTTGAAGAGAAAGAGGAAGCCCGCGGCAACAAGCTGGCATGTCCGGTCGGCGGTGCTGGTCAGGCCGGCAATGATGGCGAAGCAGACAGCCATGCCGCCCGCCGTGATCATGAAGGACCTACGGCGGCCGAGACCCTCAATAAGGAGAACGGAGAGAAGCGAGCACAGCGCGTATTCGAGACCGCCCATGGCAGCGATGAGGTGCGACATGCTCGGAGAGAGGTTAAAGGACTCCTGGAGGATCTTGTTGGCGTAGGTAGAGACCATGTTGATGCCGGACAATTGCTGGGCGGCTTGAAAGAAGGTGCCAATGGCGATGCGATATAGAGTCTTGGTCGGGCCGTTATCGAAAAGCTCCTTGTAGGAGAAGGTGGCCATTTGGGATTGCGCTTCGTAGGAAGCGATGATGGCGTCGCGCTCGGCGAGGAGGACTGGGTCGTCAGGAGCGAGGCCACGAAGCTTGGCAAGGTTGTGGGTGGCCTCGTCGAACATGCCGTGCTTGATGAGCCATCTGGGGGACTCGGGGAGGAAGTTGATGAAGACAAATACGATGAAGGCCGGAATGAGCTGAATGCCGACCGGCACACGCCATTGCGCCTGTCCCTTGACAAAGAAGAAGCCGTATCCGATCAACTGCCCACAAGCAACCCCGAAAGTTTGGAGGCCGCCCTCGATCATCACTTAGTTTTTGTCAGCTTCAATATCTGGAGGTCCGTTGGCTTCACTCACCCCATCGTCCTCTACTATGAGGCTTCGCACACTCGGCTTGCCACGACGGCACGGTGGCAACCTGTAGACCGAGACCGATACCGCTGATGACACGCCCAGTGGCTAGCTGACCGACGTGCCAGGCAGAGCATTGAAGAATACCGCCGACCAGCATGAAAAGCATGCCGAACCAGACAGTTGCACGTCTCCCCAGGCGGTCACCAAGGTCGAGACATGCCAGCGCTCCGACCAGGGCGCCCAGTTCAAAAGCAGCAATGACAATGCCCTGGACATTCGGGTCTTCCATGGTGGGAAAGACAGAGGTGAATGGGCTCTCGGTGATAACACCGCCCTAACAGGTTGTTAGCTGCGGCTGCTTAGGGTTAAAGATGATACTCACCATTACTGACATATCGTACCCGAACAACCAGAAGGCCATGGAAGCAATGCCGGCGACTGCGAAGTTGAGCGGAAGCCCGCTCAACCCCATGGTTGTCGTGTACGGGCTCAACTTAAACATGACGGGATTTGTCCAGGGGCAGGATAGTAGGACGAGATTGGAAACGTCAGTTTACGGTGAGAATGCGAATGCTTTTATAGACGCTTTCACTGCGTACCGAAACCGACATGACGTCTGAGATCTGGGGAATGCCCTTGGCACATCCAGAAGGGCAGAGGCTAGACAAGCTCCAGGCCTTGGAGAGCAATCATCCAGTGGGCGGTCCAGCATAGCCGAGAGGGCAGCCATCCCCGAGAGGGCAGCCATCCCCGAGAGGGAACGGCATTGGTGCGACGTCCGGAGTGGTGATGAGGGCGCGTATCAGTCTTCAATAGTGAGTAACTTTGCTACTTGGTTGGCGATATGGCAAGGTTGATGGGCGCGGTTAGGAGCCAGTGATTGGTTGGGCGCCCCAAAAAGTGGGTTTAGTCTATCCAGCTAGTGTTTGCGGGGATAGCGCGGCAGCCCTGAAGATCTAGGTCCGATGAATGGGGTATTTTGCGGGGTATTTTGCGGGGTGTTACGCGGGGTGGACCCGGTTCCACTTATCTGGCACGGCGGAAACAGATGGCCAGAACTCTCCCCCCATGTTTTTACTAGCGCCGCGTTCGGGTGCAGAGTCGGTAAACGGTAAACGAGCTCCCACACATGTGCGCCCGAAACAGCAGTCAACTACGAGCATGCCACCGCCAAGATCGGCAGTCGACTACGAGCTATCGTGACCAAGGCCGGCGTGGGGCCCCGCGTTCATCACCAGGGGCAGGTTCCGAAACCGGATTCATTGCGTCCAGCTAAGGACCAGTCTAGATCGAATTAGTACTTCCCGCCATGACGTGCCGGGAAGGCAGCCACCTCCGGAGCCTACCTTATGAACTTTGTGCCGCTGGTTGCCTTATTTATTCATGTGCCGTCTCTTGCTCTCTCCTTGTCCAGCAGCTCTCATCTCTAGCCCTCCAAAGCCACCGCTCCAAAGAATCAACAATGCCTTCTGCACCGAACCTTTCGTGGGGCGCTCCTCTGTAAGCTTGACCTCTGAGAACGTCTGGAAACCGTTGCTAACACCGTCCAGCTCTCTCAAGGTTATCGGCCACAATGCCGGAACCTCCATGGACGGAGTCGACCTTGTCCACGTCCACTTTACCCAGGACTCGCCTACCTCCCCCTTGAACATGCAGCTTCTCCGCTACGGGGAGTACCCAATGCCGCAGAAGGTCAAGAGGCGGGTCATGAAGCTCATCAAGGAAAACAAGACGACCCCCGAGGAAATGGCCATTGTCAACATCCAGCTCGGTCAGGTCATTGCCGACGCGGTGAACTCTTTTGCCAGGGACCAAGGCTTCGACCTGGCAAAGGAAGTCGACCTGATCGGTGGCCAGGGCCAGACCATCTGGCATCTGCCTCTTCCCGAGCTCTTCGAGGGTGACCAGATGCGTGCCCACCTGGACATGGCTGAGATTGCCATCATTGCTGCAAATACCGGCGTCACTTCCTTGGGCAACTTCCGCGTCTCCGACATGGCCCTCGGCCGCCAGGGTTGTCCTCTCTTCGCCGCTCTCGACTCGCTTCTGTTGAACCACCCTACTCTCAACCGTGCCGTCCAGAACATCGGCGGCATTGCCAACTTCTCCATCCTGCCCAAGGGCAATGTGCAGGGTTGCTATGACTTTGACACTGGTCCAGGAAACGTCTTCATTGATGCCGCTGTCCGTTACTTCACCGACGGCCAGCAGGAGTACGACAAGGACGGTGCCATGGGCGCCAAGGGTAATGTCGACCAAGAGATTGTTGACGAGATCCTCGCGGGACCTTACTTCGTCCACGATATTCCCAAGACCACTGGTCGAGAGACCTTTGGTGACCGTATGGCGGAGGACATCTGCGACAGGATGTTGGCTAGTGGCGCCACTCCCGAGGACTGCGTTGCAACAATCACCCGTATCACCGCTCAATCTCTTGCCGACGCTTACGAGCGCTGGGGCCCCGAAGGCGGTGTTGACGAGATCTACATGGGCGGCGGTGGCTCCTACAACCCCAACATTGTCAACTATCTCAAGCAGCGCCTGCCCAAGACTCGCATCACATATATCGACGAGACCGGTATCCCCGTCGGCGCCAAGGAGGCTCTGGGGTTCGCGCTTCTCACCCACGAGTGCTTCGTTGGCAGGCCAATGATCGTCCCCACCAACACCGAGTCGGACAACCCTGGTGTCGTTGGCCAGATTCAGCCTGGGAAGAACATGCACCGCATCAGACAAGCCGTTGCTCAGGTAAGCCTTTCAAGAGAAAATCATACGTCGCCGCCGATTGTCGCTAACCCCTTGCCAGTTCTGGGGTGACTTCCCAGAGGAGGACATTCGATGTACCACCAAGATGAACCTCTTGCCTAGCCTCTGCAAGTGAACAGCTTAGGGTTAAAAGATACCATGCATTGCAAGGTGTACGGCGCTTGGCATTGATTGGATGTGTGATAGATAGGGCATCTCTTTAAAGGAATGAAAGCTGTTTGGACAAGTGCGCACGCAGATTCTGTGGGCGTCCCCTGTAGCGCCAAGGCTTTCCGACCCGGGCTAGAGCCTGGACTTGGTCCGGCAATAACGTTAGCGTGGGCGGAGAAGCGGAGGAGAAGACGACATGGCTCGGCATATGTTGCACGTCGAGTCGTCGACTTGCTTTCCAAGACACCATCTCTCCTCACCGTAGCCATGCAATGAACACCGCCCAACTGGCCTTCTCCAAGCAGGTCCGGGGACCTAGCTCAAGAAGCAAGCTTGGTACGCCATCGTTCATGCCCACACGTAGACGTTGTTAACACGCAAGCAGCTTGCAAACAATGTCGCGACCGCCACGTTAAATGCGACCAGCAGCAGCCATGTGGCATTTGTCGACGACGCAAAGTACAGTGCTCCCACGGTGACGATATCCTCTTCACAGCCTTGGAATGGAAACCCGATACGGAGCCGAGCCCGAGCTCGACGGCATGGGAACAGAGGCCCAGTCCCGCTCGCATCGGTAAGGCCGCGCCATTATACTTTGTTCTTCACTCTGACTCTTGACTGGGAATAGTGGGCTTCGTCGATGAGACATTCCAAGTGTCCCAGCTCTACCATGTCCTGCCTTGCAATGCCACCGATGGCGATCTGGGCGTCTCCAAGACAAATCCAAAGGGACACGTCTTCTCGCTGGCTTCCACACACACGGGAGCCGCTCCGATCACCGATGAAAAGGATGCATTCTATTTGGCAAGGTACACTGACATCATCGGGCCTAGATTCGATATGTTTGACAGCACATCTCGATACTTCTCTCTCGCCCTTCCACACATAGCTCTCAGCAACCGCCTCGTGCTTCTCTCTTGCCTCGCATCTGCCGCCAGACAGTATTCGCTCGTCACAGACCGCGGTCATCACGATGCTCTGGTGTACTACAACGAAGCTCTCAAGACATTATATGAGCGCCTAAACGATAGTGGGCACGAGGCAGCGACCTTTGCCAGTTGTTTGCTCATTGCCCACTGCGAGATGGTTGAAAGTAAAGCGAGCGACTGGAACTTGCACCTAAAGGGGACGGGGGAGCTGGTCATGATGCACCACTGGAACGGCCGAAGCGGAGGACTGGCACAGGCGGTACGTGTCTCCCCGACGTTACAACCCTAACCCAACTTCATGCTGACTGTTGCCCCCCGAAAGAGCTTCTGGATTTACTACCGCATGATCATCCTTGCTTCCCTCGCATCCGGTATGTCGGCGGCAGTGAACTTGGGACAGTTGCTACCCTTGGGATACTTTCCTGGTCCCCCTGGGGAATGGACCCTCGATGCCTGGCAAAGCAAAGTCGTCTATCTCCTAGGGTCCACCCACAGGTTTTGGGCCCGAACACGCAATCATCAAGACGACGCGGATGCGCTAGACAAGCTTACAGCCGAGTGGAATAGCCTCGGCGATCAACTGTTGCGGCATCAAGACCAAGCACCGGCCATGTGCCAGGCGTTGAGCACCATCCCAGCAAATGAAGATAGCCCATTCGAAACCGTTCGCTATGTCAATGGTCCGGTGTCGGCCGCCTGGCAGATGTTGCATACTGCATATCTGGTCCTCACCCTCTCTCAGCCTTGTCCTCGAGCCGCCCGGCTGACGCTCCTCTCTTCGCCCGAGGTGGCGCACAAGGCCTTGTCATATGCCAGGAAGATCGTGTCCAACTCGATAGCGAATCGCTGCACGATCGCATGGGCCAACGCTGTTCAACTGCTGACGATGGCGGGGCAGTGTCTTGTAGAAGCGAAGGAGCGGCAAGCATGCTTAAGGGCGCTCGACGATATCCAGCATCACACGGGGTGGAACACTCGGGTGAACATGGAGACACTATCTGCCACATGGAGACGGGGGACAATAGATGGCGGAGTCACACGTTCTAGGGGGGCTGACACGGTGCATGGACATGATGGCGATTTGGGAAGGTTATTATATATCACATGGATGGCCGACGAGGCTGTCGTCTCCTAGGCGCTCGACACCGTGGTCCCCCATCATTAGAGGTACACTCTGTCCATCAAGATTACGATATCCGATCTCAACTGTGAAACGCACCATGCACAGGAGAACTCAGCGCTGCAGACGACCGCCCCAGATATACACAGAATCATGAGAAGCCTCATGCGAAGACCCCCTAACTTCTGTTTAGCAAAGTCAGCTGGCTGGTACCGCGGGAAGGATGCTCCACAAGTGATCCTTGGTCCCATTGTCCTCGAACTGCACGATATTGGCGCTATTGGCGGTCGACATGCCGTCAACGCCGGCCAGGAGACCGCTGTTCTTATTCTTTAGAGAAAACCTCAGCACACTCCGAGACAAACCTACGCGCACTCTAGGCTTCAACAAATATTTTATATTATTCTAGCTACAACGTTCAAAGTGCCATAAGACTTGGCATATATAAGGGAATAGGGTACAACTACCCGTTGGGGAGTGGAGTCATTTCTGTCTGTTCCCCAACTCTACTAGGCAAAGTTGGTCACAAAACCACCGGACATCACAAAACCCGACCGGACAGCAAAAATGCAGGCCAAACAGGGCAAAACCCAACCTTCCAACTTTGCAATATTATAAATCTACTAATCCTTGACCAAAAAAATTAATCTAACCTTCTTTCTCTTCCTCTTCTCTTCCTCAATCCACCAAACCTATTTATACGTATCCTACTCCAAAACCTAGCCTACTATAAGTTATAGAACTAAATACTCTATTTTGGAGTTATAGCGTTTCTTACCAACTTTATAACGCTATAACCCTATTAAATCGGGCCCGATCGTTAAAATTATACTTTTATTTAATATATTTTTATTTAGCTAATTTACTATACTCTATTATAATACCCTACTTTAATAATTCCGACATTAGGGAGGATTTAAATAAGGATAATTTAAGTAGTTCTTAATTAGATTCTAATATCTTCTAGCCTATATTGAACTTCCTTTGCCCTAATTCTTCTTTTAATACTATTATTAACGTTATTATTAACGCTATTACTAATATTAATACCGATACTGATATTTATACCGACGAACTTTTAATTAAATAGGCTATTTAGTAGTTTAAGCGCTAATAATATCGTTACTAAGAATAATAATGTAAAAAGAATTAATAAATTGAATAAATAATATAAGTCCCAATTTTTAATTAAAGAATTATACGAAGTTAAGTTATTTTATAAAACTAAATTATATAGAGCTAAACTATATAGAGCTAAACTATATAGAATTAAACTAATAATAATATTAATAATAATAATAACAACAATAGAGATTTATTATTAAAAATGCTAATTATTCGAAATACCGCTTCCAAATTCAGCGTATTTAAAACTTAAGTTAGTTATTATAGTTAATAAGTATAATATAAGAATTGGTATCCTCGGTATTTAATTAGGCCTAGTGTAGGAAAGTTTGAGGGCCGCTCTATAATTTTTATAGAAGTAGAGAATTAAGTATTAGAAGAATATACTTATTAGCTTATTAATTTACGTAATTTAATAGTTAAAGACTTACTTACTACTATAATTAATAATATACGAGCTAGTAGGAAGCTTCCTACTTTAAAAATTAGTCGAAATTTCTATAAGAGATAAAAAATGAATTATTTTTAGTTTAAACTAATTAAATTTAAACTAATGGAGTTGGATAGGCTTTCTATAGAGTAATAAATCGAGTACGTCCGGTAATTTTTTAAATTATTGAAAAAGATTTTAAAAAGTATTATATTAATTCTTTTACTTTTTAGAACGCTAATAAAATAGGCTACCGGATAGCTATATTTAACGGTAATTATGAAATTTTATTTATTAAAGCGCTAAAAAAGAGGAGGGTAGGTAAATTCTATATCCTTTTATTATAATATATATATTATTTATTTTATTTTATAGCCTAAAATTACGGACCCTATTAATTACGAATTAATAATTTTAATAGGCGCTAGAAATATTGCTGGCGAATTAATTCTAATTTATCATATTTTTAAGATTAATCTAATAGTTAATTGGGTTTTTTTTAAAATTCTTTATTTAGAGATGAAATTTAACGTTTTTAAAATAGCGTTTAATAACGCTAATATTATATTAGATTGGATAAAGCATTTTAACGAGTAATTTTGGAAATACTATATTAAAATTAAACGCTATAAGTTAGATTTTAATGATTAGTTTAATTTTAATTCTAACGGAGAACGGGTTATAAACTTTAATAAAGATACTTTCTATATAAAATCAAACGGTAAAGAAAATTACTTTCTTTTATTCAATTTATTTTCTAGTTATTATAATATTAAATTCTTTTAATATTACCTCTAATTCGATATTATTATTATTTTTCTCCTCCTTTATTGTTCTTATTTCTTACAACTTATAAATGTAAGCGTTTTTTAATATTATTGTTAACGTGTGGCTAGTACTGTGCCTTGTAACTGCCTTGTACTACCTTGTAGTATAGAAGGCTAGTTGAACTATTCCTTCTACGGAATCAGTTGACTCAGTCCCCACAGAATGTACTAGAATACAAGAGGTTTTGCCACTGTATTCTAGAGTCTTATAACTTAGCTAGCATTTCTTCCAGACTGATTTGTCATCACAGGATTCAACAGAAGCTTCTAGATGCTTAGTGTCCATGTATATAGAGACCTCTCCTCTCCTTCAGTTCGTCACTCCTTAAGCAAGCAAGCAAGCACAAGTCAAGCAATACAATATAGTCTTTTCTCACAGTGCAGAGTCCACTGTAATCTTCTGTCTTGAGAGCAGAGTCCTCTCTAAGACCTCTTTTACAACATCCTTTTATTGTACTTGCAACTACGCTGCTTCCTTCAGCATTGCTGTCGTACTTCCTACCGCTTCCGCTCCGCTCTGCTACAAGTGCATAGTTCACTGTAGCAACCTTGTACTGGTGCTATCATTATAGGCCAGTCAGGGCACCGCAGGAAACAATTATAAATATATATATTAAAAGATATTATGGGACTATATTTAAGTAGGAAACCTTTAATTCGATTATAACGATTTTATATAAATGTTTAGTATAAATTTATTTCTTTATTTTATCTTTTATTTATATATTAATTCTATTCGCCTTTTTAGCGTATATTTAATATTGTATTTATTAGAGCTTATATTTTAAATAGCTTTCGAAATACTAGGTTACTACTTATTAATCTAGAAATAATTGTTAATGAATTTTAACGAAATATAGTAAAGGAATTTATTTTTTAATGGCTTAAAATACATTTTAATCTAGAATGATAGATTGAAGCCTACGAGATTATTTAATTATTAAAGAAAATTATCCCCTAGATCGATAGAGCTCTTTAGAAGTTTAATTAATAAATTAACGACCTAACGAAAAAGTTTATTAATATAGAAATTTATTTTACCAAAGGTACTATATATAAAAACTATTTTAATAAATTCGTAAAGGATAAGAATAGCCGTCTTAATAATATAATAAAAAAGATTTCTATTCGAAAAAAGGTTAAATTATGAAGCTAAATTGTTGATAATATGACTATATTAGATATTTAGTACGTAAATAATAGATACGTTGAAAAATAAATAAAATAGAATTGTTCGAAGTAATTTTAAATTTAATTTAAGGAAGTACGAAAGTAATTAAAAAAATTCGAAGTAGAATACAATATTTAGAAGAAGAAGAAGGAGAATAAAGTAATAGGAACTTATAAGAAATTAATATAATAATTTTTCGAAGCCTTTTATAGGATTAAGGGTTATAATTTAAATTTTATATTTTTAAATATTAAGTAAAAATCTTTTGGACGTTCTAAAGAACTTTTATTCTTTATAAATATTAAAACATATATAAACGTTCTAAAACTTATACTAAAGCCGTTTAGTAATCGTATTAGCTATTACGCTTTAAATAATAATAGTAATAAGGGTAATAAGGTATAAGGTTATCGTACCAAAAGGCCTAGGAACCAGGCCCGAAGAGCGGAACATTATAACGAACTAATAAGAGCGATAAAGCGGGGCGAAGGGGCTATTATAATAAATAATAGAATAAATATAATAACGATAGAAGCGTACGGTCGGAGGCCGGGTGCCGGATCCCGGGCCTACCAAGGGCTCGTATACAAAATAAAAACCCTTATAGCCTAGCTGGACATTCTCTACCAGCTAAGCTAAAATCTACCTTTTAGAATAGACCTACTATTGTATATTAAACGTATTCTCACCCTATTATATTATAACCTTAAAATTCTTTAACCTCTAAAATATTATTTATAAAAGCCGGGAATATAGTTAATATCTAAAAAGAAAATACCCGTATAAGAAATACGGCTATACGCTACCGAGACCGCTCTTCGGAGCGGGAGGCAACGTTAGAAGCACCTATAATTAAACAAGGTACTCTAGAACGATCGGGTAAAAATATTTCTAACGCTAAGAAGGCTCGGAGTAATATTAATAATAATAAAGTTCGCGGTCGCAAGGATATTAATATATATCCAACCGACGGGAATATTCTTCCAATTATATAAACCGAAGAATCCTTTACTAATATTATTATGAATATACTTATTATTAATAATTATAATTAAAATTAATCCTCGTTTCAATTCGAGTGGGTTTTTTCGCGCGAAATATTATAAAATAAAAGATTAGACCACTACCTCTCTAAAAATTTGCGTACGTTTTGCGCCTACTACTTTTGTAACCCGTATTAATATAAGAAATATTTTCCGGAATATAAAAATAAATGTATTGTTCGTTACCGTTCGGTTATTCTAATACGCCGCTATAAAAGTTCCCGTTTCCTTATAAAACAATCTGGGCTAATAGACTATTAATTTAAATCTCCGTCCGTAGAATTGTTCCGAATAGCCCGATCCCAATCTTCTTTAGGGAATTCGTAACGTTTAATTAATAGCTCGCTTTAGTCTTCGAAAACTAATAGGGATTATTCAAAATATTTGCGCGGATACTAATTGCGCCCGAAGAAAACCAA